ATGATTTGAGGTGATTTTGGGGTGATTTGAGGTCATTTTGGGGTGATTTGAGGTGGTTTTGGGGCATTAAAGTGGAGTTAATTGGTTGGTTTTGGTCACCTGGAGTCACCTGGGCAGGTTCCTGAACCAGGTGGGGTCTCACCTGTGGGTCCAGGAACTCACCTGGGGGGGTTGGGGGGGATTTGGGGTGATTTGAGGTGATTTGGGGGTGATTTGAGGTCATTTTGGGGTGATTTGAGTTGATTTTGGGGGGATTTGAGGTCATTTTGGGTGATTTTGGGGTGATTTGAGGTGGTTTTGGGTGATTTGGGGTGGACAGGGAGGGCACCCCCAGGTTCTACCTGAGGATCCTGGCGGACCTGGAGGACTACCTGAACGAGGTACCCACTCACCTGGAGGTCCAGGAACTCACCTGGGGGGTTTAGGGAAAATTTGGGGGGATTTGAGGTGATTTTGGGTGATTTGAGGTCATTTTGGGGTGATTTGAGGTGGTTTTGGGGCATTAAAATGGAGTTAATTGGTTGGTTTTGCTCCCCTGGACTCACCTGGGCAGGTTCCTGAGCCAGGTGGGGTCTCACCTGGGGGGTCCAGGAACTCACCTGGAGGGTTTAGGGAAGATTTGGGGGGATTTGAGATGATTCTGGGATGATTTTGGGGTGATTTGAGGTGATTTTGGGGTGATTTGAGGTCATTTTGGGGTGATTTGAGGTCATTTTGGGTCAGAAAAAGGGGGTTGTTGAGTTGGTTTTGGTCACCTGGACTCACCTGGGCAGGTGGGGTCTCACCTGGGGGGGTGTGGGAAAAGATTTGGGGTGATTTGAGGTCATTTTGGGGTGATTCGAGGTGATTTTGGGTCACTAAAATGGAATTATTTAGGTTTATTTACTCACCTGGGCAGATACTGGAACAGCTTTTCTTTTTTTACCATTTTAAGATGGTTTTTTTTTCCTTTCTAAACCATTTTTTACCATTTTTTTTCCATTTTAAACCATTTTTTCCCATTTTTTTTCCCATTTTTTAAACCATTTTTTGCCATTTTTCTTTTTTCCGTTTCAAGCCCCTTTTTCCTCATTTTTTGATCCTTTTAAAACTCTTTTTTCCCCATTTTTTTCCTGCTTTTTTTTGCATCCTTTTTAAGCTGCTTTTTTTCCTGTGTTTTTTCCATTTTTTGCCCTTTTTCAATCCCTTTTTTTTTGACCCTTTTTGACCATTTTTTGACCATTTTAATGCAGTTTTTTCTATTTTTTTTTGTCTGGGGTTTTTGCCAGTTTTTGACCGTTTTCAACCATTTTTTTTCCTTCTTTTACCACTTTTGACTATTTTTGACCTTTTTTTTCTTTTTTTACCATTTTTTGACCATTTTTTCCCATTTTTTGGCCATTTTTTCACCGTTTTTCACCCGCTTTTGGCCGTTTTGCGCTCGCTTTTTGGGGGTTTTCAAGGAATTTTTAAATTTCACATTTTTTTGGTGTTTTCAGTTATGGGAGGACAAGGAGGGGAAGAAGAAGATGAACAAGAACAACGCCAAGGCCCTGAGCTCCCTCCGGCAGAAGCTCCGTAAATACAACCGAGACTACGAGGCCCAGATCGCCGCCTACCGACAGGTGGGGCGCTAATTAGGGCTAATTAGGGGCTAATTAGGGGGTCATTTGGTTGGGAGGGGGTTAAAATGAGATTTAATGGGGTTAAAATGGGATTTAACGGGGTTAGAATGGGGTTTAATGTGGTTAAAATGGGATTTAATGGGGCTAAAATGGGATTTAATGGAATTTATTGGGATTATAATGGGATTTAATGGGGCTAAAATGGGATTTAATGGGGTTATAATGGGATTTAATGGGGTTATAATGAGATTTAATGGGGTTATAATGGGATTTAATGGGGTTATAATGGGATTTAACGGGGTTAGAATGGGGTTTGATGGGGTTAAAATGGGGTTAAAATGAGATTTAATGGGGTTAAAATGGGGTTAAAATGGGATTTAATGGGGTTAAAATGGGGTTTAATGGGGTTAAAATGGGGTTAAAATGGGATTTAATGGGGCTAAAATGGGGTTAAAATGGGGTTTAATGGGGTTAAAATGGGGTTAAAATGGGGTTAAAATGGGGTTTAATGGGGTTAAAATGGGGTTAAAATGGGGTTAAAATGGGATTTAATGGGGTTAAAATGGGATTTAATGGGGTTAAAATGGGGTTAAAATGGGATTTAACGGGGTTAATTTGGGGTTAAAATGGGATTTAATGGGGTTGAAATGGGATTTAATGGGGTTAAAATGGGATTTAATGGGGTTAAAATGGGATTTAATGGGGTTTAAAATGGGATTTAATGGGGTTAATTTGGGGTTAAAATGGGATTTAATGGGGTTAAAATGGGATTTAATGGGGTTAAAATGGGATTTGATGGGGTTAAAATGGGATTTAATGGGGCTAAAATGGGATTTGATGGGGTTAATTTGGGGTTAAAATGGGGTTTAATGGGGTTAAAATGGGATTTAATGGAATTTAATGGGGCTAAAATGGAATTTGATGGGGTTAAAATGGGATTTAATGGAATTTAATGGGGCTAAAATGGAATTTGATGGGGTTAAAATGGGATTTAATGGAATTTAATGGGGCTAAAATGGAATTTGATGGGGTTAAAATGGGATTTAATGGAATTTAATGGGGCTAAAATGGAATTTGATGGGGTTAAAATGGGATTTAATGGGGTTAAAATGGGATTTAATGGGGTTAAAATGGGATTTGATGGGGTTAAAATGGGATTTAATGGGGTTAAAATGGGATTTAATGGGGTTAAAATGGGATTTAATGGGGTTAAAATGGGATTTGATGGGGTTAAAATGGGATTTGATGGGGTTAAAATGGGATTTAATGGGGTTAAAATGGGATTTAATGGGGTTAAAATGGGATTTAATGGGGTTAAAATGGGATTTATTGGGGTTATAATGGGGTTAAAAGGGGATTTAATGGGGTTAAAATGGGATTTATTGGGGTTAAAATGGGATTTACTGGGGTTAATTTGGGGTTAAAATGGGATTTATTTGGGTTAAAATGGGGTTTAATGGGGCTAAAATGGGATTTAATGGAATTTATTGGGGTTAAAATGGGATTTAGTGGGGTTAAAATGGGATTTACTGGGGTTAATTTGGGGTTAAAATGGGATTTAATGGGGCTAAAATGGGATTTCCTGGGGTTAAAATGGGGTTCAATGGGACTTTTGGGAGGGTAAAGGGGTCTAAAATGGGATTTTTGGATTTTTCTGGGGTTAAAATGGCTGCTTTTGGGGTCTTTTTGATTCAGGGGCTGATTTTGGGGTCATTTTTGGGGCAGTTTGGGGTCATTTTTGGGGTCATTTTTTTTGCAGAACCCGGAGCAGTCGGACGAGGACGAGGAGAAAAGCAGGAGGGACTCCGAAGGTTTGGGGGGATTTTGGGGGCATTTTGGGGGATTTTGGGACAATTTGGGGGGTTTGGGGTCATTTTGGGGGTTTTGGGCTCATTTCAGGGTCTTTTGAGGTCATTTTGGACTCATTTTGGGTGGTTTTGGGGTCATTTCGAGGTCATTTCGGGGGGTTTGGGGTCATTTGGGGCTCATTTTGGGTTCATTTCAGGGGTTTTGGGGTCATTTTGGGCTCATTTTGGGTTCATTTCGGGGGTTTTGGGGTCATTTGGGGCTCATTTTGGGTGGTTTTGGGCTCATTTTGAGCTCATTTTGGGGTGTTTTGGGCTCATTTCAGGTTGTTTTGGGTTCATTTAGGGCTCATTTTGGGGGTTTTGGACTCATTTTGAGGTCATTTTGGGGTGTTTTGGGCTCATTTTGGGTGGTTTTGGGCTCATTTTGGGTGGTTTTGGGCTCATTTTGGCCTCATTTTGGGGCGTTTCGGGCTCGTTTCGAGAGTTTTTTGGGGTGGTTTTGGGGTAAATTGTGGTGTTTTACATCCCTTTGGGTTGGTTTTGGGGTTTTGGGGCTGATTTTGGGGTGTTTTTTGGTGTCCCCTGCAGGTTCTGCCTCCTCTTCGGGGGCCGAGGACGAGCCCGGGACGTTCCTGAAGCGCCGGGACCGCGACGAGACCCGGGGGAGGTTCAAGGTGGGGACTTTTCGGGGGGGTTTTGGGGTGATTTTTGGTGTTTTTAGGATGATTTTTGGAAATTTAGGGTGATTTTTGGTGGTTTTGAGGTGATTTTTTTGTGGTTTTAGGGTGATTTTGGGGGGTTTTGAGGTGATTTTTGATGGTTTTGAGGTGATTTTTGGTGGTTTTAAGGTGATTTTTGGTGTTTTTAGGGTGATTTTTGGTGGTTTTAGGGTGATTTTTGGTGGGTTTAGGGTGATTTTGGGGGGGTTTGAGGTGATTTTTGGGATTTTGGGGTGATTTTTGGGTTGTTTTGGGTGTTTTTGGGCTGTCCCATCAATAAATTTGTGTTCCAGGAGGAGGAGTCGGGGTCGGAGTCGGAGCCTGCCGAGGATTGGGGGGTCCCTGGGGGGGTTTTGGGGTGATTTTTGGGTGTTTTTGAGGTGATTTTTGGGTGTTTTTGAGGTGATTTTTGGGTGTTTTTGGGGTGATTTTTTGGGTTTTAGGGTGATTTTGGGGTGATTTTTTGGAATTTTGGGTTGTTTTGGGTGTTTTTGGGCTGTCCCATCAATAAATTTGTGTTCCAGGAGGAGTCGGGCTCGGAGTCGGAGCCTGACGAGGATTGGGGGTCCCTGGGGGGGTTTTGGGGTGATATTTGGTGTTTTTAGGGTGATTTTGGGGTGATTTTTTGGAATTTTGGGTTGTTTTGGGTGTTTTTGGGGTGCCCCATCAGTAAATTTGTGTTCCAGGAGGAGGAGTCTGGGTCAGAGTCAGAGTCTGACGAGGATTGGGGGGTCCCTGGGGGGGTTTTGGGGTGATTTTTGGGTGTTTTTAGGGTGATTTTGGTGTTTTTAGGGTGATTTTTTGGGTGTTTTGGGTTGTTTTGGGTGTTTTTGGGGTGTCCCATGGGTAAATTTGTGTTCCAGGAGGAGGAGTCGGGGTCGGAGTCGGAGTCAGACGAGGATTGGGGGGTCCCTGGGGGGGTTTTGGGGTGATTTTTGGGTGGTTTTGAGGTGATTTTTGGGTGTTTTTGGGGTGATTTTTTGGGTTTTAGGGTGATTTTGGGGTGATTTTTTGGAATTTTGGGTTGTTTTGGGTGTTTTTGGGGTGCCCCATCAGTAAATTTGTGTTCCAGGAGGAGGAGTCTGGCTCGGAGTCGGAGTCAGATGAGGATTGGGGGGTCCCTGGGGAGTTATTGGGGGTTTTTAGGGGGGATTTTGGGGTTTTTTGGGGTGATTTTTTTGAATTTTGGGGTGTTTTGGGTGTTTTTGGGGTGTCCCATGGGTGAATTTGTGTTCCAGGAGGAGGAGTCTGGCTCGGAGTCGGAGTCAGACGAGGATTGGGGCGACGACTCCTCGGAGTCGGACTCGGAGTCGGACGAGGACGACGGGAAATTCACCTCCCTGGCCTCCAAATTCCTCAAAAAGTGAGGGGGATTTGGGGGGAATTTGGGGGATTTAGGGGATTTCCGGGATCTGGGGGGATTTATTTATGGGATTTATGGGATTTGGGGGATTTATTTCTGGGATCTGGGGGATTTTATGGGATCTGGGGAATTTCTGGGATCTGGGGGGCAGGATTTGTGGGATTTCTGGGATTTTTGGGGTGGGGTTTTTGGGATTTCTGGGATTTCCAGGATCCGTGATTTAGGGTTGAGGAGCAGCGCGGGGCTGAGAGGAGATCCCTGGGGATTTCTGGGATTTCTGGGATTTTTGGGGTGGGATTTTTGGGGTGGGATTTTGGGAATTTTTTGGGATTTCTGGGGTGGGATTTTTGGGGATTTGGGGGATTTTTGGGATGGGATTTTGGGGATTTTTTGGGGCAGAATCCATGGATTTTTGGAGCAGAATCCATGGGATTTGGGGGATTTTTGGATTTTTAGAATCCAGGGGATTTTGGGGTGGGATCTGTGGGATTTTGGGGATTTTTTTGGGGGCAGAATCCATGGATTTTTGGGATTTGGGGGATTTTGGGGGTGGGATTTTTGGAATTTCTGGGATTTTTGGGGTGGGATTTTTGGGGATTTTTTGGGTGGGATTTTTGGGATTTTTTGGAATTTTTGGGATTTTTTGGGATTTTTGGGATTTCTGGGGTGGGATTTTTGTGGATTTTTGGGGTGGGATTTTTGGAATTCCTGGGATTTTTGGGGTGGGATTTTTGGAATTCTTGGGATTTTTGAGGTGGGATTTTTGGGATTTTTGGGGTGGGATTTCTGTGGATTTTTGGGGTGGGATTTTTGTGGATTTTTGGGGGGTGATTTTTGGAATTCCTGGGATTTTTGGGGTGGGATTTCTGGGATTTTGGGGTGGGATTTTTGTGGATTTTTTCGAATTTTTGGGTTGGGATTTTTGGGGTGGGATTTTGGATTTTTTGGGATTTTTGGGATTTTTGGGGTGGGATTTTGGATTTTTTGGGATTTCTGGGATTACTGGGGTGGAATTTTTGGATTTTTTTGGATTTTTGGGATTTCTGGGATTTCTGGGGTGGGATTTTGGATTTTTTGGGATTTTTGGGATTTCTGGGGTGGGATTTTGGAATTTTTTGGGATTTTTGGGGTGGGATTTCTGGGGTGGGATTTTGGAATTTTTGGGATTTTGGGGTGGGATTTCTGGGGTGGGATTTTGGAATTTTTGGAATTTCGGGGATTTTTGGGGTGGGATTTTGGGGATTTTTGGGATTTCTGGGGTGTAATTCTGGGATTTTTTGGGATTTCTGGGGTGGGATTTTTGGAATTTCTGGGATTTTTTGGGATTTTTGGATTGGGATTTCTGGGATTTTTTGGGATTTCTGGGATTTCTAAATCCCGAATTTAGGGACGAGGAGCGGCGCGGGGCCGAGAGGAGATTTCTGGGGTAGAATCCATGGATTTTGGGGATTTTTTGGGGCAGAATCCATGGATTTTGGGGATTTTTGGGGTGGGATTTTGGGGATTTTTGGGATTTCTGGGGTGGAATTTTGGATTTTTTTGGATTTTTGGGATTTCTGGGATTTCTAAATCCCCAATTTAGGGACGAGGAACGCAGCGGAGCCGAGAGGAGATTTCTGGGGCAGAATCCATGGATTTTGGGGATTTTTTGGGGCAGAATCCGTGGATTTTTGGGGATTTTTAGGATGGGATTTTTGGGATTTCTGGGGTGGGATTTTGGGGTGGGATTTTGTGATTTTTAAATCCCTAATTTAGGGACGAGGAGCAGCGTGGGGCCGAGAGGAGATTTCTGAGGATTTCTGGGATTTTTGGGGTGGGATTTTTGGGGATTTTGGGGATTTTTAGGATGGGATTTTTGGGGATTTCTGGGATCCACGGATTTCTGAGATTTTTGGGACGGGATTTTTGGAATTTCTGGGATTTTTGGGGTGCGATTTTGGGGATTTTTGGGATTTCTGGGGTGTAATTCTGGGATTTTTTGGGATTTTTGGGATTTCTGAGGTGGGATTTTTGGAATTTCTGGGATTTTTTGGGATTTTTGGATTGGGATTTCTGGGATTTTTTGGGATTTCTGGCATTTCTAAATCCCCAATTTAGGGACGAGGAGCGGCGCGGGGCCGAGAGGAGATTTCTGGGGTAGAATCCATGGATTTTGGGGAATTTTGGGGCAGAATCCATGGGATTTTGGGATTTTTGGATTTTGGGACGGGATTTTTGGGATTTCTGGGATTTTTTGGGATTTCTGGGATTTCTGGGGTGGGATTTTGGGATTTTTTAGGATTTTTGGGATTTCTGGGGTGGAATTTTGGATTTTCTGGGATTTTTGGGATTTCTGGGATTTCTGGGGTGGGATTTTGGGATTTTTTAGGATTTTGGGATTTCTGGGGTGGAATTTTGGATTTTTTGGATTTTGGGATTTCTGGGATTTCTGGGGTGGGATTTTGGGATTTTTTAGGATTTTTGGGATTTCTGGGGTGGAATTTTGGGATTTTTTTGGATTTTTGGGATTTCTGGGATTTCTAAATCCCCAATTTAGGGACGAGGAACACCGCGGAGCCGAGAGGAGATTTCTGGGGTAGAATCCATGGATTTTGGGGATTTTTTGGGGCAGAATCCATGGGATTTTGGGGATTTTTTTGGATTTTTGGGACGGGATTTTTTTGGGATTTCTGGGATTTTTTGGGATTTCTGGGATTTCTGGGGTGGGATTTTGGGATTTTTTAGGATTTTTGGGATTTCTGGGGTGGAATTTTGGATTTTTTGGGATTTTTGGGATTTCTGGGATTTCTGGGGTGGGATTTTGGGATTTTTTAGGATTTTTGGGATTTCTGGGGTGGAATTTTGGATTTTTTGGGATTTTGGGATTTCTGGGATTTCTGGGGTGGGATTTTGGGATTTTTAGGATTTTGGGATTTCTGAGTGAATCTTGGATTTTTGATTTTGGGATTTCTGGGATTTCTGGGGTGGGATTTTAGGATTTTTGGGATTTCTGGGGTGGAATTTTGGATTTTTTTGGATTTTTGGGATTTCTGGGATTTCTGGGGTGGGATTTTGCAATTTTCGGATTTTTGGGGTGGATTTTCTGGGATTTTTGGGATTTCTGGGATTTCTGGGGTGGATTTTGGGATTTTTAGGATTTCTGGGGTGGAATTTTGGATTTTTGGATTTTGGGATTTCTGGGATTTCTGGGGTGGGATTTTTGCAATTTTTTCGGATTTTTGGGGTGGGATTTTCTGGGATTTTTTGGGATTTCTGGGATTTCTGGGGTGGGATTTTGGGATTTTTTAGGATTTCTGGGGTGGAATTTTGGATTTTTTTGGATTTTTGGGATTTCTGGGATTTCTGGGGTGGGATTTTTGCAATTTTTTCGGATTTTTGGGGTGGGATTTTCTGGGATTTTTGGGGATTTCTGGGATTTCTGGGGTGGGATTTTAGGATTTTTGGGATTTCTGGGGTGGAATTTTGGATTTTTTTGGATTTTTGGGATTTCTGGGATTTCTAAATCCCCAATTTAGGGATGAGGAGCGCCGCGGGGCCGAGAGGAGATCCCTGGGGATTTCTGGGGTGGGATTTTGGGATTTTTTAGGATTTTTGGGATTTCTGGGGTGGAATTTTGGATTTTTTTGGATTTCTGGGATTTCTGGGATTTCTAAATCCCCAATTTAGGGACGAGGAGCATCACAGTGCCAAGAGGAGATTTCTGGGGCAGAATCCATGGATTTTGGGGATTTTTTGGATTTTTGGGACGGGATTTTTTTGGGATTTCTGGGATTTTTTGGGATTTCTGGGATTTCTGGGGTGGGATTTTAGGATTTTTGGGATTTCTGGGGTGGAATTTTGGATTTTTTTGGATTTTTGGGATTTCTGGGATTTCTGGGGTGGGATTTTTGCAATTTTTTCAGATTTTTGGGGTGGGATTTTCTGGGATTTTTTGGGATTTTTGGGATTTCTGGGGTGGGATTTTGGATTTTTTTGGATTTTTTGGGATTTCTGGGATTTCTAAATCCCCAATTTAGGGACGAGGAACGCCGCGGGGCCGAGCGGCGCCGGGAGGAGAAGGCGAAGAAGAAGCTGGAGCGGAAAACGCGGCGCGAGGAGGAGGAGGAGGAGGAGGAAGGGGGGGAGTGGGAGAAGGTCAAGGGCGGAGTCCCCCTCGTCAAGGTCAGCAAAAAACAACATTTTGGGGCAAAAAACCCGAGTTTTGGCTCAAAATTCTGATTTTGGGGTGAAAATCCTCATTTTGGGTGAAAAATCGGGATTTTTTTAGGGTCAAAATTGTGATTTTCGGAGCAGAAATTGTGATTTTTTTTTGTTGGAAATGGGGATTTTTTTAGGGTGGGAATTCTGGTTTTTGGAGGGGAAAATTCTGATTTTTTGAGGTGGAAAGATTCTGATTTTTTTGTGAAAGTTCTGATTTTTTTTTGGTGAAAAATTCTGATTCTGGGGGTGAAAATTCTGATTTTTTTAGGGTGAAAATTTGATAATATTTTTGGTGAAAAATTCTGGGTTTTCGGTGAAAATTTTGATTTTTTTTGGTGAAAAATTCTGATTTTTTGGGGGTGAGAATTCTGATTTTTGAGGTAGAAATTCTGATTATGGGGTGAAAACCTCTGATTCTTTTAGGGTAAAAATTCTGATTTTTGGAGGGGAAAATTCTGATTTTTTTTGTTGGAAATTATGATTTTTTTAGGGTTAAAATTCTGGTTTTTAAAGGGGTGGAAATGCTGATTTTTTGGGGTGAAAATTCCGATTTTTGGGGGCGAAAATTCCGATTTTTGGGGCAAAAATTCCAATTTTTGGGGCGAAAATTCCGATTTTTGGGGTGGAAAATTCCGATTTTGGAGCAGAAATTGCTGGTTTCTGGATGGAAAATTCTGATTTTTGGGTTAAAAAAATGGCTTTGCTGGGGTAACCCCCCTAATTTTGGGGGTAAAAATTCGGATTTTTTGGGGTGAAAATTTGGATTTTGGGGGTGAGAATTCCGATTTTTGGGTGAAAATTTGGATTTTTGGGGTGAAAATTCTGATTTTGGAGCGGAAATTTCTGGTTTCTGGGTAGAAACTTCTGATTTTTGGGGCGAAAATTCTGATTTTTGGGGTGGAAATTCCGATTTTTGGGGCGAGAATTCCGATTTTTGGGGTGGAAATTCCAATTTTTGGGGCGAAAATTCCGATTTTTGGGGCAAAAAGTCAGGTTTTTGGGGTGAATGAAAATTTCTATTTTTAGGGCAAAAATTCCGATTTCTGGGGCGAAAATTCCGATTTTTGGGGTGGAATTGCTGATTTTTTGGGGGGAAAATTCCAATTTTTGGGCGTGAAAATTCTGGTTTTTAGGGTAAAAATTCTGATTTTTGGGGGTGAAAATTCTGATTTTTTGAGTGAAAAAATCTGATTTTGGGGGTGAAAATTCAGATTTTTGGGGCAGGAAATGCTGATTTGGGGCAGGAAATGCTGATTTTTTGGCAGGAAATGCTGATTTTTGGGCGGAAATGCTGATTTTGGGGCAGGAAATGCTGATTTTTTTAGAGGAAATGCTGATTTTGGGGCAGGAAATGCTGATTTTGGGTGGAAATGCTGATTTTTGGGTAGAAATGCTGATTTTGGGTGGATTTTGGGTGTTTTTGGGGCAGGAGAAGCCGAAAATGTTCGCGAAGGGCACCGAGATCACCGTGGGGTTGGTGGTGAAGAAACTCAACGAGATCCTCCAGGCTCGGGGCAAGAAGGGCACGGACAGGTGGGGATTTTGGGGAAAAAGCAGGGATTTTGGGCAAAAACGGGAAAAAAGGGGGATTTTGGGGGGAAAAATGGGGATTTTGGGGCAAAAATAGGGGAAAAATGGGGATTTTTGAGGAAAAAGGAGTTTTTGGGATAAAAGGGGGGAAAAATGGGGATTTGGGGGGAAAATGGAGGAGAAAAAAGGGGATTTTGGGGAAAAAGCAGGGATTTTAGAGGCAAAAACTGGGAAAAAGGGGGATTTTGGGAGAAAAACCGGGATTTAGGGGCAAAAATGGGGGGTTGGGGAAAGAAATGGGGAAAATGGGGATTTTGGGCAAAAATAGGGGAAAAGAAGGGATTTTGAGGAAAAAATGGGATTTTTGGGGGGAAAAAATCGGAATTTGGGGCAAAAATGGGGGGGTTGGGAAAAAAATGGGGATTTGGAGGGGAAAAATGGGGATTTTTAGGGGGGAAAAAGGGGATTTTGGGGCAAGAATGGAGAAGGAAAAGGGATTTTGGGGAAAAATGGGGATTTGGGAAACGGGGAAAAATGGGGATTTTTGAGGAAAAATGGCTTTTTTGGGGATAAAATGGGGAAAATGGGGATTTTGGGGGGAAAATGTGGGATTTTGGGGGGGAAAATGGGGATTTTTGAGAAAAAATTGACAATTTTTGGGGAAAACCCTGATTTGGGGGTTAAAAATGAGGGGGTTTGTGGGGGAAAATGGGGATTTTGGGGGAAAATGGGGGGGAAAATAGAGATTTTTGAGAAAAAAAGGGGATTTTTTTGCATTAAAGGGGGGGAAAATGGGGATTTTTGGAAAAAAATGGGGTTAAATTAACCATTTTGGGGGTGAAAAAAGCCGATTTTTGGGTTCAAAAAGACCAATTTTGGTCAATTTTGGGTTGAAAAAAGCGGATTTTTGGGGTTAAAAACTCGGATTTTGGGGTTGAAAAGGCCGATTCTGGCCGTTTTTGGGGTGAAAGAAGCCGATTTTTGGGTTAAAAAGGGCCAATTTTGGTGACTCTTGGGTTAAAAAAATCAGATTTTTGGGTTAAAAAATCAGATTTGGGGGTTAAAAAGGCTGATTTTGGTCACTTTTGGGTGAAAAATTCGGATTTTTGGGTTGAAAAGGCTGGTTCTGGTCATTTCTTGGGGTGAAAAAAGCTGATTTTGGGTTAAAAAAGGCCAATTTTGGTCATTTCATGGGCTAAAAAAAGCTGATTTTGGGGGGGAAAAGTTGGATTTGAGGGTTAAAAAAGACTGATTTTGGTCAATTTTGGGTTGAAAAAAGCTGATTTTTGGGTTAAAAAAGGGTTAATTTTGGTCACTTTTGTGTTAAAAAAAATCAGATTTTGGGGTTAAAATCTTGGATTTTGGCCGATTCTGGCCGTTTTTGTGGTGAAAAAAGCCAATTTTTAGGTTAAAAAAGGCTGATTTTGGTCACTTTTTGGTGAAAAAAAATGAGATTTTGGGGTTAAAACGTCAGGTTTTGGGGTTAAAAAGGCCGATTTTGGTCTATTTTGGGTTAAAAAAATCATATTTTGGGGTTAAAACCTCGGATTTTGGGGTTGAAAGGGCCAGTTCTGGCCGTTTTTGGGGTGAAAAAAGCCAATTTTAGGTAAAAAAGACTGGTTTTGGTTGTTTTGTGGGTTAAAAAAATCAGATTTTGGGATTAAAAACTGGGATTTTTGGGTTGAAAAGGCCGATTCTGGCCGTTTTTGGGGTGAAAAAAGCCGATTTTTGGGTGAAAAAGGTGGATTTTTGGGTAAAAAAGGCCGGTTCTGACCATTTTTGGGGTGAAAGAAGCCGTTTTTTGGGTGAAAAAAGCGGATTTTTGGTGGTTTTGGGTGCCAGGGCGGCGCAGATCGAGCTCCTGCAGCACCTGGTGTCGGTGGCCCACGAGCACAACCTGGGGGTGCCGCTGGAGCTGAAGATCAAGTTCAACATCGTGGCCTCCCTCTACGACTACAACCCCAACCTGGCCGCCTACATGAAGGTACTGGGGGGAAATTGGGGTTAAATGGGGGGAAATTGGGTTTAAATTGGATTTTAATGGGGTTAAATTGGGTTTAAATGGGGTTAAATTGGATTTAAAGGGGGTTAAATTGGATTTAAATGGGGGTAAATTGGATTTAAATTGGATTTTAATGGGGTTAAATGGGATTAAATTGAAATTAAATGGGGTTAAAGTGGATTTAATGGGGTTAAATTGGATTTAAATGGGATTTCCTGGGGCCTCCCTCTACGACTACAACCCCAACCTGGCCGCCTACATGAAGGTACTGGGGGGAAATGGGGGGTAAATTGAATTTAAAGGGGGTTAAATTGGATTTAAATGGGGGTAAATTGGGTTTAAATGGGGTAAATTGGATTTTAATGGGGGTAAATTGGGTTTAAATGAGGAGAAATTGAATTTAAATTGTATTTTAATGGGGTTAAATGGGGGTAAATTGGACTTAAATGGGGTGAAATTGAACTTAAATTGGATTTCAGTGGGGGTAAATGGAGTAAATTAAGTTTAAGGGGGGTTAAATGGGGGTAAATTGGATTTAAATGGGGTTAAATTGGGTTTAATTGGGATTTCCTGGGGCCTCCCTCTACGACTGGAGCCCCAACCTGGCCGCCTACATGAAGGTACTGGGGGGAAATTGGGGGAAATTGGGTTTAAATGGGGTTAAATTGGATTTAAATTGGATTTTAGTGGGGGTAAATGGGGGTAAATTGGATTTTAATGGGGTTAAATTGGGGTAAATTGAATTTAAATGGGGATAAATTGGATTTAAGTGGGGGTAAATGGGGTTTAAATGGGGGAAATTGAATTTAAATTGGATTTTAATGGGGTTAGATGGGAGCAAATTGGATTTAAATGGGGTTAAATTGGATTTAAATTGGATTTAAATGGGGGTAAATGGGGGTAAATTGAACTTAAGTGGTGTTAAATTGGATTTAAAGGGGGTAAATTGAATTTAAATGGGGGTAAATTGAATTTTAATGGGGGTAAATTGGATTTTAATGGGAATAAATTGAATTTAAATGGGGATAAATTGAGTTTTAATGGGGGTAAATTGGATTTAAATGGGGGTAAATTGGATTTAAATGGAGGTAAATTGGATTTAAATGGGGAAATTGGGGTTAAATGGGGGTAAATTGGATTTAAATAGGGGTAAATTGGTTTTAAATGGGGGTAAATTGGGGTTAAATGGGGGTAAATTGGTTTTAAATGGGGGTAAATTGGATTTAAATGGGGGAAAATTGGGGTTAAATGGGGGTAAATTGGATTTAAATGGGGGTAAATTGAATTTAAAGGGGGTTAAATTGATTTAAATGGGGTAAATTGGGTTTAAAGGGGTAAATTGGATTTTAATAGGGGTAAATTGGGTTTAAATGAGGAGAAATTGAATTTAAATTGTATTTTAATGGGGTTAAATGGGGGTAAATTGGACTTAATTGGGGTGAAATTGAACTTAAATTGGATTTCAATGGGGGTAAATGGAGTAAATTAAGTTTAAGGGGGGTTAAATGGGGGTAAATTGGATTTAAATGGGGTTAAATTGGGTTTAATTGGGATTTCCTGGGGCCTCCCTCTACGACTGGAGCCCCAACCTGGCCGCCTACATGAAGGTACTGGGGGGAAATTGGGTTTAAATGGGGTTAAATTGGATTTAAATTGGATTTTAGTGGGGGTAAATGGGGGTAAATTGGATTTTAATGGGGTTAAATTGGGGTAAATTGAATTTAAATGGGGATAAATTGGATTTAAGTGGGGGTAAATGGGGTTTAAATGGGGGAAATTGAATTTAAATTGGATTTTAATGGGGTTAGATGGGAGCAAATTGGATTTAAATGGGGTTAAATTGGATTTAAATTGGATTTAAATGGGGGTAAATGGGGGTAAATTGAACTTAAGTGGTGTTAAATTGGATTTAAATGGGGGGAAATTGAATTTTAATGGGGGTAAATTGGATTTAAATGGGGGATAAATTGAATTTTAATGGGGGTAAATTGGATTTAAATGGGGGTAAATTGGATTTAAATGGGGGTAAATTGAATTTTAATGGGGGTAAATTGGGTTTAAATGGGGGTAAATTGGTTTTAAATGGGGGTAAATTGGATTTAAATGGGGGAAAATTGGGGTTAAATGGGGGTAAATTGGATTTAATTGGGGGTAAATTGAATTTAAAGGGGGTTAAATTGGATTTAAATGGGGGTAAATTGGGTTTAAATGGGGGGTAAATTGGATTTTAATGGGGGTAAATTGGGTTTAAATGAGGAGAAATTGAATTTAAATTGTATTTTAATGGGGTTAAATGGGGGTAAATTGGACTTAAATGGGGTGAAATTGAACTTAAATTGGATTTCAATGGGGGTAAATGGAGTAAATTAAGTTTAAGGGGGGTTAAATGGGGTAAATTGGATTTAAATGGGGTTAAATTGGGTTTAATTGGGATTTCCTGGGGCCTCCCTCTACGACTGCAACCCCAACCTGGCCGCCTACATGAAGGGCTGGGGGGAAATTGGGTTTAAATGGGGTTAAATTGGATTTAAATTGGATTTTAGTGGGGGTAAATGGGGGTAAATTGGATTTTAATGGGGTTAAATTGGGGTAAATTGAATTTAAATGGGGATAAATTGGATTTAAGTGGGGGTAAATGGGGTTTAAATGGGGGAAATTGAATTTAAATTGGATTTTAATGGGGTTAGATGGGAGCAAATTGGATTTAAATGGGGTTAAATTGGATTTAAATTGGATTTAAATGGGGGTAAATGGGGGTAAATTGAACTTAAGTGGTGTTAAATTGGATTTAAATGGGGGAAATTGAATTTTAATGGGGGTAAATTGGATTTAAATGGGGGTAAATTGGATTTAAATGGGGGTAAATTGAATTTTAATGGGGGTAAATTGAGTTTTAATGGGGGTAAATTGGATTTAAAGGAGGTTAAATAGGATTTACATGGAGGTAAATTGGACTTAAATGGGGTTAAATTGGATTTAAATGGAGGTAAATTGGATTTAAATGGGGTTGAATTGGATTTATATGGAGGTAAATTGGACTTAAATGGGGGTAAATTGGGTTTAAATGGGGTTAAATTGGATTTAAAGGGGGGTAACTTGGATTTAAATTGGATTTTAATGGGGGTAAATTCAATTTAAATGGGGGCAAGTTGGATTTAAATGGGGTTAAACGGGGGTAAATTGAGTTTAAGTGGGGTTAAATTGGGGTAAAATTGAATTTCAATGGGATTAAATTGAATTTGAATGGGGTTAAATGGGGTTAAATTGAATTTAAATGGGTCAGGGGGGTTATTTTTGGGGTAAATGATGATGATTTATGGGGTAAATGATGATTTTTGGGGTAAATGATGATGATTTATGGGGTAAATGATGATTTTTGGGGTAAATTATGATTTTTGGGGTAAATGATGATAATTTATGGGGTAAATGATGATTTTTGGGGTAAATGATGATGTTTTATGGGGTAAATGATGATTTATGAGGTAAATGATGATTTTTGGGGTAAATGATGATTTTTGGGGTAAATGATGATGATTTATGGGGTAAATGATGATTTTTGGGGTAAATGATGATGATTTTGGGGGTAAATGATGATGATTTATGGGGTAAATGATGATTTATGAGGTAAATGATGATTTTTGGGGTAAATGATGATGATTTATGGGGTAAATGATGATTTATGGGGTAAATGATGATTTTTGGGGTAAATGATGATTTTTGGGGTAAATGATGATTTTTGGGGTAAATGATGATTTTTGGGGTAAATGATGATGATTTGTGGGGTAAATGATGATTTTTGGGGTAAATGATGATGATTTATGGGGTAAATGATGATTTATGGGGTAAATGATGATTTTTGGGGTAAATGATGATGATTTATGGGGTAAATGATGATTTTTGGGGTAAATGATGATGATTTATGAGGTAAATGATGATTTTTGGGGTAAATGATGATGATTTTGGGGTAAATGATGATGATTTATGGGGTAAATGATGATTTATGAGGTAAATGATGATTTTTGGGGTAAATGATGATTTTTGGGGTAAATGATGATGATTTATGAGGTAAATGATGATTTTTGGGGTAAATGATGATGTTTTATGGGGTAAATGATGATTTTTGGGGTAAATGATGATGATTTATGGGGTAAATGATGATTTTTGGGGTAAATGATGATTTTTGGGGTAAATTATGATGATTTATGGGGTAAATGATGATTTATGGGGTAAATGATGATTTTTGGGGTAAATGATGATTTTTGGGGTAAATGATGATGATTTATGGGGTAAATGATGATTTTGGGTAAATGATGATTTTTAGGGTAAATATGATGATTTATGGGGTAAATGATGATTTTTGGGGTAAATAGATGATTTTGGGGTAAATGATGATGATTTATGGGGTAAATGATGATTTTTGGGGTAAATGATGATGATTTTTGGGGTAAATGATGATGATTTATGAGGTAAATGATGATTTTTGGGGTAAATGATGATGATTTTAGGGTAAATGATGATGATTTATGGGTAATGATGATTTATGGGGTAAATGATGATTTATGGGGTAAATGATGATTTTAGGTAAATGATGATTTATGGGGTAATGATGATTTTTGGGGTAAGATGATGATTTATGGGGTAAATGATGATTTTTGGGGTAAAATGATGATGATTTATGGGGTAAATGATGATTTTGGGGTAAATGATGATTTTTGGGGTAATATGATGATTTGGGGTAAATGATGATTTTGGGGTAAATGATGATGATTTATGGGGTAAATGATGATTTTTGGGGTAAATTATGATTTTTGGGGTAAATGATGATTTTTGGGGTAAATGATGATGATTTATGGGGTAAATGATGATTTTTGGGGTAAATGATGATGATTTATGGGGTAAATGATGATTTTTGGGGTAAATGATGATGATTTATGGGGTAAATGATGATTTTGGGGTAATGATGATGATTTTAGGGTAAATGATGATGATTTATGGGGTAAATGATGATGATTTTTGGGGTAAATGATGATGATTTGTGGGGTAAATGATGATGATTTGTGGGGTAAATGATGATTTATGGGGTAAATGATGATGATTTATGAGGTAAATGATGATTTTTGGGGTAAATGATGATGATTTTGGGGTAAATGATTTTAGGGTAAATGATGATGATTTTGGGGTAAATGATGATTTTTGGGGTAAATGATGATGATTTTTGGGGTAAATGATGATTTTTGGGGTAAATGATGATTTATTAGGTAAATGATGATTTTTGGGGTAAATGATGATGATTTATGGGGTAAATGATGATTTTTGGGGTAAATGATGATGATTTTTGGGGTAAATGATGATTTTTGGGGTAAATGATGATGATTTATGGGGTAAATGATGATTTTTGGGGTAAATGATGATTTTTGGGGTAAATGATGATGATTTATGGGGTAAATGATGATTTTTGGGGTAAATGATGGTGATTTATGAGGTAAATGATGATTTTTGGGTCCTGTTTCTCAGCCTGAGCTGTGGCAGAAGTGCCTGGGCTGCCTCGAGGAGCTGCTCTGGGGGCACCCCCGGCTCTGGGTGCAGATGATTTTCTGTGGGTCAGGGATTGTTCTATGGGGTCAGGGGGTTATTTATGGGGTAAATGATGATTTTTGGGGTAAATGATGATGTTTGGGTCCTGTTTCTCAGCCTGAGCTGTGGCAGAAGTGCCTGGGCTGCATCGAGGAGCTGCTCTGGGGGCACCCCCAAATCTGGGTGCAGATGATGATTTATGGGGTCAGGGGGTGATTTATGGGGTAAATGATGATTTATGAGGTAAATGATGATTTTTGGGGTAAATGATGATTTTTGGGTCTCCCCCCACAGCCTGAGCTGTGGCAGAAGTGCCTGGGCTGCCTCGAGGAGCTGCTCTGGGGGCACCCCCAGATCTGGGGGTTGGTGATGATTTATGGGGTCAGGGATTGTTCTATGGGGTCAGGGGGTTATTTATGGTGTAAATGGTGATTTTTGGGGTAAATGATGATAATTTATGGGGTAAATGATGATTTTTGGGGTAAATGATGATGATTTTTGGGGTAAATGATGATTTTTGGGGTAAATGATGATTTTTGGGTCCTGTTTCTCAGCCTGAGCTGTGGCAGAAGTGCCTGGGCTGCCTCGAGGAGCTGCTCTGGGGGCACCCCCAGATCTGGGGGTTGGTGATGATTTATGGGGTCAGGGATTGTTCTATGGGGTCAGTGGGTTATTTATGGGGTAAATGATGATTTTTGGGGTAAATGATGATGATTTTTGGGGTAAATGATGATTTTTGGGGTAAATGATGATGATTTTTGGGGTAAATGATGATGTTTGGGTCCTGCCCCTCAGCCTGAGCTGTGGCAGAAGTGCCTGGGCTGCCTCGAGGAGCTGCTCTGGGGGCACCCCCAGCTCTGGGTGCAGATGATTTTCTGTGGGTCAGGGATTGTTCTATGGGGTCAGGGGGTTATTTATGAGGTCAGATAATGATTTTTGGGGTAAATGATGATTTTGGGTCTCCCCACAGCCTGAGCTGTGGCAGAAGTGCCTGGGCTGCCTCGAGGAGCTGCTCTGGGGGCACCCCCAGATCTGGGGGTTGGTGATGATTTATGGGGTCAGGGATTGTTCTATGGGGTCAGGGGGTTATTTATGGGGTAAATGATGATTTTTGGGGTAAATGATGATTTTTGGGGTAAATGATGATTTTTGGGGTAAATGATGATGATTTTTGGGGTAAATGATGATGTTTGGGTCCTGCCCCTCAGCCTGAGCTGTGGCAGAAGTGCCTGGGCTGCCTCGAGGAGCTGCTCTGGGGGCACTCCCAGCTCTGGGGATTGGTGATGATTTATGGGGTCAGGGATTGTTCTATGGGGTCAGATGATTTTCTATGAGTTAGGGGATGATTTTTGGGGTAAATGATGATTTTTGGGTCCTGTTCCTCAGCCTGAGCTGTGGCAGAAGTGCCTGGGCTGCCTCGAGGAGCTGCTCTGGGGGCACCCCCAGCTCTGGGGGTTGGTGATTTTCTGTGGGTCAGGGATTGTTCTATGGGGTCAGGGGGTTATTTATGGGGTAAATGATGATTTTTGGGGTAAATGATGATTTTTGGGTCTCCCCCCACAGCCTGAGCTGTGGCAGAAGTGCCTGGGCTGCCTCGAGGAGCTGCTCTGGGGGCACCCCCAGATCTGGGGGTTGGTGATGATTTGTGGGGTCAGGGATTGTTCTATGGGGTCAGGGGGTTATTTATGGGGTAAATGATGATTTTTGGGGTAAATGATGATTTCTGGGTCTCACCCCACAGCCTGAGCTGTGGCAGAAGTGCCTGGGCTGCATCGAGGAGCTGCTCGAGCTCCTCTTCGCCCACCCCGAGATCTTCGTGGGCGAGAACGTCCTGGAGGAGTCGGAGAACCTCGGGAACCCCGAGCAGGTGGGGGAGGCATTTATGGGGTTTGGGGTCACTTATAAGGATTTTGGGGTCATTTACGGGGGTTTGGAGTCGTTTAGGGAGGTTTGGGGTCACTTATGGGGGGTTTGGGGTCAGTTATGGGGGGTTTGGGGGGCATTTATGGGGGTTTGGGGTCATTTATGGGGTTTAGGGTCACTTATGGGGTTTGGGGTCATTTATGGGGTTTTGGGGTCATTTATGGGGGGTTTGGGGTCATTTATGGTGATTTTGGGGTTGGTTTTGGGGCAGTTTGGGGTCATTTATGGGGGTTTGGGGTCATTTATGGGGGTTTGGGGTCAATTATGGGGGTTTTGGGGTCATTTATGGGGGTTTGGGGTCAGTTATGGGGAGTTTGGGGTCACTTATAAGGATTTTGGGGTCATTTACGGGGGTTTGGGGTCATTTATGGGGGCTTTGGGGTCATTTATGGGCGTTTGGGGTCATTTACGGGGCTTTGGAGTCGTTTATGGGGGTTTGGGGGGCATTTACAGGGGGTTGGGGGGCATTTACAGGGGATTTGGGGTCATTTATGGGGGTTTGGGGTCATTTATGGGGGGTTTGGGATCATTTTTGGGGATTTTGGGATCATTTACGGGGGTTTTGGGGTCACTTATGGGGTCTGACCCCCCCCAATTCCAGCCCTACAGGGTTCGTGGGTGCGTCCTGACCCTGGTGGAGCTTTGGGGGGGGTCTCTGTGGGTTTTTGGGGGGGTTTTTTGGGTTTTTTGGGGTTTCTATGGATTTTTGGGGGTCAGGATGGATTTTTGGGGGGTTTTTTTTGGGTTTTTGGGGTCAGGATGAATTTTTGGGGTGTTTTTTTGGGTTTTTGGGGTCTGACCCCCCCCAATTTCAGCCCTACAGGGTGCGTGGGTGCGTCCTGACCCTGGTGGAGCTTTGGGGGGCTCTCTGTGGGGTTTTGGGTTCTCTGTGGGGTCAGGATGAATTTTTGGGGGCTCAGGATGAATTTTTGGGGGTTTTTTGGGGTGTTTTTTTGGGTTTTTGGGGTCTGACCCCCCAATTTTAGCCCTACAGGGTGCGTGGGTGCGTCCTGACCCTGGTGGAGCTTTGGGGGGGGTCTCTGTGGGTTTTTGGGGTCTCAGTGGGTTTTTGGGGGTCAGGATGAATTTTTGGGGTGTTTTTTTGGGTTTTTGGGGTCTGACCCCCCCCAATTTTAGCCCTACAGGGTGCGTGGGTGCGTCCTGACCCTGGTGGAGCTTTGGGGGGCTCTCTGTGGGGTCAGGATGAGTTTTTGGGGTTTTTTTTTGGTTTTTTGGTGTTTCTATGGATTTTTGGGGGTTTTTTGGGGTGTTTTTTTGGTTTTTTGGGGTCTGACCCCCCAATTTCAGCCCTACAGGGTTCGTGGGTGCGTCCTGACCCTGGTGGAGCTTTGGGGGGGGTCTCTGTGGGTTTTTGGGGTCTCAGTGGGTTTTTGGGGGTCAGGATGAATTTTTGGGGTGTTTTTTTGGGTTTTTGGGGTCTGACCCCCCCCAATTTTAGCCCTACAGGGTGCGTGGGTGCGTCCTGACCCTGGTGGAGCTTTGGGGGGCTCTCTGTGGGGTCAGGATGAGTTTTTGGGGTTTTTTTTTGGTTTTTTGGTGTTTCTATGGATTTTTGGGGTGTTTTGGGGTGTTTTGGTTTTGGGGTCTGACCCCCCAATTTCAGCCCTACAGGGTTCGTGGGTGCGTCCTGACCCTGGTGGAGCTTTGGGGGGGGTCTCTGTGGGTTTTTGGGGTCTCAGTGGGTTTTTGGGGGTCAGGATGAATTTTTGGGGTGTTTTTTTGGGTTTTTGGGGTCTGACCCCCCCCAATTTTAGCCCTACAGGGTGCGTGGGTGCGTCCTGACCCTGGTGGAGCTTTGGGGGGCTCTCTGTGGGGTCAGGATGAGTTTTTGGGGTTTTTTTTTGGTTTTTTGGTGTTTCTATGGATTTTTGGGGGTTTTTTGGGGTGTTTTTTTGGGTTTTTGGGGTCTGACCCCCCAATTTTAGCCCTACAGGGTTCGTGGGTGCGTCCTGGCCCTGGTGGAGCTTTGGGGGGCTCTCTGTGGGGTCAGGATGAATTTTTGGGGTGTTTCTGTGGGTTTTTGGGGGTCAGAGTGAATTTTTGGGGTGTTTCTGTGGGTTTTTGGGGGTCAGAGTGAATTTTTGGGGTGTTTCTGTGGGTTTTTGGGGTCTGACCCCCCAATTTCAGCCCTACAGGGTGCGTGGGTGCGTCCTGACCCTGGTGGAGCTTTGGGGGGCTCTCTGTGGGGTCAGGATGAATTTTTGGGGTGTTTCTGTGGGTTTTTGGGGGTCAGAGTGAATTTTTGGGGTGTTTTTTTGGGGTTTTGGGGTCTGACCCCCCAATTCCAGCCCTACAGGGTTCGTGGGTGCGTCCTGACCCTGGTGGAGCTTTGGGGGGTTCTCTGTGGGGTCAGGATGAGTTTTTGGGGTTTTTTTGTTTTGTTTTTTGGTGTTTCTATGGATTTTGGGGGGTTTTTTGGGGTTTTTTGGGGTGTTTTTTTGGTTTTTGGGGTCTGACCCCCCAATTCCAGCCCTACAGGGTGCGTGGGTGCATCCTGACCCTGGTGGAGCTTTGGGGGGCTCTCTGTGGGTTTTTGGGGGTCAGGATGAATTTTTAGGGTTTTTTTGGGGTTTTTTGGGGTGTTTTTTTGGGTTTTTTGGGGTCTGACCCCCCCAATTTTAGCCCTACAGGGTTCGTGGGTGCGTCCTGACCCTGGTGGAGCTTTGGGGGGCTCTCTGTGGGGTCAGGATGGATTTTTGGGGTGGTTTTTTGGTTTTTTGGTGTTTCTATGGATTTTTAGGGGTTTTTTGGGGTTTTTTGGGGTGTTTTTTTGGTTTTTTGGGGTCTGACCCCCCAATTCCAGCCCTACAGGGTGCGTGGGTGCGTCCTGACCCTGGTGGAGCTTTGGGGGGCTCTCTGTGGGTTTTTGGGGGGGTTTTTTGGTGTTTCTATGGATTTTTGGGGGTTTTGGGGGGTTTTTTGGGGTGTTTTTGTGGGTTTTTGGGGTCTGACCCCCCAATTTCAGCCCTACAGGGTTCGTGGGTGCGTCCAGACCCTGGTGGAGCTTTGGGGGGGTCTCTGTGGGGTCAGGATGAGTTTTTGGGGTGTTTTTTTGGTTTTTTGGTGTTTCTATGGATTTTTTGGGGTTTTTTGGGGTGTTTTTTTGGTTTTTTGGGGTCTGACCCCCCAATTCCAGCCCTACAGGGTGCGTGGGTGCGTCCTGACCCTGGTGGAGCTTTGGGGGGCTCTCTGTGGGTTTTTGGGGGGGTTTTTTGGTGTTTTTATGGATTTTTGGGGGTTTTGGGGGGTTTTTTGGGGTGTTTTTTTGGTTTTTTGGGGTCTGACCCCCCAATTTTAGCCCTACAGGGTGCGTGGGTGCGTCCTGACCCTGGTGGAACGGATGGACGAGGAGTTCACCAAGATCATGCAGAACACCGACCCCCACTCGCAGGGTGAGCGTCTGGGGGGGGATTTTGGGGGTTGGAGTCTTTGGGGGTCCTTGGGGGCTGAGACCCCCTGATCGATCTTGGGGGTCCTTGGGGCTGAGACCCCCCCTGATCACCTGGAGTACCTGAGGGACAGGTGGGACCCTCACCTTGGGGGGGGGTCTCTGGGAGAGTTTTGGGGTCTTTGGGGGAATTTTGGGTCTTTGGGGGGGTCTTTGAGGGGTTTGGGGGGGTTTTTGGGGGGTCTTTAAAGGGATTTTGGGGTCCCCAGGGGGGGTTTGGGGGGTTTTTGTGGGGCTGAGACCCCCCCTGATCACCTGGAGCACCTGAAGGACAGGTGGGACCCTCACCTTGCGGGGATCTCTGGGAGAGTTTTGGGGTTTTTGGGGGTGTTTTTTGGGGGTTTTTGGGGTTCCTGTGAATCCTGAGGGGGTTCCCCTTGCTCAGGTGATCCCCAGGTGTGTCCAGGTGTGTCCAGGACCATCACCTGGTCCCAGATCTCTCACCTGGGGGTCACCTGGGGGGGTTCCTGTGAATCCTGGAGGGGTTTCTGTGAATCCTGGGGGGGTCCCTCTGGCCCAGGTGCCTCCCCTGAGCCCCTCAGGTGTGTCCAGGTGTGTCCCTGGAGCACCTGAAGGTCCAGATCTCTCACCTGGGGGGGTTCCTGTGAATCCTGGGGGGGTTCTTTTGAATTTTGGGGGGGTCCCTCTGGCCCAGGTGCCTCCCCTGAGCCCCCCAGGTGTGTCCAGGTGTGTCCCTGGAGCACCTGAAGGTCCAGATCTCTCACCTGGGGGGGTTCCTGTGAATCCTGGGGGTGTTCCTTTGAATCCTGGGGGGGTTCCCCTGGCCCAGGTGCCCCCCAGGTGACCCCCAGGTGTGTTTCCCCCAGAGTACGTGGAGCACCTGAAGGACGAGGGCCGGGTTTGCGCCATCATCGCGCGGCTCCAGCGGTACCTGCAGGGCAAGGGCAGCCCCGAGGAGCTCTGCAGGGTCTACCTGCGCAGGTGAGGGGGCACCTGAGCCCACCTGGGACCACCTGGGGCCACCTGAGCCCACCTGGGACCACCTGGGTCACCTGGGACCACCTGGGTCACCTGGGACCACCTGGGACCTCCTGGGACCAGCTGGGTCACCTGGGACCTCCTGGGACCACCTGGGTCACCTGGGACCTCCTGGGTCCACCTGGCACCACCTAGGACCACCTGGGTCACCTGGGACCACCTGGGACCTCCTGGGACCACCTGGGTCCACCTGGGACCACCTGGGACCACCTGAGCCCACCTGGGTCACCTGGGACCTCCTGGGACCACCTGGGTCACCTGGGACCACCTGGGACCTCCTGGCACCACCTGAGCCCACCTGGGACCACCTGGGACCTCCTGGGTCACCTGGGTTCACCTGGGACCACCTGGGACCACCTGGGACCACCTGAGCCCACCTGGCACCACCTGGGTCACCTGGGACCACCTGGGACCACCTGGGACCACCTGGGTCACCTGGGACCACCTGGGTCCACCTGGGTCACCTGGGACCACCTGGGACCACCTGGGACCACCTGAGCCCACCTGGGTCACCTGGGACCACCTGGGATCACCTGGGTCCACCTGGGACCTCCTGGGTCCACCTGGCCCACCTGAGCCCACCTGGGACCACCTGGGTCACCTGGGACCACCTGGGACCTCCTGGGACCACCTGGGACCACCTGGGACCACCTGGGTCACCTGGGACCACCTGGGTCCACCTGGGTCCACCTGGCACCACCTGGGACCACCTGGGACCTCCTGGGACCACCTGGGTCACCTGGGTCACCTGGGACCACCTGGGACCTCCTGGGACCACCTGGGACCTCCTGGGACCACCTGGGACACCTCACACCCCGGGGACGGGCTCACCTGGCTCACCTGAGCCCTAGAGGGGTCTCAGCTGGACAATGAGGGTCTCACCTGTCCCAGGGGGGTCTCACCTGTCCCCTGAGGGTCTCACCTGTCCCACCTGGCCTAGGAGGGTCTCACCTGTCCCCTGAGAGTCTCACCTGTCTCAGGGTGGTCTCAGCTGGACAATGATGGTCTCACCTGTCTTAGGGTGGTCTCACCTGTCCCAGGGAGGTCTCACCTCTCTCCTGAGAGTCTCACCTGTCTCCTGAGGGTCTCACCTGTCCCAGGGGGGTCTCACCTGTCCCCTGAGAGTCTCACTTGCCTCAGGGTGGTCTCACCTGTCTCCACCTATCCTAGGATGGTCTCACCTGTCTTAGGGTGGTCTCACCTGTCCCCTGAGGGTCTCACCTCTCTCCTGAGAGTCTCACCTGTCCAGGAGGGTCTCACCTGTCCCAGGGTGGTCTCACCTGTCCCCTGAGAGTCTCATCTGTCCCAGGGTGGTCTCACCTGTCCCCACCTATCCTAGGATGGTCTCATCTGTCCCAGGGTGGTCTCACCTGTCCCAGGGTGGCCTCACCTGTACCCTGAGGCTCTCACCTGTCCCAGGGTGGTCTCACCTGTCCCAGGGTGGTCTCACCTGTCTCCTGAGGGTCTCACCTGTCCCAGGGTGGTCTCACCTGTCCCAGGGTGGTCTCACCTGTCCCCTGAGGGTCTCACCTGTCCCAGGGGGGTCTCACCTGTCCCCTGAGGCTCTCACCTGTCCCAGGGTGGTCTCACCTGTCCCACCTGTGTGTCCCCCACCCCCAGGGTCCTCCACACCTACTACAAGTTCGACTACGGCTCCCGGCGCAAGGGGGAGGGGCCGGGCCCGGCCAAGGGCGGGGCCGAGGGGGCCTCACCTGGCCAGGTGGGCACCCAGGAGGGCACCCAGGAGGGCACCCAGGTGGGCACCCAGGAGGGAGCCCAGGAGGGGCCGCAGGTGAAGGCGGGGGAGGAGCAGGAGGAGGACGAGGACGAGGACTCGGAGGCGCTGATGGAGCGGCTCTGCAGGTGAGGGGGGAGGGGCACACCTGGGGGACACACCTGGGGGGAGGGACTCACCTGGTGGGGGAGGGGGCACACCTGGATGGGGAGGGGACACAGTTGTGGGTGTGGTCTCACCTGTCCCAGGGGGGTCTCACCTGTCCCAGGGTGGTGTCACCTGTCCCCTGAGGGTCTCACCTCTCCCAGGGTGGTCCCACCTGTCTCACCTGTCCCTTGAGGGTCTCACCTGTCCCAGGGTGGTCTCACCTGTCCCAGGTGTGTCACACCTGTCCCACCTGTCCCCTGAGTGTTCCCCCTGTCCCAGAGGTGTCCTACCTGTCTCACCTGTCCCCTGAGTGTCCCACCTGTCCCAGGGTGGTCTCACCTGCCCCCTGAGTGTCCCACCTGTCCCAAAGTGGCCTCACCTGTCCCAGGGTGGTCTCACCTGTCCTCTGAGTGTCTCACCTGTCCCCTGAATGTTCCCCCTCTCCCAGGGGTGTCCTACCTGTCTCACCTGTCCCCTGAGTGTCCCCACCTGCCCTGGGATGGTCTCACCCGTCCCCTGAGGGTCTCACCTGTCCCTTGAGTGTCCCACCTGTCCCAGAGTGATCTCACCTGTCTCACCTGTCCCCTGAGGGTCTCACCTGTCCGTGTCCCACCTGTGCCAGGTTCGTGTACGCCAAGGACCGCACGGACCGGATCCGCACCTGCCCCCTGAGTGTCCCCACCTGTCCCAGGGGTGTCCCACCTGTCCCAGAGTGATCTCACCTGTCTCACCTGTCCCCTGAGTGTCACACCTGTCCCAGGGGTGTCCCACCTGTCCTAGAGTGATCTCACCTGTCTCACCTGTCCCCTGAGTGTCCCCACCTGTCCCAGGGGTGTCCCACCTGTCCCAGAGTGATCTCACCTGTCTCACCTGCCCCCTGAGGGTCTCACCTGTCCGTGTCCCACCTGTGCCAGGTTCGTGTATGCCAAGGAACGCACGGATCGGATCCGCACCTGCCCCCTGAGTGTCCCCACCTGTCCCAGGGGTGTCCCACCTGTCCCAGAGTGATCTCACCTGTCTCACCTGTCCCCTGAGTGTCACACCTGTCCCAGGGGTGTCCCACCTGTCCTAGAGTGATCTCACCTGTCTCACCTGTCCCCTGAGTGTCACACCTGTCCCAGGGGTGTCCCACCTGTCCCAGAGTGATCTCACCTGTCTCACCTGCCCCCTGAGGGTCTCACCTGTCCCCTGAGGGTCACACCTGTCCCCTGAGGGTCTCACCTGTCCCAGGTGTGTCTCACCTGTCCCACCTGTGCCAGGTTCGTGTACGCCAAGGACCGCACGGACCGGATCCGCACCTGCCCCCTGAGTGTCCCCACCTGTCCCAGGGGTGTCCCACCTGTCCCAGAGTGATCTCACCTGTCCCCTGAGGGTCTCACCTGCCCCCTGAGGGTCTCACCTGTCCCACCTGTGCCAGGTTCGTGTACGCCAAGGACCGCACGGACCGGATCCGCACCTGCCCCCTGAGTGTCCCCACCTGTCCCAGGGGTGTCCCACCTGTCCCAGAGTGATCTCACCTGTCTCACCTGTCCCCTGAGGGTCTCACCTGTCCGTGTCCCACCTGTGCCAGGTGATCTCACCTGTGACCGCACGGACCGTGATCCGCACCTGTGCCCACCTGTGTCCCACCTGTTCCCACCGTGCTCTGCACCTGTCTCACCTGCGCCCTGCGAGTCTCACCTGCCGATGTCCCACCTGTGCCAGGTACAGTGTCCATGCACGCTGGACGCACCTGTGCATCTGGGTCCGCACCTGTCCCACCTGAGTGTCCCACCTGTCCCAGCGGTGTCCCACCTGTCCCAGAGTGATCTCACCTGTCTCACCTGTCCCCTGAGTGTCACACCTGTCCCAGCGCGGTGTCCCACCTGTCCTAGAGTGATCTCACCTGTGGCTCACCTGTACCACCTGAGTGTCACACCTGTCCCAGCGGTGTCCCACCTGTCCCAGCAGTGATCACCACCTGTGGCTCACCTGTCCACCTGCAGGGTCCCACCTGTCCCACCTGAGGGGTCACACCTGTCCACCTGAGGGTCACCTGTCACACCTAGGTGTGTCCACCTGTCCCACCTGTAGGCCAGGTTCATGCACGCCTGGGACCGCACCTGTGCACCTGGAGTCACGCATCCTGCACCTGAGTGTCACCCACACCTGTCCAGGCACGCTGTCCCACCTGTGCAGGTGAGTCTCACCTGTCCACCTGAGGGTCTCACCTGTCACACCTGCAGGGCAACATCCAGCACGCTGTCCCACCTGTGCAGGTGCGTGTACACACCTAGGACCGCACGGACCGGATCCGCACCTGCCCCCTGAGTGTCCCCACCTGTCCCAGGGGTGTCCCACCTGTCCCAGAGTGATCTCACCTGTCTCACCTGTCCACCTGCAGGGTCATCACCTGTCACGCTGTCCCACCTGTGCCAGGTTCGTGTACACCAAGGACCACACGACCTGGAGCCGCACCTGTCGCCATCCTGTGCCACATTCACCACCACGCTGACTGCACAGCTGCGCTGGTACCGCGCCCGTCACACCTGGGGGGTCACCTGTACCACCTGCAGGACAACATCCAGCACGCTGACCCACCTGTGCAGGTGAGTTACACACCTGGGGGGGTCACCTGTCACACCTGGGGGGGTCACCTGTCCCACCTGCAGGATAACATCCAGCACGCTGACCCACCTGTGCAGGTGAGGGGACATCATACACACCTGGGGGGGTCACCTGTCCCACCTGCAGGACAACATCCAGCACGCTGACCCACCTGTGCAGGTGAGTTACACACCTGGGGGGGTCACCTGTACCACCTGCAGGACAACATCCAGCACGCTGACCCACCTGTGCAGGTGAGTTACACACCTGTCACACCTGGGGGGGTCACCTGTCCCACCTGCAGGACAACATCCAGCACGCTGACCCACCTGTGCAGGTGAGTTACACACCTGTCACACCTGGGGGGGTCACCTGTCCCACCTGCAGGACAACATCCACCACGCTGACCCACCTGTGCAGGTGAGTTACACACCTGTCACACCTGGGGGGGTCACCTGTACCACCTGCAGGATAACATCCAGCACGCTGACCCACCTGTGCAGGTGAGACTCATTGACACACACCTGGGGGGGTCACCTGTCCCACCTGCAGGACAACATCCAGCACGCTGACCCACCTGTGCAGGTGAGCCACACACCTGGGGGGGTCACCTGTCCCACCTGCAGGACAACATCCACCACGCTGACCCACCTGTGCAGGTGAGCCACACACCTGGGGGGGTCACCTGTCCCACCTGCAGGACAACATCCACCACGCTGACCCACCTGTGCAGGTGAGTTACACACCTGGGGAGTCACCTGTCCCACCTGGGGGGTCACCTGTCACACCTGGGGGCTCCTGACACACCTGTGCAGGTGAGCAGGGAGATGGGGACACACCTGCTCAGGTGAAGGCAGGACACACGTGTCCAGGTAAGTGGGAGATGCTTGTCCAGGTGATTTGGGGACACCTGTCCAGGTGAAAGATGGGACACCTGTGCAGGTAAGTGGGGGGGACACACCTGTGCAGGTGATTTGGGGACATCTGTGCAGGTAAGTGGGAGATATTGGTCCAGGTGATTTGGGACACACCTGTGCAGGTAAATTAAAGGAATAGAACACACCGGTGCAGGTGGAAATGGGACACACCTGTGCAGGTGAGAGTGGGACACACCTGTACAGATGAGAGTGGGACACCATTCCAGTGAATCTGTGACACACCTGGGCAGGTGAGGTGACCTCACCTGTGCTGGTCAGGGCTGGTCAGGACTCATTTTTGGTGATCAGAGCTCACCTGTCCAGGTGTGATGGTGACACCTGTGCCTCACCTGTCCATCCCAGATCCTGTCCAACCGCAGGATGGTGCAGCTGGGCGTGGTCAGGACTCGTTTCTGGTGGTCAGGGATGATCAGAACTCACCTGTGCTGATCAGACAATCACACCTGTGCCTCACCTGTGCCTCACCTGTCCCCCCCAGATCCTGTCCAACCACGCAGTGGTGCAGCTGGGAGTGGTCAGGCAGCTCATTTTTGGTGATCAGAACTCACCTGTCCAGGTGTGATGGTGACACCTGTGCCTCACCTGTCCCTTGTAGATCCTGTCCAACCGCAGGATGGTGCAGCTGGGCGTGGTCAGGACTCGTTTGTGGTGGTCAGGGCTGGTCAGAACTCACCTGTGCTGATCAGACAATCACACCTGTGCCTCACCTGTGCCTCACCTGTCCCCCCCAGATCCTGTACAACCGCACGCAGTGGTGCAGCTGGGGGTGGTCAGGACTCATTTTTGGTGGTCAGGGCTGGTCAGGGCTCAGCTCTCTGGGTCAGAACTCACCTGTCCAGGTGATGTCACCTCACCTGTGCCTCACCTGTGCCTCACCTGTCCCCCCCAGATCCTGTACAACCGCACGATGGTGCAGCTGGGCGTGGTCAGGACTCGTTTTTGGTGGTCAGGACTCGTTTTTGGTGGTCAGGGCTGGTCAGAACCCATTTTTGGTGAGCTCTCTGGGTCAGAACTCACCTGTGGTGGTCACATGGTGACACCTGTGCCTCACCTGTCCCTTGTAGATCCTGTACAACCGCACGATGGTCCAGCTGGGGGTGGTCAGGACTCGTTTCTGGTGACCAGGGATGATCAGGGCTGGTCAGAACTCACCTGTCCAGGTGATGTCACCTCACCTGTGCCTCACCTGTCCCTTGTAGATCCTGTACAACCGCACGATGGTCCAGCTGGGCGTGGTCAGGACTCGTTTTTGGTGGTCAGGGCTGGTCAGAACTCACCTGTGGTGGTCACATGGTGACACCTGAGCCTCACCTGTGCCTCACCTGTCCCTCGTAGATCCTGTACAACCGCACGATGGTGCAGCTGGGCGTCGTAGTCAGGACTCGTTCTTGGTGGTCAGGACTCGTTTTTGGTGGTCAGGGTTGATCAGAACCTATTTTTGGTGATCAGAACTCACTCTCCAGGTGATGTCACGCGACACCTGTGCCTCACCTGTCCTCACCTGTCCATCCCAGATCCTGTACAACCGCACGATGGTCCAGCTGGGCATCTGCGCCTTCCGCAGGGGCTGATCAAGGACGCCCACAGCTTGTGTCAGAGCTCGGGTGTTGGGGTCAGGGCTGGTCAGGGGTGATCAGAACTCACGTGCCCAGGTGTGATAACCTCACCTGTCCATCCTAGATCCTGTACAACCGCACGATGGTCCAGCTGGGCGTGGTCAGGACTCGATTTTGGTGCTCAGGGCTGGTCAGGGCTGGGTCCCGGGAGTGATCAGAACTCCACGTGCTAGGTGCAGATGGCGCCTCTCCACCTGTCCCCCAGATCTGCACAACGCACCATGGTCCAGCTGGGTCTGCGCCTTCCCGGCAGGGGGCTGATCAGGACGCCCTGACGCCCTGCTGGACATCCAGAGCTCGGGTGTTGGGTCAGGGCTGGTCAGAACTCACCTGTCCAGGTGTGATGACCTCACCTGTCCCTTGTAGATCCTGTACAACCGCACGATGGTGCAGCTGGGCATCTGCGCCTTGTCGCAGGGGCTGATCAAGGACGCTGCACAACGCCCTGCTGGACATCCAGAGCTCGGGTGTTGGGGTCAGGGCTGGTCAGGGCTGGTCAGAACTCACCTGTCCAGGTGTGATGGTGACACCTGTGCCTCACCTGTCCCTTGTAGATCCTGTACAACCGCACCATGGTCCAGCTGGGCATCTGCGCCTTCCGCCAGGGGCTGATCAAGGACGCGCACAACGCCCTGCTGGACATCCAGAGCTCGGGGCGGGCCAAGGAGCTGCTGGGGCAGGGGCTGCTGCTGCGCAGCCTGCAGGAGCGCAACGCCGAGCAGGAGAAGGTGGAGAAGCGGCGCCAGGTGCCCTTCCACATGCACGTCAACCTGGAGCTGCTCGAGTGCGTCTACCTGGTGGCCGCCATGCTGCTGGAGATCCCCTACATGGCGGCCCACGAGTTCGACGCCCGGCGCCGCATGATCAGCAAGCAGTTCCACCACCAGCTGCGCGTGGGGGAGCGGCAGCCCCTGCTGGGTACGGGGGGTTTGGTTATTTGGGGGAAATTTTTTTTGGGGGTTTTTTTGGGGGTTTTTTTGGGGTGAAATTGGGGTTTTTTGGGGTTTTTGGGGTTTTGGAGTTCGGCGCCCGGCGCCGCATGATCAGCAAGCAGTTCCACCACCAGCTGCGCGTGGGGGAGCGACAGCCCCTGCTGGGTACGGGGGTTTGGTTATTTGGGGAAATTTGGGGTGAAATTGGGGGGATTTTTGGGGGTTTTTGGGGTGTTATTGGGGTTTTTGGAGTTCGGCGCCACATGATCAGCAAGCAGTTCCACCACCAGCTGCGCGTGGGGGAGCGCCAGCCCCTGCTGGGTACGGGGGTTTGGTTATTTGGGTTTGGGGTTTTGGGGGTTTTGGGGTGAAGTGGGGTTTTGGGGTTTTTTGGGGGTTTTTTTGGGGGTTTTTGGAGTTCGGCGCCGCATGATCAGCAAGCAGTTCCACCACCAGCTGCGCGTGGGGGAGCGACAGCCCCTGCTGGGTACGGGGGTTTGGTTATTTGGGGGGTTTGGGTTTGTTTTGGGGGAAATTTGGGGTTTTTGGGAGTTTTTGGGGGTTTTTGGGGTTTTTTTGGGGTTTTTGGAGTTCGACGCCCGGCGCCGCATGATCAGCAAGCAGTTCCACCACCAGCTGCGCGTGGGGGAGCGACAGCCCCTGCTGGGTGCGGGGGTTTGGTTTGGTTATTTGGGGGAAATTTGGGGGTTTTGGGGTTTTTTGGGGTGAAATTGGGGTGAAATTGGGGGTTTTTTTGGGGTTTTTTTTGGGGTTTTTGGAGTTCGGCGCCGCATGATCAGCAAGCAGTTCCACCACCAGCTGCGCGTGGGAAGCGACAGCCCTGCTGGGTACGGGGGTTTGGTTTGTTTATTTGGGGGAAATTTGGGAGTTTTTTTGGGGGTTTTTTGGGGGTTTTTTTGGGGTTTTTGGAGTTCGGCGCCGCATGATCAGCAAGCAGTTCCACCACCAGCTGCGCGTGGGGGAGCGCCAGCCCCTGCTGGGTACGGGGGTTTGGTTTGTTTATTTGGGGGAAATTTGGGGTTTTTTTGGGGGAAATTTGGGGTTTTTTTGGGGTTTTTTGGGGTTTTTGGAGTTCGACGCCCGGCGCCGCATGATCAGCAAGCAGTTCCACCACCAGCTGCGCGTGGGGGAGCGACAGCCCCTGCTGGGTGCGGGGGGTTTGTTTATTTGGGGTTTTTTAGGGGTTTGGGGTGAAATTGGGGTTTTTTTGGGGGTTTTTTGGGGTTTTTTTGGGGTTTTTTTGGGGGTTTTTGGAGTTCGACGCCCGGCGCCGCATGATCAGCAAGCAGTTCCACCACCAGCTGCGCGTGGGAGGCGCCAGCCCTGCTGGGTGCGGGGGTTTGTTTATTTGGGGAATTTGGGGTTTTGGGGGTTTTGGGGTGAAATTGGGGTTTTTGGGGTTTTTGGGGTTTTTCTGGGGTTTTTCTGGGGTTTTTGGAGTTCGACGCCCGGCGCCGCATGATCAGCAAGCAGTTCCACCACCAGCTGCGCGTGGGGGAGGCGACAGCCCTGCTGGGTGCGGGAGTTTGTTTATTTGGGAAATTTGGGGGGTTTTGGGGTTTTGGTGAAGTTGGGGTTTTTGGGGTTTTGGGGGGTTTTCTGGGGTTTTTGGGGTTTTTGGAGTTCGGTAGCCGCATGATCAGCAAGCAGTTCCACCCACCAGCTGCGCGTGGGGAAGCGCCAGCCCTGCTGGGTGCGGGGGTTGGGGGTTTTTGGGGGGTTTGGGGGGTTTTGGGGGGTTTTGGGTTGGGGTTGTGCCCCTGAGTTGGGGAGGAGGGTTTGTGGGGGGGTTTTCTTGGGTTGGTTGTTCCTCGGTGAGTTCGAGTTCTCCAGACCCATAGATTGGTTTTTCTGCCCTATAGTCTGGTCAATGATCCCATAACGTGGTCCCTGACCCCATAACGTGGTTCCTGACCCCATAACTTGGTCCCTGACCCCATAAAATGGTCCCTCACCCCATAACTTGGTCCCTCACCACATAACGTGCTCCCTGCCCCCATAACCTGCTCCCTGACCCTATAAATTGATTCCCTGACCCCATAACCTGCTCCCTGACCCCATTGGTGTCCCCCTGACCCCATAACTGACCCCATAGCTGCTCCCTCACCACATAACGTGGTCCCTGACCCCGTAACTTGGTCCCTGACCCCATAACCTGGTCCATGACCCCATAAAATGGTCCCTGACCACATAACATGGTCCCTCACCCCATAACTTGGTCCCTCACCACATAACCTGGTCCCTGACCCCATAACTTGCTCCCTGACCCCATAAATTGATTCCCTGACCCATAAATTGATTTCCTGACCCCATAACTGATCCCCTGACCCCATAACGTGCTTTCTCACCCCATAACTTGGTCCCTGACCCCATAGCTGCTCCCTGACCCCATAACGTGGTCCCTGACCCCATAACTGACCCCCTGACCCCATAACTGACCCCATAACCCCCCAGGTCCCCCCGAGTCGATGCGGGAGCACGTGGTGGCATAACCTGCTCCCTGACCCCATAACTGACCCCTGACCCCATAACTGACCCCATCACTGACCCCATAAATGACCCCATCACTGACCCCATAACTGACCCCATCACTGACCCCATCACTGACCCCATAACTGACCCCCTGACCCCATCACTGACCCTATAACTGAGCCCTGACCCCATAACTGACCCCATAACTGACCCCATAACTGACTCCATAACTGACCCCATCACTGAACTCATAACTGACCCCAAAACTGACCCATAACTGACCCCATAACTGACCCCATAACTGACCCCATAACTGACCCCATAACTGACCCATAACTGACCCCATAACTGACCCCCTGACCCCATAACTGACCCCATAACTGACCCCATAAATTGATTACCTGTCCCTGACCCCCAGGCCCCCTGAGTCGATGAGGGAGCACGTGGTGGCCGCCTCCAAGGCCATGAAGACGGGGGTTAACTGACCCATAACTGACCCCATAACTGACCCCTGACCCCATAACTGACCCCATAAATTGATTACCTGTCCCCAGGCCCCCCCGAGTCGATGAGGGAACACGTGGTGGCCGCCTCCAAGGCCATGAAGACGGGGGACTGGCGGCGCTGCCACCGCTTCGTGGTCAACGAGAAGATGAACGGCAAGGTGTGGGACCTGTTCCCCGAGGCCGACCAGGTGCGCGCCATGCTCGTCAGGTGAGACCACCTGGGGGGGGTTGGGGGGGGTTTGGGGGATTTGGAGGGTTTGAGAGGGATTTAGGGGGTTTGGGGGGGTTTGGGGAGGGTTTGAGGGGATTTGGGGGTTTGGGGGCACTCCAGGTGTGCGCCATGCTCGTCAGGTGAGAACACCTGGGGGGTTTGGGGGATTTGGGGGTTGGAGGGATTTGAGGAGGTTTGAGGGGATTTCAGGGGGTTTGTGGGGGTTGAGGGGATTTGGGAGGGTTTGGGGGCGCTCCAGGGGTTTGGGGGCACTCCAGGTGCGGGCCATGCTCGTCAGGTGAGAACACCTGGGGGTTTGGGGGGGTTAGAGAGGGGATTTGGGGGGATTTGAGGGGTTTGGGGGGTTTGAGGGGATTTGGGGGGTTGGGAGGGATTTGGGGGTTGAGGGGATTTCGGGGGTTTGAAGGGGTTTGAGGGGGATTTGGGGGATTTGGGGGTTGGGGGCGCTCAGGTGTGCGCCATGCTCGTCAGGTGAGAACACCTGGGGGGTCTGGGAGGGAGTTGGGGGGTTTGGGGGGTTTGGGGGGGATTTGGGGGTTTGAGGGGATTTTGGGGGATTTGGGGGGTTTGAGGGGATTTGGGGGGTTTGAGGGGGATTTTGGGGGTTTGGGGGATTTGGGGGGTTTGAGGGGATTTGGGGGTTTGAGGGGATTTGGGGGGGTTCGGGGTCACTCCAGGGGTTTGGGGGCACTCCAGGTGTGGAGTCATGCTCGTCAGGTGAGAGCACCTGGGGGGTTTTTGGGGGGTTTGGGGGATTTGGAGGGGTTTGAGAGGGGTTTGGGGGGTTTGGGGGGGATTTGGGGGGTTGGGGGGATTTGGGGGGGTTTGGGGTCACTCCAGGGGGTTTGGGGGCACTCCAGGTGCGCGCCATGCTCGTCAGGTGAGAGCACCTGGGGGGTTTTTTGGGGGGGTTTGGTCACTCAACAGTCTCTAAGTGGTCATTCTGTGGTCACTCACCGGTCACTCCCTGGGTCAGTTGGTCACTCAGCGGTCACTCAGTGGTCACTCAGTGGTCACTCAGTGGTCAGCAGTCTCTCAGTGGTCAGTGGTCACTCAGTGGTCACTCAATGGTCACTCAGTGGTCAGCAGTCTCTCAGTGGTCACTCAGTGGTCACTCAGGGTCACTCAGTGGTCACTCAGTAGTCTCTCAGTGGTCAGTGGTCACTCAGTGGTCACTCAGTGGTCACTCAGTGGTCACTCAGTGGTCAGCAGTCTCTCAGTGGTAAGTGGTCACTCAGTGGTCACTCAGTGGTCACTCAGTGGTCACTCCATGGTCACTCAGTGGTCAGCAGTCTCTCAGTGGTCAGTGGTCACTCAGTGGTCAGCGATCACTCATGGTCAGTTGGTCACTCAGTGGTCACTCCATGGTCACTCAGTGGTCAGCAGTCTCTCAGTGGTCAGTGGTCACTCAGTGGTCAGTGGTCACTCAGTGGTCACTCAGTGGTCACTCGGTCAGTGTTCAGTGGGTGGTCACTCAGTGGTCACTCAGCGGTCACTCAGCGGTCAGTGGGTGGTCAGTGGGTGGTCAGTGGATGGTCAGTAGTGGTCAGTGGTCACTCAGTGGTCACTCAGTGGTCAGTGGATGGTCAGTGGATGGTCAGTAGTGGTCAGTGGTCACTCCATGGGTCAGTGGTCACTCAGTGGTCACTCAGTGGTCACTCAGCTGGTCACTCAGTGGTCACTGTGGGTCACTCAGTGGGTGGTCACTAGTGGTCACTCAGTGGTCACTCAGTGGTCACTCAGTGGTCACTCAGTGGTCACTAGTGGTCACTCAGTGGTCAGTGGTCACGTGGTCACTCAGATGGTCACTAGTGGTCACTCAGTGGTCACTCAGTGGTCACTCCATGGTCTCTCAGTGGTCAGTGTGTGGTCACTCAGCGGTCACTCAGCGGTCACTCAGCGGTCACTCAGTGGTCACTCAGCGGTCACTCAGCGGTCACTCAGCGGTCAGTGGATGGTCAGTAGTGGTCAGTAGTGTGGTCACTCAGTGGTCACTCAGCGGTCACTCAGCGGTCACTCTGCCCCCCCAGGAAGATCCAGGAGGAGTCTCTCCGCACGTACCTGTTCACCTACAGCAGCGTCTACGACTCCATCAGGTACGGGGCGTGGCCGGGGGGGGCGTGGCCACGCCCAGGTGACCTTACCGTGTCCCCTGACCACGCCCACCCCTCATTAGCATAAGGGCGTGGCCACCTTTGCTCACCTGGGCGTGGTTTGGGGGTGGGTGTGGCTGCTCCCAGGTGAGCTGGGCGTGGCCTCCCTGACCACACCCACATCCTCATTTGCATAAGGGCGTGGCCACCTTTGCGCCTCTCCCGCTCACCTGGGCGTGGTCGTGGGTGGGCGTGGCCGCTCCCAGGCGGGCTGGGCGTGGCCCAGGTGGGGTGGGCGTGGCCCAGGCGAGGTGGGCGTGGCCCAGGTGACCCCTGTGGCCCCTCCCCCCCCCAGCATGGAGACGCTGGCGGCCATGTTTGAGCTGGACCTGCCCACGGTGCACGGCATCATCAGCAAGATGATCATTAACGAGGAGCTCATGGTGAGGGGGCGGGGCCTCAACGGGGTGGGCGGGGCCTCAAGGGGTGGGCGGGGCCAGTGGGGGCAGGGAGGGGAAATTGGGGGGATTCGGGGCGGGTTTTGGGGTGGTTTTGGGGTTACCTGTGCCCCAGGTGTGTCGGGGTGGGCGTGGCTCACCTGGCCACACCCCCCTTGTTGTCATCAACCAATCAGAGACCAGAAAGAAGCACCTTAACCCAAGTGTGGGGTGGATTTGGGGTGGTTTTGGGTGTGGATTTGGGGTAGTTTTGGGGTTACCTGCGCCCCAGGTGTGGTCAAGGTGTGTTGAGGTGGGTGTGGCTCACCTGGCCACACCCCCCTCTGTTGTCACTCAACCAATCAGAGACCAGAAAGAAGCACCTTAACCCAAGTGTGGGGTGGTTTTGGGGGTGGATTTTGGGGTGGTTTTGGGGTTACCTGCGCCCCAGGTGGGTGTTGAGGTGGGCATGGCTCACCTGGGCACACCCCCCTCGTTATCATCAACCAGTCACAGACCAGAAAGAAGCACTTTAATCCAAGTGTGGGGCAGATTTGGGGTGGTTTTGGGGTCGGATTTTGGGGTAGTTTTGGGGTTACCTGCGCCCCAGGTGGGTGTTGAGGTGGGCGTGGCTCACCTGGCCACACCCCCCTAGTTGTCATCAACCAATCACAGACCAGAAAGAAGCACCTTAACCCAAGTGTGGGGTGGATTTGAGGTGGTTTTGGGGGCAGATTTTGGGGTGGTTTTGGGGTTACCTGCGCCCCAGGTGTGTCGGGGTGGGCGTGGCTCACCTGGCCACACCCCCCTCGTTGTCATCAACCAATCACAGACCAGAAAGAAGCCCCTTAACCCAAGTGTGGGGCGGATTTGGGGTGGTTTTGGGGGCAGATTTGGGGTGGTTTGGGGGTCGGATTTTGGGGTGGTTTTGGGGTTACCTGCGCCCCAGGTGAGTGTCGAGGTGGGCGTGGCTCACCTGGCCACACCCGTCTCATTCTCCTCAACCAATCAGAGACCAGAAAGAAGCCCCTTAACCCAAGTGTGGGGTGGTTTTGGGGGTGGATTTTGGGGTGGTTTTGGGGTTACCTGCGCCCCAGGTGGGTGTTGAGGTGGGCATGGCTCACCTGGGCACACCCCCCTCGTTATCATCAACCAGTCACAGACCAGAAAGAAGCACCTTAACCCAAGTGTGGGGCAGATTTGGGGTGGTTTTGGGGGCGGATTTGGGGTGGTTTTGGGGTTACCTGCGCCCCAGGTGTGGCGGGGTGGGCGTGGCTCACCTGGGCACACCCCCCTCGTTATCATCAACCAGTCACAGACCAGAAAGAAGCACCTTAACCCAAGTGTGGGGCAGATTTGGGGTGGTTTTGGGGGCGGATTTGGGGTGGTTTTGGGGTTACCTGTGCCCCAGGTGTGTCGAGGTGGGCGTGGCTCACCTGGGCACACCCCCCTCATTGTCATCAACCAATCAGAGACCAGAAAGAAGCCCCTTAACCCAAGTGTGGGGTGGTTTTGGGGGTGGATTTTGGGGTGGTTTTGGGGTTATCTGCGCCCCAGGTGAGTGTCGAGGTGGGCGTGGCTCACCTGGCCACACTCCCCTCGTTATCATCAACCAATCAGAGACCAGAAAGAAGCACTTTAATCCAAGTGTGGGCCAGATTTGGGGTGGTTTTGGGGTCGGATTTTGGGGTGGTTTTGGGGTTACCTGCGCCCCAGGTGTGGCGGGGTGGGCGTGGCTCACCTGGCCACGCCCCGGGCAGGCGTCTCTGGACCAGCCGACGGCGACGGTGATGATGCACCGGACGGAGCCGACGGCGACGCAGAACCTGGCGCTGCAGCTCGCCGAGAAGCTCGGCAACCTGGTGGAGAACAACGAGCGCGTCCTCGACCAGCGCCAGGGCGCCTACGGGGGGTACTTCCGGGGTAAGAGCACACCTGGGCACACCTGGGCACACCTGGGGGGCACGGGGGCACACCTGGGGGAGCGTCCTCAACCAGCGCCAGGGCACCTACGGGGGGTACTTCCGGGGTAAGAGCACACCTGGGCACACCTGGGCACACCTGGGGGGCACCTGGGCACACCTGGGGGGCACGGGGGAGCGTCCTCGACCAGCGCCAGGGCGCCTATGGCGGGTACTTCCGGGGTAAGAGCACACCTGGGCACACCTGGGCGCACCTGGGCACACCTGGGGGGCATGGGATGCATTTGGGAGACACCTGGGGGCACCTGGGCACACCTGGGGGGCACGGGGGCACCTGGGGGAGCGTCCTCGACCAGCGCCAGGGCGCCTACGGGGGGTACTTCCGGGGTAAGAGCACACCTGGGGGCACCTGGGCACACCTGGGGGGCACGGGGGCACACCTGGGGGAGCGTCCTCAACCAGCGCCAGGGTGCCTACGGGGGGTACTTCTGGGGTAAGAGCACACCTGGGGGCACCTGGGCACACCTGGGGGCAGCTGGGGGACACAGGGGGGACATCTGGGGGCACCTGGGGGATGTGGGATGCATTTGGGAGACATCTGGGGAGCACCTGGAGACACCTGGGGGTCACCTGACACACGTGGGACACACCTGGGCACACTTGGGCACACCTGGGCACACCTGGGACACACGTGGGACACACCTGGGCTCACCTGGGCACATGTGGGACACACCTGGGCACATGTGGGCATGCCTGGGGCACACATGGGACACACCTGGGCACACATGGGACACACCTGGGCTCACCTGGGACACACCTGGGCACACGTGGGACACACCTGGGACACACCTGGGCTCACCTGTCCCGGCCCCGCCCCCGCAGATCAGAAGGACGGCGGGTACCGCAAGGGCGACGGGTACCTGAGACGAGGCGGCTTCCGGCAGGAGCGCGGCAACTACTGAGCCACACCTGCCCCACGGCGGGGCCCACCTGCCCCACGCAGCCATCACCTGCCCCACAGATCCATCACCTGCCCCAGGGAACCATCACCTGTCCTACAGAACCATCACCTGCCCCATGGATCCATCACCTGCCCCATGGAGCCATCACCTGCCCCACAGATCCATCACCTGCCCCAGGGAACCATCACCTGTCCTACAGAACCATCACCTGCCCCATGGATCCATCACCTGCCCCACGCAGCCATCACCTGCCCCACGGAGCCATCACCTGCCCCACGGAACCATCACCTGCCCCAGGGAACCATCACCTGCCCCATGGAGCCATCACCTGCCCCACAGATCCATCACCTGCCCCAGGGAACCATCACCTGCCCCACAGATCCATCACCTGCCCCACAGATCCATCACCTGTCCTACAGAACCATCACCTGCCCCACAGATCCATCACCTGCCCCACAGATCCATCACCTGCCCCAGGGAACCATCACCTGCCCCACAGATCCATCACCTGCCCCACAGATCCATCACCTGTCCTACAGAACCATCACCTGCCCCACAGATCCATCACCTGCCCCACAGAACCATCACTTGCCCCAGGGAACCATCACCTGCCCTATAGAACCATCACCTGCCCCACAGAACCATCACTTGCCCCAGGGAACCATCACCTGTCCTACAGATCCATCACCTGCCCCACAGATCCATCACCTGCCCCATGGAGCCATCACCTGCCCCACAGATCCATCACCTGCCCCATGGAGCCATCACCTGCCCCAGGGAACCATCACCTGCCCCATGGAGCCATCACCTGCCCCACGGAACCATCACCTGTCCTACAGAACCATCACCTGCCCCATGGAACCATCACCTGCCCCACAGATCCATCACCTGCCCCAGGGAACCATCACCTGCCCCAGGGAACCATCACTTGCCCCACAGATCCATCACCTGCCCCACAGATCCATCACCTGCCCCATGGAGCCATCACCTGCCCCAGGGAACCATCACCTGCCCCACAGATCCATCACCTGCCCCACAGAACCATCACCTGCCCCACAGAACCATCACCTGCCCCACAGATCCATCACCTGCCCCACAGATCCATCACCTGCCCCAGGGAACCATCACTTGCCCCACAGATCCATCACCTGCCCCAGGGAACCATCACCTGCCCCATGGAGCCATCACCTGCCCCAGGGAACCATCACCTGCCCCACAGATCCATCACCTGCCCCACAGATCCATCACCTGCCCCATGGAGCCATCACCTGCCCCACAGATCCATCACCTGCCCCATGGAGCCATCACCTGCCCCAGGGAACCATCACTTGCCCCACAGATCCATCACCTGCCCCACAGATCCATCACCTGCCCCATGGAGCCATCACCTGCCCCACAGATCCATCACCTGCCCCACAGGTCACTCACCTGCCCCACATCGGGACCCACCGTGGCTGAAAATTTAATAAAGGATTCGTTAACGAGGCGTGGGAGTGACTTAATGAGCGCTGGGGGGAGGGGCTGCCCCCCAAAACCCATCCTGGCCCCACAGGTGACCCCATTTTGTGCCCCTCAGGTTTTCCCGCCATTTTGTGCCCCTCAGGATTTCCCGCCATTTTGTCCCCTCACGATTTCCCGCCATTTTCTCCCCTCAGGTTTTCCCTCCATTTTGTCCCCTCAACAATTTGCTGCCATTTTCTCCCCTCAGGTTTTCCCGCCATTTTGTCCCCTCGGGTTTTCCCTCCATTTTGTCCCCTCAGGTTTTTCCGCCATTTTCTCCCCTCTGGTTTTCCCCCAGTTTGTTCCCCTCATGATTTCCCACCATTTTGTCCCCTCACGATTTCCCGCCATTTTCTCCCCTCACGGTCCCCGCCATTTTGTCCCCTCAGGTTTCCCCTCCATTTTGTCCCCTCACGGTCCCCTCCATTTTCTCCCCTCAGGTTTTCCACCATTTTGTCCCCTCAGGTTTTCCCGCCATTTTCTCCCCTCACATTTTCCCTCCATTTTGTCCCCTCACGATTTGCCGCCATTTTGTGCCTGTCTGCCCCATAACCATCCCTGCTTTAATAAAATCATTATTCTTTGAATTAAAACCGTTAATTTATTAATTAGGCCTCACTAAGGAGCCACAAGGGCAGGGCATCCCTCTCTCCAACCTGCCCCATAGCGGCTCTTCCCCCCCACTCTCCTTCAACCCATTAATTACTCATTAAACCTCATTAATGATTGACGAGGGTGGGGGAGGGGACCCCCAGAATCCCTCACTAATTAATCCCGTTAATGAGTGACCCGGGGCGGGGGGAGGGGTGGATTTGTCCCCCTGGCACCGCGATGGGGCACGAGGGGGACAGGGGGACCGGGGGTCTCTATGGGGCCGGGGGATTTGGGGGTCTCTATGGGCCAGGGGAATTGGGGGTCTCTATGGGGCCGGGGGATCCAGGGGGTCTCTACGGGACCGAGGCATTCCAGAGGGGTCTCTATGGGGCCAGGGGATTTGGGGGTCTCTATGGGCCAGGGGGATTTGGGGGTCTCTATGGGGCCGGGGGATCCAGGGGGTCTCTATGGGGCGGGGGGCTCCATGGGGGTCTCTATGGGACCGAAGGGATCCAGAGGGGTCTCTATGGGGCCAGGGGATTTGGGGGTCTCTATGGGGTCGGGGAGATTCAGGGGGTCTCTATTGGGTCAGGGGATTTGGGGGTCTCTATGGGGCCGGGGGATCCAGGGGGTCTCTATGGGTCCGGGGTTCCCCGGCCGTGGGGGGGTCCCCGGGGGGGTCCCTGGCGGCGCGGATTGGGCAGGGCCGGGCGCTGAGGGCGCTTGGGGGGTGGGAGCTGGTGCGGGCCCTGCTGGTGCTGCGGCTCTGTGCCCACCCCTGGCTGGTGGACAACGCCGAGATGGTGAGACCCCCGACCCCTGAGAGCCCCTGCCCCCAGAGACCCTCCTGACCCACAGGGACCACCAGAGATCCACCCTGACCCACAGGGACCACACGAGACCCCACAGAGACCCCCTGAGAGACCCCCTGCACCCCCCCAGAGACCCTCCTGACCCACGGGGACCACCAGAGGTCCACCCTGACCCACAGAGACCCCACAGAGACCCCCGACCCCCTGAGAGACCCCCTGCACCCCCCCCAGAGACCCCCTGACCCACAGGGACCACACAGAGCACTCCTGGAGCCACAGGGACCCTCCTGAGCCACAGAGACCCCAGAGATCCACCCTGACCCTCAGAGACCCCCGTGACCCACAGGGAACCCTCTCTATGGGGTCAATCTATGGGGTCAGGGGGTCCCTGAGTGTCCCCCTCCCCCATAACTCCCTCCCCCCCCCAGGTGCTGCGGGGGTCGCAGCGGGTGCTGCCCCTCCCCCTTTGGGTTTGGGGTCAATCTCTGGGGTCAGGGGTCAACCTTTGGGGTCAGGGGGTCCCTGTGGGTCAGGGGGTCCCTGTAGGTCAGGGGTCAATCTTTGGGGTCAGGGGGTCCCTGTGGGTCAGGGGGTCCCTGAGTGTCCTGGGGTCAGGTGCTGCGGGGGTCGCAGCGGGTGCTGCCCCTCCCCCTGTGGGTCAGGGGGGGTCCCTGTGGGTCAGGGGTCAATCTTTGGGGTCCGGGGGGTCCCTGTGGGTCAGGAGGGTCCCTGTGGGTCAGGGGGGTCCCTGTGGGTCAGGGGTCAATCTATGGGGTCAGGGGGGTCTCTGAGTGTCCCCTCCCCCCCCAGGTGCTGCGGGGGTCGCAGCGGGTGCTGCCCCTCCCCCTGTGGGTCGGGGGGGTCCCTGTGGGTCTGGGGGTCAACCTGTGGGTCTGGGGTCAATCTGTGGGGTCCGGGGGGTCCCTGAGTGTCCCCCCTCCCCCCCAGGTGCTGCGGGGGTCGCAGCGGGTGCTGCCCCTCCCCCTTTGGCGGGGGCTGCTGTCGCTGTCCCTGTTCGGTCACTTCGCCTCGGGGCGTGGCCGCAGAGCCCTGGGGGGCGTGGCCGAGCGGCTCCGGGGGCGGGGCCTCCGCCCCATGCTCGCCCTGCCCCTGGAGGGGGAGGGGCCCGAGGGGGAGGGGTGAGTGGGGAGGGGAGGGGGGGGAGGAGGGGTGGGGAGGGGCGAATGGAGGGGGAGGGGCGGGGAGGGGTCACTTTGGGGTGGGAGGAGGGGAAGGAGGGGGAGGGGGAATTTCAGGGGGAGGGGAGGGCAAGGAGGGGAGGGGTCAGCTATGAGGTGGGGAGGGGTCACTTATATGGTGGGAGGGGCGAATTTGAGGGGGAGGGGCGGGGTGACTTATGGGGGTGGGGAGGAGGCGATATTGAGGGGAGGGGTGGGGAGGGGTCACTTGGGGGAGGGGAGATGAAGGTGGGGGAGGGGTGAGTGAGGATGGGGGGAGTGGGAGGGGTCAGTGATGGGGTCAGTTTTGGGGTCAGTTATGGGGTCAGTTATGGGGTCAGTGATGGGGTCAGTTATGGGGTCAGTTATGGGGTCAGTTATGGGGTCAGTGATGGGGTCAGTTATGGGGTCATGGGGTCAGTGATGGGGTCAGTATGGGGTCAGTTATGGGGTCAGTGATGGTCAGTTATGGGGTCAGTGATGGGGCTAAGCAGGGGGTCAGTGATGGGGTCAGTGATGGGGTCAGTGATGGGGTCAGTTATGGGGTCAGTTATGGGGTCAGTGATGGGGTCAGGTATGCAGTTATGGGGTCAGTGATGGGGTCAGTTATGGGGTCAGTTATGGGGTCAGTTATGGGGTCAGTGATGGGGTCAGTTATGGGGTCAAAGATGGGTCAGTTATGGGGTCAGTGTATGGGGTCAGTTATGGGGTCAGTGATGGGGTCAGTTATGGGGTCAGTGATGGGGCTGGGGGTCAGTTATGGGGCCATGCTGGGCCAGCAGGGCTGCAGTGATGGGGTCAGTTATGGGGTCAGCTTTGGGGTCAGTGATGGGGTAAGCAGCTGTATGGGTCTGTTATGGGGCTACGATGGGTCTGATGGGGTCAGTGATGGTAGGCTAACTGTGGGCAGTCTACAATGTGGGGCGTATGGGGTCAGTTATGGGGTCAGTGATAATAAGCGGGGTCAGTTATGGGGTCAGGGTCTGATGGGTCAGTGATGGGGTCAGTTATGGGGTCAGTTATGGGGCTGCAGGGTCAGTGATGGGGTCAGGGTGTATGGGGTCAGTGATGGGGTCAGTGATGGGGTCAGTTATGGGGTCAGTTATGGGGTCAGTGATGGGGTCAGTTATGGGTCAGTTATGGGGTCAGTTATGGGGTCAGTGATGGGGTCAGTTATGGGGTCAGTTATGGGGTCAGTGATGGGGTCACTATGGGGTCAGTTATGGGGTCAGTTTGGGGTCAGTTATGGGGTCAGTGATGGGGTCAGTTATGGGGTCAGTGATGGGGTCAGTGTATGGGGTCAGTGATGGGGTCAGTTATGGGGTCAGTTATGGGGTCAGTGATGGGGTCAGGTATGGGGTCAGTTATGGGGTCAGTGATGGGGTCAGTTATGGGGTCAGTTATGGGGTCAGTTATGGGGTCAGTTATGGGGTCAGTTTGGGGTCAGTTATGGGGTCAGTTATGGGGTCAGTGGGTCAGTTATGGGGTCAGTTATGGGGTCAGTGATGGGGTCAGTGATGGGGTCAGTGTATGGGGTCAGTTTTGGGGTCAGTTATGGGTCAGTGATGGGGTCAGTTGATGGGGTCAGTGATGGGCAGTTTGGGGTCAGTTATGGGGTCAGTTATGGGGTCAGTTATGGGGTCAGTTTTGGGGTCACCTATGGGGTCATGTGGGTCAGGGGTCGGTTCCAGGCCAGCTGTGGGGTCAGCTTACAGTGGGTCAGTGTTGGGATCAGTTATGGGGTCAGTTATGGGGTCAGTTATGGGGTCAGTTATGGGGTCAGGGGGTCAGTTATGGGGTCAGTTATGGGGTCAGTTATGGGGTCAGTTTTGGGGTCAGTTATGGGGTCAGTGATGGGGTCAGTGATGGGGTCAGTGATGGGGTCAGGTATGGGGTCAGTTATGGGGTCAGTGATGGGGTCAGTTATGGGGTCAGTTATGGGGTCAGGGGTCAGTTATGGGGTCACTGATGGGGTCAGTGATGGGGTCAGTGATGGGGTCAGTGATGGGGTCAGTGATGGGGTCAGTGATGGGGTCAGTGATGGGGTCAGTGATGGGGTCAGTGATGGGGTCAGTTTTGGGGTCAGTTATGGGGTCAGTTATGGGGTCAGTGTTGGGGTCAGTTATGGGGTCAGTGATGGGGTCAGTGATGGGGTCAGTTATGGGGTCAGTGATGGGGTCAGTTTTGGGGTCAGTTTGGGGTCAGTTTTGGGGTCAGTTTTGGGGTTTTGGGGTCAGTTTGGGGTCAGTTTTGGGGTCACTGATGGGGTCAGTGATGGGGTCAGTTTTGGGGTCAGTTATGGGGTCTGTGGGGCAGGGAGTTCTGGTTCCAGGCCAACTGTGGGGCAGCCCTACAATGTGTGGGGCTGGCGGCGGGGGCGGGGCCCGATCCTGCCGTGCAGATCAAGGTGACGGCGCTGCTGAGTCAGCGGCTCTGCGTGAGTGGGGGAGGGGCACGGGGAGGGGGGAGGGTCTGTGGGGTGGGACCCAGAAATTGGGGAGGGGAACCCATAAATGTGGGGTGGGGTCTTTGGGGTGGGATTTGTGGGGTGGGATTTGTGGGGTGGGGTCTTTGGGGTGGGATTTGTGGGTGGGATTTGTGGGGTGGGGTCTTTGGGGTGGGATTTAGGGGTGGGATTTGTGGGGTGGGGTCTGTGGGGTGGGATCTGTGGGGTGGGATTTGTGGGGTGGGGCCTTTGGGGGTGGGATTTAGGGGGTGGGATTTGTGGGGTGGGGTCTGTGGGGTGGGATCTGTGGTGGGTGGGATTTGTGGGGTGGGGTCTTTGGGGTGGGATTTAGGGGTGGGATTTGTGGGGTGGGATCTGTGGGGTGGGATTTGTGGGGTGGGGTCTGTGGGGTGGGATCTGTGGGGTGGGATCTGTGGGGTGGGGTCTGTGGATTGGGATTTGGGGGTGGGATTTGGGGGTGGGGTCTGTGGGGCAGGGTCTGTGGGGTGAGATTTGTGGGGTGGGGTCTGGGGGTGGGGTCCATGGGGTGGGGTCTGTGGGGTAGGACCCATAAATTTGGGGGGAGGGACCCTAAATGTGGGGTGGGGTCTGTGGGGTGGGATCTGTGGGGTAGGACCCATAAATTTGGGGTGGGGACCCAAAAGTTGGGGGACCCTAAATGTGGGGTGGGGTCTGTGGGGTGGGACCCGATGAGTGGGGGCGGGGTCTCTGAGGGGGACCCATAAATTTGGGGTGGGGTCTGTGGGGAGGGGCAGGAGTGGGGGAGGGGCATGAGTGTGGGGTGGGATTGTGGGTGGGACCCACGAGAGTCGGGATCAGCCCCACAAGTGTGGGGTGGGATCCGTGGGGCGGGGCCGTCCCTCTGTGGCCCCTCCCCACCCCTCTGTGGCCCCTCCCCCCCCAGGAGAAGCTCTCTCAGCGATTGGCTGAGCCGGGGGGGGCGGGGCTGACCCCGGACAAGATGGCGGCCGTGATGGGCGGGCAGGTAACCCCGCCCCCTTTTCCCCAGAGGCCACGCCCCCAACCATGAGGCCACGCCCCTTTTCATCAGACCACGCCCCTTTCACCAGAGCCACACCCTTATTTGACCAGACCACACCCCTTTGATCGAAGCCACTCCCCCTGATAGGCCCCACCCTTCATTAATGAAGCCACGCCCCTTCTGCCAAGAGCCACGCCCCCTTTTCCAGGGGACACGCCCTCAACTGCGAGGCCACACCCCTTTCACATGAAGCCACGCCCCCGAGATAAGACCACGCCCCTTCATTATGTGGCCACGCCCCTTCCTTACATGGCCACACCCATCTTTATGAGGCCACACCCATCTTTATGAGGCCACACCCACCTTTATGAAGCCACACCCACCTTTATGAGGCCACACCTACCTTTATGAGGCCACACCCACCTTTATGAGACCACACCCACCTCTATGAGGTCACACCCACTTTTATGAGGCCACACCCACCTTTGTGAGACCACACCCACCTTTGTGAGGCCACACCCACCTTTGTGAGACCACACCCACTTTTATGAGGCCACACCCACCCTTTTGAGGTCACACCCACCTTTATGAGGCCACACCCACTTTTACAAGGCCACACCCAACTTTCTGAGACCACACCCACCTTTCTGAGGCCACACCCACCTTTATGAGGCCACACCCATTTTAAGAGACCACGCCTACCTTTCTGAGGCCACACCCACCTTTACGAGGCCCCACCCTCCTGTATGAGGCCACTCCCACCTTTCTTAGGCCACACCCACATCTATGAGACCACACCCACCTTTCTGAGACCACACCCACCTTCATAAGGCCACACCCACCTTTCTGAGGCCACACCCAACTTTCTGAGACCACACCCACCGTTCTGAGGCCACACCCACCTTTACGAGGCCACACCCACCTTTGGGTTGCCACACCCACCTTTACGAGGCCACACCCACCTTTACGAGGCCACACCCACCTTTGTGAGGCCACACCCACCTTTCTTAAGCCACACCCACCTTTATGAGGCCACACCCACCTGTATGAGGCCACACCCATCTTTATGAGGCCACACCCATTTTAAGAGGGCACACCCACCTGTATGAGGCCACACCCACCTTTATGAGGCCACACCCTTTTTCCTGATAAGCCCCGCCCCCAGGGGGGTCTCAGCCCCGCCCCCCTCACCTGCAGGCTCCTCCCCCCAGGTGCCGAATTTCCCCGGGCTGAGCCCCCCCGAGAACGAACACCTGGGCGGGGCCCTGCGCAGGATCGACCGCGTCGCCCAGGTGGGGGCACACCTGGGGCACCTGGCACACCTGGGGCACCTGCCCCACCTGTACCACCTCACCTGTCCCACCTGTACCACCTCACCTGTCCCACCTGGGGCATCTGTCCCACCTGTACCACCTCACCTGTCCCACCTGGGGCACCTGTCCCACCTGTACCACCTCACCTGTCCCACCTGTACCACCTCACCTGTCCCACCTGGGGCATCTGTCCCACCTGTGCCACCTCACCTGTCCCACCTGGGGCACCTGGCCCACCTGGGGCACCTGTCCCACCTGTACCACCTCACCTGTCCCACCTGGGGCACCTGGCCCACCTGGGGCACCTGTCCCACCTGTCCCACCTGTCCCAGTCCCACCTGGGTCCCCTGGGGCACCTGTCCCACCTGTCCCACCTGTCCCACCTGTCCCAGTCCCACCTGGGGCACCTGTCCCACCTGGGGCACCTGTCACCTGTCCCACCTGGGCCACCTCACCTGTCCCACCTGGGCCACCTGTCCTTGTCCCACCTGGGGCACCTGTCCCACCTGGGCCACCTGGGGCACCTGTCCCACCTGTGGCACACCTGTCCTTGTCCCACCTGGGTCATCTGGGCCACCTGTCCCACCTGGGCCACCTGTCCCACCTGGGCCACCTGTCCCTGTCCCACCTGGGTCATGTGGGGCACTTGTCCCACCTGGGCCACCTGTCCCCGTGCCCCACCTGGGTCATCTGGGCCACCTGTCCCACCTGTGGCACCTCACCTGTCCCACCTGGGTCACCTGTCCCATCTGTTCCAGTCCCATCAGTCTCACCAGTCCCATCTCACCTGTCCCATCTCACCTGTCCCACTCCCACCTGTCCCACCTGTCCCAGTCCTGCCTGTCCCACCTGTCCCATCTCACCTATCCATGTCTCACCTGTCCCAGTCCCATCTCACCTGTCCCCCCTCACCTGTCCCAGTCTCACCTGTCCCAGTCTCACCTGTCTCAGTCCCATCTCACCTGTCCCCCCTCACCTGTCCCAGTCTCACCTGTCCCACCTGTCCCACCCATCCTACCTATCCCATCTCACCTGTCCCACCTGTCCCAGTCCCACCTGTCCCCCAGTCCCCCCTGTCCCACCTGTCCCACCTGTCCCACCTGTTCCAGTCCCACCAGTCCCACCTGTCCCACCTGTCCCAGCCCCACCAGTCCCACCTGTCCCACCTGTCCCCCCTGTCCCAGTCCCACCTGTTCCAGTCCTACCTGTCCCACCTGTCCCACCTGTCCTTGTCCCACCAGTCCCACCAGTCCCCCCAGTCCCACCTGTCCCAGTCCCACCTGTCCCACCTGTCCTTGTCCCACCAGTCCCACCAGTCCCCCCAGTCCCACCTGTCCCCCCTGTCCCAGTCCCCCCTGTCCCCCTGTCCCACCTGTCTCACCTGTCCCACCTATCCCATCTCACCTGTCCACCTGTCCTTGTCCCACCTGTCCCCCAGTCCCCCCAGTCCCCCCTGTCCCCCCTGTCCCAGTCCCACCTGTCCCACCTGTCCCACCTATCCCATCTCACCTGTCCACCTGTCCCCCTGTCCCACCTGTCCCCCTGTCCCAGTCCCACCTGTTCCAGTCCTACCTGTCCCACCTGTCCCACCTGTCCCAGTCCCACCTGTCCCACCTGTCCCACCCATCCTACCTATCCCATCTCACCTGTCCCACCTGTCCCAGTCCCACCTGTCCCCCAGTCCCCCAGTCCCCCTGTCCCACCAGTCCCAGTCCCACCTGTCCCCCTGTCCCACCTGTCCCAGTCCCCCCAGTCCCACCTGTCCCACCTGTCCCACCTGTCCCACCTGTCCCACTCTCACCAGTCCCACCTGTCCCACCTGTCCCACTCTCACCTGTCCCACCTGTCCCACCTGTCCCTGTCCCAGCTGTCCCAGTCCCCCCTGTCCCACCTGTCCCACCTGTCCCACCTGTCCCACCTGTCCTAGTCCCACCTGTCCCACCTGTCCCAGTCCCCCCAGTCCCCCCTGTCTCACCTGTCCCAGTCCCACCTGTCCCAGTCCCACCTGTCTCACCTGTCCCACCTGTTCCAGTCCCACCTGTCCCACCTGTCCCAGTCCCACCTGTCCCACCTGTCCCACCTGTCCCACCTGTCCTAGTCCCACCTGTCCCACCTGTCCCAGTCCCCCCAGTCCCCCCTGTCTCACCAGTCCCACCTGTCGTGCAGGCGGCGGTGGCGGGCGGGGTCCGCCTGCTGGTGGACGCGGAGCTGTCCCACCTGAACCCGGCGCTCACCTGCGTCACCCTGGGGCTCATGTGGCGCCACAACCGCCGGGGGGCGCTGCCCTGGGTCTGGAACACCTACCAGGCCTACCTGCAGGTGCACCTGGGGGGAGGGGACACACCTGGGACACACCTGGGGGGGGGACGCTGCCCTGGGTCTGGAACACCTACCAGGCCTACCTGCAGGTACACCTGGGGGGAGGGGACACACCTGGGACACACCTGGGACACACCTGGACACACCTGGGGGGAGGGGACGGGCCAGGGACACACCTGGGACACACCTGGGACACACCTGGGACACACCTGGGGGGGAGGGGATGCTGCCCTGGGTCTGGAACACCTACCAGGCCTACCTGCAGGTGCACCTGGGGGGAGGGGACACACCTGGGACACACCTGGGACACTGGACACACCTGGGAACACACCTGGGACACACCTGGGACACACCTGGGACAGGAGGGATGCTGCCCTGGGTCTGGAACACCTACCAGGCCTACCTGCAGGTGCACCTGGGGGGAGGGGACACACCTGGGACACACCTGGGACACACCTGGACACACCTGGGACACACCTGGGACACACCTGGACACACCTGGACATGCCCAGACACACCTGGGACACACCTGGGGGGAGGGGACACACCTGGGACACACCTGGACACACCTGGGGGGGAGGGGATGCTGCCCTGGGTCTGGAACACCTACCAGGCCTACCTGCAGGTACACCTGGGGGGAGGGGACACACCTGGGACACACCTGGGACACACCTGGACACACCTGGGACACACCTGGGGGGAGGGGACGGGCCAGGGACACACCTGGGACACACCTGGGACACACGTGGGACACACCTGGGGGGGAGGGGACACACCTGGGACACACGTGGGACACACCCAGACACACCTGGACACACCTGGGGGGGTTGGGACACACCTGGGACACACCTGAGGGTGACTTTGGGTCATTTTGGGGTGATTTTAAGGTGATTTTGGGTCATGTTGGGGTGATTTTGGGTCGTTTTGAGGGGATTCAGGGGGTGATTTTGGGTCATTTTGAGGGGATTCAGGGGGTGATTTGGGGGTGATTTTGGGGGCCATTTTAGTTGATTTTGGGTTATTTTGGGTCGATTTTGGGGTGATTTTGGGTCGTTCAGGGGGTGATTTTGGGGTCACGTTGTGATTTTGGGTCATTTTGAGGGGATTCAGGGGGTGATTTGGGGGTGATTTTGGGGTGATTTTGGGGCCATTTGGGTTGATTTTGGGTTATTTTGGGTCATTTTGGGGTGATTTGGGGTCATTCAGGGGGTGATTTCAGGGTCACGTTGTGGTGATTTTGGGGTCATTTTGAGGTGATTTTGGGGTGATTTTGGGGCGATTCAGGGCGTGGTTTTGGGTCATTTTGTGGTGATTTTGGGTCATTTTGAGGGGATTCAGGGGGTGATTTTGGGGTGATTTGTGGATCCTGTTGGGGTGATTTTGGGTGATTTTGGGTCATTTTGAGGTGATTTAGGGGGTGATTTTGTGGTGATTTTGGGGTGATTTTGGGTCATTTTGAGGTGATTTAGGGGGTGATTTTGGGGTCATTTAGGGGGCAATTTTTGGGTCATTTTGGGGTGATTTTGGGGCCATTTTGAGATGATTTAGGGGGTGATTTTGAGGTGATTTAGAGTGTTGGGGTCATTTTGGGGCTGATTTTGGGTGATTTGGGGGTGATTTTGGGGCCATTTGGGTTGATTTTGGGTTATTTTGAGGTGATTTAGGGGGCGATTTTGGGGTGATTTTGGGTCATTTTGGGTTCATTTTGAGTTATTTTGAGGTGATTTAGGGGGTAATTTTGGGGCGATTCAGGGGGTGATTTTGGGGTCATTTTGAGGTGATTTAGGGGTCATTTTGGGGTGATTCAGGGGGTGATTTGGGGTAATTTTTGTGGTGATTTTGGGGTGATTTTGGGTGATTTTAAAGTCATTTTGGGGGTGATTTTGGGGTCATTTATGGGACGATTTGGGGGTGATTTTGGGGTCATTTTGAGATGATTTAGGGGGTGATTTTGAAGTGATTCAGGGGGGGATTTTGGGGTCATTTTGGGGTGATTTTGGGTCATTTTGAGTTGAGGTGATTTAGGAGGTGATTTTGGGTCATTTTGGGGTGATTTGGGGGTAATTTTGGGGGTGATTTTGGGGTCATTTAGGGGGCGATTTTTGGGTCATTTTGGCGTCATTGTGAGGTGATTTGGGGGTGATTTTGGGGTCATTTTGGGTGATTTTGGGGTCATTTTGGGGTCATTTGGGTTGATTTTGGGGTCATGTTGGGGCGATTCAGGGGGTGATTTGGGGGTCATTTTGGGGTGATTTTGGGGTGATTCAGAGGGTGATTTTGGGGTCATTGTGAGGTGATTTAGGGGGTGATTTTGGGGTCATTTAGGGGGTGATTTTGGGGTGATTTGGGGGTCATTTGGGGTGATTTTGGGGTGATTCAGGGGTGATTTTGGGTGATTCAGAGGTGATTTTGGGGTCATTGTGAGGTGATTTAGGGGTGATTTTGGGGTCATTTAGGGGTGATTTTGGGGTGATTTGGGGTCATTTGGGGTGATTTTGGGTGATTCAGGGGTGATTTTGGGGTCATTTTGAGGTCATTTGAGGTGATTTTGGGGTTATTTGGGTTGATTTTGGGGTCATGTTGGGGGTGATTTTGGGGTGATTTGGGGGTCATTTGGGGGTGATTTTGGGGTGATTCAGGGGGTGATTTTGGGGTCATTTTGGGGTCATTTTGAGGTGATTTTGGGGTCATTTGGGTTGATTTTGGGGTCATGTTGGGGGTGATTTTGGGTCATTTTGGGGTCATTTTGGGGTGATTTTGGGGTGATTCAGGGGGTGATTTTGGGGTCATTTTGAGGTGATTTAGGGGGTGATTTTGGGTCATTTTGGGGTCATGTTGGGGCGATTCAGGGGGTGATTTGGGGGTCGTTTTGGGGTGATTTTGGGGTGATTCAGGGGTGATTTTGGGGTCATTTTGAGGTGATTTAGGGGTGATTTTGGGTCATTTTGGGGTCATGTTAGCGATTCAGGGGTGATTTGGGGGTCGTTTTGGGGTGATTTTGGGGTGATTCAGGGGGTGATTTTGGGGTCATTTTGAGGTGATTTAGGGGGTGATTTTGGGTCATTTTGGGGTCATGTTGGGGCGATTCTGGGGTGATTCAGGGGGTGATTTTGGGGTCATTGTGAGGTGATTTGGGGGTGATTTTGGGGCCATTTGGGTTGATTTTGGGGTTGATTTGGGGGTAATTTGGGGGTGATTTGGGGGTGATTTTGGGGTGGGCGTGTCCCCACCTTTCCCGCCAGGAGGCCGAGGGGCGTCTCCGGGCCGACTCCGCCCTCTGTGCCCGGGTGGGCGTGGCCTTCGGGGCGAAGCTGGTGCGGGGGGCGTACCTGGAGCTCGAGAGGGGCCTCGCGGCCGCCGGGGGGCGCCCTCCCCCCACCTGGGCCACGCCCGAGGAGACCTCGCTCAGGTGAGACCCCCAAAAAGGGGGGGCATTTTGGGGGATTTGGGGGATTTTGGGGGGGATTTTGAGGGGATTTGGGGTGATTTTTAAGGATTTGAATGAGGTGATTTTAAAGGGGATTTTTGGGTGGATTTGGGGTGATTTTTAAGGATTTTAATGAGGTGATTTTAAAGGGGATTTTTGGGTGGGTTTGGGGTGGTTTTAAGGAGTTTTTTGAGGTGACTTTTTAGAGATTTTTTGGGGGGGTTGGGGGGATGTTTTAGTGATTTTTGGGGGAATTTGGGGGGATTTTGAGGGGATTTGGGGTGATTTTTAAGGATTTGAATGAGGTGATTTTAAAGGGGATTTTTGGGTGGATTTGGGGTGGTTTTAAGGATTTGAATGAGGTGATTTTTAAGGGGATTTTTGGGTGGATTTGGGGTGGTTTAAAGGAGTTTTTTTGAGGTGACTTCTTAGAGATTTTTTGGGGGGGTTGGGGGGATTTTTAGCCATTTGGGGGGGATTTTTAAGAGGGTTTTTGGGTGGATTTGGGGTGGTTTTTAAGGACGTTTTGAGGTGATTTTTAAGGATGTTTTTGAGGTGATGTTTTTAGGGATTTCGGGGGAATTTGGGGGGATTTTTGGGTGGATTTTGGGGGATTTTTTAAGGGGGTTTTCGAGTGGATTCAGGGTGATTTTTAAGGATTTTTTTTTTTAGGTGATTTTTTTTTGGGGAGTTTCAAAGGGATTTGGAGTGTTGTGGGTTTTTTTAAGGTATTTTTTCATGGAATTTGGGTAAATTTTTGGCGGGATTTTCTGATTTCCCACATTTTCCTCTTTGGGTTTTTTTGCCCCTTTTCTTCATCTGTGACTTTGTCATTTTTGGGGACTTTTTGGGACGACTTTTTGTGCTATTTTCAGGCCAATTTCGTGTCCATTTTTGGGGCGAGTTTGGGTCGATTTGGGGGGCGATTTTGATGGCACTTTCAGGGTGGTGTTGGGGGCTATTTTGGGGCAATTTTCAGGGTTATTTCCAGGGCAATTTTGGAGCGATTTGGGGATGATTTACGGCATTTTTTGGGGTGATTTTTGGGAAATTTTCAGGGCCATTTTGGGGGTGATTTTCAGAGTGATTCTTGGGCAATTTCGGGGCAATTTTCAGGGTGATTTTTGGGACGATTTTGGGGGATTTTCAAAGTTATTTTCGGGGCGATTTTGGGGTGATTTTTTGAGGGATTTGGGGTCGATTTTGGGGGGGATTTTCAGGGCGATTTTACTGCCAATTTCAGGGTGATTTGGGGGCGATTTTGGGTTGATATTCGGGGCTATTTTGGTACCATTTTCGGGGCGATTTTGGGGGTGATTTTGGTGCCAGTTTCATGGCCATTTTGGGGCGAATTTCGGGCGACTTTTGGGGAGATTTTGGGCGATTTTGCTGCCATTTTAGTGCCATTTTGATGTCATTTTGGTTCCATTTCCAGGCCGATTTTGGGGGCCATATTCCGCCCCATTTCCAGAACTTTTTCCCCCCCAAACCCCCCATTTCCCCTCTTTTTTTCCCCCCCCATTCTCCTCCTTCTTATCCCACCCTTCCCACCCCATATTTTTTTGGGGAATTTCCCCTAAAATTTGGGCTGATTTCCCCCTTTTTCCCCCCCCATTCCCCTCCTTCTTTCCCACCCTTCCCACCCCATATTTTTTTTGGAATTTCCCCTAAAATTTGGGCTGATTTCCTTCCCCTAAAATTCTGGACCGATTTCCTTTTTCCCCCATTCCCCTCCTTCTTTCTCACCTCTCCCACTCAATTTTTGGGGAATTTCCCAAAAATTTGGGCTGATTTCCCCTTTTTTTCCCCCCCATTCCCCTCCTTCTTATCCCACCCTTCCCACCCCATATTTTTTTGGGGAATTTCCCCTAAAATTTGGGCTGATTTCCCCCTTTTTTCCCTAAAATTTGGGCTGATTTCCCCCTTTTTTCCCCCCCATTCCCCTCCTTCTTTCTCACCTCTCCCACCCCATATTTTTTTGGGGAATTTCCCCTAAAATTTGGGCTGATTTCTCCCTTTTTCCCTAAATTTGGGCCGATTTCCCCCTTTTTCCCCCCTCTCTCTCAGCTACCAGCGCTGCCTGGACGTGGCCCTGGCCGAGGTTGCCCGGCCGGGCTCTCGACTGGGTCTGGTGGTGGCCACTCACAACGAGGGCTCGGTGCTCCACGCCGCCCGCAGGTGAGGGGGGGAGGGGCCTCGCTGACGTCATCCCCACCCTCCCCCGCCCCTCCCCTTTCTGAGCCCCTCCCCCCCCGCCAGGATGGAGGAGCTTTCCCTGCCCCGCTCCGGGGGCTCCGTTTGGTTCGCGCAGCTCATGGGGATGGGGGACCACATCTCGCTGGCCCTGGGTAAGGGGGGGGCCCAAAATTATCCCTGAGTGACCCCTGGGGGACCCCCGAGTGACCACACAGTGACCCTCCCCAAATTATCCCTAAATGACCCCTGAGTGACCTCTGAGTGACCCCTGAGTGATACCCGCAAATTGTCCCAAAATGACCCCCCTGGGTGACCCCCCCTAAATCACCCCCAAAATCACCCCAAAATGACCCAAAATCACCCCCAAAATGCCCCCAAATCACGCCAAAATGACCCTAAAATCACCCCCAAAAATCACTCCCAAATGACCCAAATCACCCCCCAAAATACCCCCAAATCACCCCAAAATGACCCTAAAATCACCCCCAAAAATCACTCCCAAATGACCCAAATCACCCCCCAAAATCACCCCAAAATGACCCCAAAAATCACCCCAAAATGACCCTAAAATCACTCCCAAAATGACCCTAAATGTCCCCAAAATGCCCCCAAATCACCCCCAAAATCACCCCAAAATAACCTTAAAATCAACCCCAAAATCATCCCCAAAATGCCCCCAAATCACCCCAAAATGTCCCCAAAATGCCTTCAAATCACCCCCTAAATCATCCCCAAATCACCCCCAAAATCACCCCAAAATGACCCAAAATGCCCTCCAATCACTCCAAAATTATCTTAAAATCACCCCCAAAATCACCAAAAATCACACCAAAACGACCCCAAAATCACCCTCTAAATCACCCCAAATTGACCCCCAAATGACCCCTAAATCACCCCAAATACCCCAAAATCACCCCCAAAATTCCCCAAAATGACCCAAAATCACTCCCAAAATCACCCCCAAATGACCCAAAATCAGCCCAAAATGACCCTAAAATCACCCCCAAAATCACCCCCAAAATCACCCCAAAATCCCCCAAAATCCCCCCAAAATGACCTTAAAATCAACCCCAAAATCATCCCCAAAATGACCCAAAATGACCCAAAATGACCCAAAATATCCCAAAATGCCCCCAAAGCACCCCAACATGACCTTAAAATCACCCCCAACATGACCTTAAAATCACCCCCAAAATGACCCCCAAATGACCCCCAAAATCACCCCAAAATGACCCAAAATACCCCCAAATCACCCCCAAAATCACGCCCAAAATCACCCCCAAAATCATCCCCAAAATCACCCCAAAATGACCCAAAATGCCCCAAAATCGTCCCAAAATGACCCAAAATGTCCCTAAAATGTCCCCAAAATCATCCCCAAAATCACCCCAAATTGACCCAAAATCACCCCAAAATGACCCAAAATGTCCCTAAAATGTCCCCAAAATCACCCCCAAAATCATCCCAAAATCACCCCCAAAATCACCCCAAATTGACCCAAAATCACCCCAAAATGACCCAAAATGTCCCTAAAATGTCCCCAAAATCACCCCCAAAATCATCCCAAAATCACCCCCAAAATCACCCCAAAACGACCCAAAATGCCCCCAAAATCACTCCCCAAATCACCCCAAAATGACCCAAAATGTCCCTAAAATGTCCCAAAATGCCCCCAAATCATCCCCAAAATCACCCAAAATCACCCCCCAAATCACCCCAAAATGACCTTAAAATCACCCCCAAAATCACTCCCAAAATCACCCCCAAAATCACCCCAAAATGACCCAAAATCACCCCAAAATGACCCAAAATCACCCCAAAATGACCTTAAAATCACCCCCAAAATCACCCCAAAATCACCCCCAAAATCACCCCAAAATCACCCCAAAATGTCCCTAAAATGACCCAAAATGTCCCTAAAATGACCCAAAATGCCCCAAAATGACCCAAAATCACCCCCAAAATCACCCCAAAACGACCCAAAATGCCCCCAAAATCACTCCCCAAATCACCCCAAAATGACCCAAAATGTCCCTAAAATGTCCCAAAATGCCCCTAAAATCACCCAAAATCACCCCCAAAATCACCCCCCAAATCACCCCAAAATGACCTTAAAATCACCCCCAAAATCACTCCCCAAATCACCCCCAAAATCACCCCAAAATGACCCAAAATCACCCCCAAATCACCCCCAAATGACCTCAAAATCACTCCCAAAATCACCCCCAAATCACCCCAAAATCACCCCCAAAATCACCCAAAATCACCCTAAAATCACCCTAAAATGACCCTAAAATGACCCCAAAATCACCCCAAAATCATCCCAAAATCACCCCCAAAATCACCCCAAAACACCCCAAAATGCCCCCAAAATCACTCCCCAAATCACCCTAAAATGACCCCAAAATCTCCCTAAATGTCCCAAAATGCCCCCAAAATCATCCCCTAAAATCACTCCCAAAATCACTCCCCAAATCACCCCAAAATGACCTTAAAATCACCCCCAAAATCACCCCCAAATCACCCCCAAAATCACCCCAAAATGACCCAAAATGTCCCTAAAATGACCCAAAATGTCCCTAAAATGCCCCAAAATGACCCAAAATGTCCCAAAATCACCCCAAATCACCCCAAATCGCCCCAATCGCCCCGAATTGACCCCAAACCCTCCCCCAGGCAGTCTGCGTCCGTGGGTGTACAATCGGTGCCGGTCGGGACCCCGAGGTGACGGTGCCGCACCTGGCCTCAAGGCCGCCGAAAACCGGGGCTCTGGCGGAGGCCCCAGAGGAGGGGCAGCTGCTCTGGGCGAGCCGCATGGCTCCGCCCATGGGAGTGACCCCCAAAAATCCCCAAATCCACCAGGAGACCCCCAAAATCCACCCTGAGACCCCAAACCCCCCAAAATTCACCCCAGACCCCAAAAATCCCCCCAAAATCCACCCTGAGACCCCCAAAACCACTCTGAGAACCCCAAACCACCTGGGACACCCAAAATCACCTTGAGACCCCTAAAACCCCCAAACCCCCCGGGACCTCCAAAACCGGGGCGCTGACGGCCCGCAGGGAGGGGCAGCTGCTCTGGGCGGAGCTTCGGCGCAGGCTCCGCCCATGGGAGTGACCCCCCAAAAAAATCCACCCAAAACTCACTTTGGGACCCCCAAAAACCACCTTGGAACCCAAGAAAACCACCCTGAGACCCCTAAAACCCCCCAAAAAATCCACCCAGAGACCCCAAAAATCCCCCAAAAAAATCCACCCAGAGACCCCCAAAAACCACCCTAGGACACCCAAAATCCACCCTGAGAACCCCCAAAACCCAAAAAACCACCTTGAGACCCCCCAAAACCCCCTGGGACCCCCAAAGTGGGGCGCTGGGCGGGCCTGCAGGGGAGGGCAGCTGCTCTGGGCGGAGCTTCGGCGCAGGCTCCGCCCATGGGAGTGACCCCCCAAAAAAATCCACCCAGAGACCCAAAAAATCCCCCCCAAAAAAATCCACCCTGAGACCTCCAAAACCCACTCTGAGACCCCAAAAAATCACCTTGAGAACCCCCAAAACCCCCCAAAAATCCACCTTGAAACCCCAAAAAACCATCTTGAAAACCCAAAAAATCCACCCTGAGACCCCAAAAAACCACCTTGAAAACCCAAAAAACCACCTTGAAAACCCAAAAAACCACCCTGAGACCCCAAAAATCCCCCAAAAAATCCACCCTGAGACCCCCAAAATCCCCCCCCAAAAAAAACCACCCTGAGACCCCCAAAAATCACCTTGAAAACCCAAAAAATCCACCCTGAGACCCCAAAAACCCCCCCAAAAAAAGCAACCTGAGACCCCAAAATCCACCCTGAGACCCCAAGACCCCCAAAAATCCATCCTGAGACCCCCAAAAACCCCCCAAAAAATCCACTCTGAGACCCCAAAAAATCCCCCAAAAAAATCCACCCTGAGACCCCAAAAATCCCCAAAAAATGCCCCCAAAACTCACTTTGGGAGCCCCAAAAACCACCTTAAAACCCAAAAAAATCACCTTGAAACCCCAAAAAATCCACCCTAAGACCCACAAAAAACACCCTGAGACCCCAAAAAATCCACCCTGAGACCCCAAAAAATCCACCCTGAGACCCCAAAAATCCCCCAAAAACTCCACTCTGAGACCCCAAAAACCCCACCCAGAGACCCCAAAAATCCCCCCAAAAAATCCACCCTGAGACCCCAAAAAATCACCTTGAAAACCCCAAAACCCCAAAAACCACTTTGAAAACCCAAAAAATCCACCCTGAGACCCCAAAAACCACCCTGAGACCCCCAAAAATCCCCCCAAAGAATCCACCCTGAGACCCCAAAAAATCACCTTGAAAACCCCAAAACCCCCAAAAACCACCTTGAAACCCCAAAAAATCCACCCTGAGACCCCAAAAATCCCCCCAAAAAATCCACCCTGCGACCCCAAAAATGCCCCCAAAAAATCCACCCTGAGACCCCAAAAATCCCCCCAAAAAAAACCACCCTGAGACCCCAAAAAATCCACCCTGAGACCCCCAAACCCCCCCCAAAAAAATCCACCCTGAGACCCCAACCCCCCCCAAAAATCCATCCTGAGACCCCCAAAACCCCCAAAAATCCACTCTGAGACCCCAAAAATCCCCCAAAAAATCCACCCTGAGACCCCAAAAAATCACCTTGAAACCCCCAAAACCCCCAAAAACCACCTTGAAAACCCAAAAACCCACCCAGAGACCCCAAAAATCCCCTGAACCCCAAAAATCCACCCTGAGACCCCAAAACCCCACCCCGAGACCCCCAAAAACCACCCCGAGACCCCCAAAATCACCCCAAAAACCACCTTGAGACCCCCAAAATCCCCCCCAAGAACCCCAAAACCCACCCCGAACCCCAAAAATCCACCTTGAGACCCCCAAAATCACCCCTGAGACCCCAAAATCACCCTGAGACCCCAAAATCACCTGAGACCCCAAAACCCCCAAAATCCACCCTGAGACCCCAAAATCCCAAACCCACTCTGAGACCCCAAAAATCACCCTGAGACCCCAAAACCACCTTGAAACCCCCCCAAAACCACCTTGAAACCCAAAAATCCACCCTGAGACCCCAAAAATCCCCCAAAAATCCACCCTGAGACCCCAAAATCCACCCTGAGACCCCAAAATCCCCCCCAAAAATCCACCCTGAGACCCCAAACTCCACCCTGAGACCCCCAAAATCACCCCTGAGACCCCCAAAATTACCCCAAAAACACCCTGAGACCCCAAAATCCCCCTAAGAACCCCAAAACCCACCCCTGAGACCCCAAAAATCCACCTTGAGACCCCCAAACTCCCCCAAGAACCCCAAACCCACCCTGAAACCCCAAAACCCACCCTGAGACCCCAAAATCACCCCGAGACCCAAAAACACCCTGAGACCCCCAAACCCCCAAAAATCCACCCTGAGACCCCAAAAATCACCTTGAAACCCCAAAAACACCTTGAAAACCCCCAAAACCACCTTGAAAACCCAAAAATCCACCCTGAGACCCCAAAATCCCCAAAAATCCACCTGAGATCCCAAAATCCACCCTGAGACCCCAAAATCCCCCAAAAACCACCCTGAGACCCCAAAATCACCTTGAAACCCTAAACCCCCAAAAACCACCTTGAAACCCCAAAAACCACCCTGAGACCCCAAAATCCCCCAAAAACCACCCTGAGACCACAAAACCCCAACCAGAGACCCCAAAATCCCCAAAAATCCACCTTGAGACCCCAAAAATCCACCCTGAGACCCCAAAATCCCCCAAAAACCACCCTGAGACCCCAAAATCCCCCAAAAAACCACCCTGAGACCCCAAAAATCACCTTGAAACCCTAAACCCCCAAAATCCACCTTGAAACCCCAAAATCCACCCTGAGACCCCAAAAATCCCCCCCAAAAAACCACCCTGAGACCACAAAAACCCCAACCAGAGACCCCAAAAATCCCCCAAAAAAATCCACCTTGAGACCCCAAAAAATCCACCCTGAGACCCCAAAATCCACCCTAAAAACCACCCTGAGACCCCAAAAATCCCCTAACAAAAACACCCTGAGACCCCAAAAATCCCCAAAATCCATCCTGAGACCCCCAAAACCCCCAAAAACCACTCTGAAGACCCCAAAACCACCTTGAAACCCCAAAAATCCACCCTGAGACCCCAAAAACCCCCAAAAATCCACCCTGAGACCCCAAAATCCCTGCCAAAACCCACCCTGAGACCCCAAAATCACCTTGAAACCCTAAACCCCAAAAACCACCTTGAAAACCCAAAAACCACCCTGAGACCCCAAAAATCCCCCAAAACCACCCTGAGACCACAAAACCCCAACCAGAGACCCCAAAAATCCCCCAAAAAAATCCACCTTGAGACCCCAAAAAATCCACCCTGAGACCCCAAAAATCCCCCCCAAAAAAAACACCCTGAGACCCCAAAAATCCCCCCCAAAAAAAATCCACCCTGAGACCCCAAAATCCCCAAAAATCCACCCTGAGACCCCCAAAATCCACCTTAAACCCCAAAATCCATCCTGAGACCCCCAAAATCCCCCAAAATCCACTCTGAGACCCCAAAATCCCCCAAAAATCCACCCTGAGACCCCAAAAATCCCCAAAAATGCCCCCAAAACTCACTTTGGGACCCCAAAACCACCTTAAACCCCAAAAATCACCTTGAGAACCCCCAAAATCCCCCAAAAACCACCTTGAAACCTCAAAAACCACCTTGAAAACTCAAAACCACCTTTGAGACCCCAAAATCCACCTTGAGACCCCCAAAATCACCCTGAGACCCCCAAAATCACCCTAAAATCACCCTGAGACCCCCAAAACCCCCTGGGACCCCAAAACCCACCCTGAGACCCCCAAAATCCACCTGAGACTCCCAAAACCCACCCTGGGACCCCCAAAATCCACCTTGAGACCCCAAAATCAGCCCGAGAGCCCCAAAATCACCCCAAAAACCACCTTGAGACCCCCAAAACCACCCTGAGACCCCCAAAATCCCCCTGAGACCCCCAAACCCACCCCAAAACCCACCCTGAGACCCCAAAATCCCCCAAAAATCCACCCTGAGACCCCAAAACCCACCCTGAGACCCCCAAAAACCACCTTGAGACCCCCAAAATCCACCTTGAGACCCCAAACCCCCCTGGAACCCCAAAAGCCACCCTGGAACCCCAAAATCCACCTTGAGACCCCAAAATCACCCTGAGACCCCCAAAATCACCCCAAAACCACCTTGAGACCCCCAAACCCCCCAAGAACCCCAAAACCCACCCCGAGACCCCAAAATCCACCCTGAGACCCCCAAAATCACCCCGAGACCCCTAAAATCACCCCAAAATCCACCCTGAGACCCCAAAATCCACCTTGAGACCCCCAAAATCACCCTGAGACTCCCAAACTCCCCTAAAATCCACCCTGAGACCCCAAAATCCACCTTGAGACCCCAAAATCACCCTGAGATCCCCAAAATCACCCCAAAAACCACCTTGAGACCCCCAAAATCCCCCTAAGAACCCCAAACCCACCCTGAAACCCCAAAATCCCACCCCGAGACCCCCAAAAATCACCCTGAGACCCCCAAAATCACCCTGAGACCCCCAAACCCCCAAAAATCCACCCTGAGACCCCAAAATCACCTTGAAACCCCAAAAACCACCTTGAAACCCCCCAAAACCACCTTGAAAATCCCAAAAATCCACCCTGAGACCCCCAAATCCCCCCAAAAATCCCCCAAAACTCACTTTGGGACCCCAAAACCCACCCTGAGACCCCAAAAACACCTTGAAACCCCAAAAATCCACCCTGAGACCCCAAAAAATCCACCCTGAGACCCCAAAAATCCACCTTGAAACCCCCAAACCCCCCAAAAACCACCTTGAAAACCCAAAAACCCACCCAGAGACCCCAAAAATCCCCCCAAAAAAACCACCCTGAGACCACAAAAACCCCAACCAGAGACCCCAAAATCCCCAAAAAATCCACCCTTGAGACCCCAAAAATCCACCCTGAGACCCCAAAAATCCCCCCAAAAAAATCCACCCTGAGACCCCAAAAATCCCCCCCAAAAAAAACACCCTGAGACCCCAAAAATCCCCCAAAAAATCCACCCTGAGACCCCCAAAAACCCCCCAAAAAAATCCACCCTGGGACCCCAAAAAATCCCCCCAAAAAATCCACCCTGAGACCCCAAAAAATCCCCCAAAAATCCCCCCAAAACTCACTTTAGGACCCCCAAAACCCACCCTGAGACCCCCAAAAAACCACCTTGAAAACCCAAAAAATCCACCCTGAAACCCCAAAAATCCCCCAAAAAATCCACCCGGAGATCCCAAAAAATCACCTTGAAACCCCCAAAACCCCCAAAAACCACCTTGAAAACCCAAAAACCCACCCTGAGACCCCAAAAATCCCCCAAAACCCACCCTGAGACCCCCAAAACCACCCTGAGAACCCCCAAAACCACCTTAAAACCCAAGAAAACCACCCTGAGACCCCCAAAAATCCACCCTGAGACCCCAAAAAATCCACCCTGAGACCCCAAAAATCCACCTTGAGACCCCCAAACCCCCAAAACCACCTTGAAAACCCAAAAATCCACCCTGAGACCCCAAAATCCCCCAAAAATCCACCCTGAGACCCCAAAAATCCCCCAAAAACACCGAGACCCCAAAATCCCCCAAAAATCCACCCTGAGACCCCAAAAAACCCACCCTGAGACCCCAAAAATCCCCAAAAATCCACCCTGAGACCCCAAAATCCCCCAAAAATCCACCCTGAGACCCCAAAACTCCCCTAAAACCCACCCTGAAACCCCCAAAATCACCCCCGAGACCCCCAAAATCACCCTGAGACCCCTAAACTCCCTGGGACCCCAAAACCCACCCCTGAGACCCCCTAAAATCCACCTTGAGACCCCCAAAATCACCCCGAGACTCCCAAAATCACCCCAAAAACCACCTTGAGACCCCCAAAAACACCTTGAGACCCCCAAACCCACCCGAGACCCCCAAAATCACCCCAAAACCATCTTGAGACCCCAAAATCCTCTCAAGAACCCCAAAACCCACCTCTGGAACCCCAAAAATCCACCCTGAGACTCCCAAAATCCCCCAGAACCCCACCCCGAGACCCCAAAATCCCCAAAATCCACCTTGAGACCCCAAAACCCACTCCTGAGACCCTAAAAATCCACTCTGAGACCCCCAAAATCACCTGAGACTCCCAAAAATCCACTCTGAGACCCCCAAAATCACCTGAGACCCCCAAAATCACCCCAAAACCACCTTGAGACCCCCAAAATCCCCTAAGAACCCCAAAACCCACCCCCTGAGACCCCCAAAATCACTCCCGAGACCCCCAAAAATCACCCCAAAATCCACCTTGAGACCCCAAAATCCTCCAAGAACCCCAAAACCCACCCCGAGACCCCAAAATCACCCCAAAATCCACTTTGAGACCCCCAAAATCCCTGAAATGCCCTCAAATCTTCTCAAACCCCCAAAACTCCAAACCCCCCAAAAACTCTAAAACCTCCAATAAATCTCAATCCCCCCCAAAAAAACCCTGTTCTGGCCTCATGGAATTTTGGGGGGATTCAGGAGGGATTTTTTGAGGGAAAAATTTGGGATTTTGAGGGGAAAAAATTGGGATTTTGGGGGAAAATTGGGATTTTGGGGGAAAATTTGGGATTTTGGGGGAAATTTGGGATTTTGGGGGAAAATTTGGGATTTTGGGGGGAAAAATTGGGATTTTGGGGGGGAATTCGGGTTGAATTTTAAGAGGGGGAAAAGTGGATTTTTTTGGGGGAAAATATTCCTTTTGGGGTTTTTAGAGGGGCAAGGAGATGATTTTGGGGGTAGAAATTGGAATTTTGGGGTCCAGAAGGAATTTTATGGGAGTCTCGGGGGTTGGGGGATTTTTGGGGGTCCAGGGGTTTTTTTAGGGAGAAAAAAGGGGTTTTTGGGGAGAAAGGGGTTTTTTTGGGAGGTTTCAGGGGGATTTTAGGGAGAAAAAAGGGTTTTTTGGGGGTATTTTGGGGAGAAAGGGGGTTTTGGAAGGTTTTAGGGAGAGAAAACGGATTTTTGGGGGTGTTTTTGGGGGAGAAATGTTATTTTTGGAGGGTCTCAGGGCGATTTTAGGGAGAGAAAAGGGAATTTTGAGGTGTTTTTTGGAAAAAAAAAAGGGGTTTTTTGGGAGGTTTCGGGGGCGTTTTAGGGAGAGAAAAGGATTTTTTTTTTATTTTTTTTTTTAGGGAGAAAGGTTTTTTGGGAGGTTTCAGGGGGATTTTGGGGAGAAAAGGGGATTTTTTGGGATTTTTTGGGGGGAGAAAGGTTAATTTTGGGGGGGTCCCAGGGGATTTTAGGGAGAGAAAAGGGGGTTTTTGGGTGTTTTTCTGGGGGATTTTTTTTTGGGGGGGTCTCAGGAGGGTTTTGGGGAGAAAAGGGGATTTTTGGGGGTGTTTTTTAGGGAGAAAGGGTTTTTTCGGGGGTCCCAGGGGAATTTTAGGGAGAGAAAAGGGGGTTTTGGGGGTGTTTTTTGGGGTCAGGTGGAGATTTGGGGGCATTTGAGGCCTCCGGGTGGGGTTTTTTGGGTGGATGTCGTGGGAATTTTGAGCCGCCGGGGGGAATTTAGGGTGGATTTGGGGGGGTTGGGAGGCACAAAGAGCCTTTTTCGAGGCTCCGCGTGGGATATGGGGGGGTCCCGGATGGATTTTTGGGTGAATTTCGAGATTTTTTGGGGGTTTTTGATGGGTTGGGGGGGGGGCCTCAAAATGGCGGCGGCTCCTGAGGGGGGAGAAAAATGGCGGGAAAACGCCGGGAGGGGGCGTGGCCAGAAAAAAAGGCGGGAACAACCCCGAGAGGGGGGCGTGGCCAACGGGATGAACCAATTAAAAAGGGGCGTGGCCATTTGAGGGGCGTGGTCACCACCAGGGGCGTGACCACCCAATATTTGGACAATGGCGGGGGCGTGGCCATGCAGGTAAGGGCGTGGTTATGCAAATCAAATTAAATCCTCCGCTATGCAAATGAGAAGGTACGGGGGGAAGGACCCCAAAAAGCCACGCCCCTTTTTTCCTCTCTCAGCCAATCAGCGCCTCCCCCTCCCCTCACCCGGCTCGGTTGCCATGGCAACGCTCTCCCAACATGGCGGCGCCGCGCCCTGATTGGTCGGCGCTCGGCGATGGGCGTGGCTCAGAGAGGGGTCGGACCAATCAGCGTGAGGGAGGGCGGGGTGGGCGTGGCCGCCGCCATTTTGTGCGCGGGGGTAAAAAAGAGGGAAAAAGGGGGGAGAGGAGGGGCGTGGCTTGAGGGGGAGGGGGCGTGGTTTAATAAACAGGGCGTGTCCTCCCTGCGCCCTGCCCAATCAGCGCCCTGCCGCGGGCGCGCGGGCCCCGGGGAGCCAATCAGCGCCTTCCTCTCCCCTCCCCTCTTTAAAGCCACGCCCCTTTAGCGACCCCCACCCCCACCGCGGGCCACGCCCCTTTTTCCTCCCTCCTCCCCCACCCTTCCTTTATTTCCCTCCTCCCCTCCACATCGGAACCCCCTTGAACCCTCTCCCCAAAAACCCTCCCCCAGCTCCCCAAAACCCTCCCCTTCTCCCAGCGACCCCTCCTCCCAAAACCCCTCCCCACCTCCTCACAAACCCCTCCCCACTCCCCCACAAACCCCTCCCCCCACCTCCCCTCCCCTTTTTTTCCTCCTCCTCTCTCGACGACCCTCCCCTCTTTCTCTCCCCTCCTCCCCTCCTCCTCCCTCCTCCTCCTCCTCGACCCCTCCCCTCCCCCCACCGACCCTCCTCCCCTCCCCCTCCCCCCACCCCTCCCCTCCCGGCTCCGCTGGCGGCCGCCGCGAATTTTTCGGGGTGGTCGCGATTTTTAATTTTATATTTTTTTTTTATTTTATATTTTATATTGTTCTCCCCTCCTCCTCTCATTCTTCCCCCTCCCCTTTCCGTGTCGCGATCGTTGTCGCGATGGACCCCGCGAACTGAGCGCCTTCATCTTCCAGGTGGGGAGGGGGAGGGGGAGGGGGCGGGACTGGGGGCACTGGGAGTGGGGGAGGGGGAGGGGCGGACTGGGCGGACTGGGGGCGCTGGGAGGGTGGGGAGGGTCGTACTGGGCGGACTGGGAGGGGTGGGAGGCTCACTGGTCTTACTGGTGGCACTGGGAGCACTGGGGAGGCTCTCACTGGTCGTACTGGTGGCACTGGGAGCACTGGGAGGGTGGGGAGGGTCCCACTGGTGGCACTGGAAGCACTGGGGAGGCTCTCACTGGTCATACTGGTGGCACTGGGAGAGCTGGGGAGGCTCTCACTGGTCATACTGGTGGCACTGGGAGCACTGGGAGGGTGGGGAGGGTCTTACTGGTGGCACTGGGAGGGTGGGAGGGTCGCACTGGTCATACTGGTGGCACTGGGAGCACTGGAAGGGTGGGGAGGGTCTTACTGGTGGCACTGGGAGGGTGGGGAGGGTCGCACTGGTCATACTGGTGGCACTGGGAGCACTGGAAGGGTGGGGAGGGTCTTACTGGTGGCACTGGGAGGGTGGGGAGGCTCTCACTGGTCGTACTGGTGGCACTGGGAGCACTGGGGACGCCGGTGTCCCTTATACTGGTCATACTGGGAGCAGTGGGAGGTGGGGAGGGTCCCACTGGTGGCACTGGGAGCACTGGGGAGGCTCTCATTGGTTGTACTGGTCATACTGGTGGCACTGGGAGGGTGGGGAGGGTCTTACTGGGCGGACTGGGAGGGCTGGGGATGCTCTCACTGGTGGCACTGGGAGGGTGGGGAGGGTCGCACTGGTCTTACTGGGCGGACTGGGAGAGCTGGGGATGCTCTCACTGGTCGTACTGGTGGCACTGGGGACGCCGGTGTCCCTTATACTGGTCATACTGGGAGGATGGGGATGCTCTTATTGGCCATACTGGTGGCACTGGGAGGGCTGGGAGTGCTGGTATTGCCCTTACTGGTCGTACTGGTGGCACTGGGGATACCGGTGTCCTTTATACTGGTGCCACTGGAGGCGCTGGGAGGGCTGGGGAGGGTCTCACTGGCCATACTGGTGGCACTGGGAGCACTGGGAGGGTGGGGAGGGTCTTACTGGTCATACTGGGAGCGCTGGTGATGCTCTCACTGGTGGCACTGGGAGCACTGGGAGGGCTGGAGAGGCTCTCACTGGTTGTACTGGTGGCACTGGGAGTGCTGGGAGGGTGGGGAGGGTCTTACTGGTGGCACTGGGAGCACTGGGGACACCAGTGTCCCTTATACTGGTCCTACTGGTGGCACTGGGAGGGTGAGGAGGATCTTACTGGTCGTACTGGTGGCACTGGGGACACCAGTGTCCTTTGTACTGGTGGCACTGGGAGCGCTGGGGATGCTCTTACTGGTCATACTGGGAGCGCTGGTGTTGCCCTTACTGGCGGCACTGGGAGCACTGGGGATGCTCTCACTGGTTGTACTGGTGGCACTGGTGTTACTGGGGTGTCACTGGTGTTACTGGTCCCACTGGTGTGTTACTGGTGTGTTACTGGTCTCACTGGTCCCACTGGTCCCACTGGTGTCACTGGTGTCACTGGTGTGTTACTGGTGTTACTGGTCTCACTGGTCCCACTGGTGTTACTGGGGTGTCACTGGTGTGTTACTGGGGTGTCACTGGTGTGTTACTGGGGTGTTACTGGTGTGTTACTGGTCTCACTGGTCCCACTGGTCCCACTGGTGTCACTGGTGTCACTGGTGTCACTGGTGTGTTACTGGTGTTACTGGTCTCACTGGTCCCACTGGTGTTACTGGGGTGTCACTGGTGTGTTACTGGGGTGTTACTGGTGTGTTACTGGTCTCACTGGTCCCACTGGTCCCACTGGTGTCACTGGTGTCACTGGTGTGTAACTGGTGTTACTGGTCTTACTGGGATCATGATGTCACTGGTGTCACTGGGGTGTCACTGGTGTTACTGGTGTGTTACTGGTCTCACTGGTCCCACTGGTGTTACTGGTGTATTACTGGTCCCACTGGTGTCACTGGTGTGTTACTGGTGTGTTACTGGTGTGTTACTGATCTTACTGGGATCATGATGTCACTGGGGTCACTGGTGTCACTGGGGTGTTACTGGTGTGTTACTGGTGTGTTACTGGTCTTACTGGGATCATGATGTCACTGGGGTCACTGGTGTCACTGGTGTTAGTGGTGTTACTGGTGTTACTGGTGTCCCACCAGTGCCACCCCTGACCCCTCCCCCCTTTTTTCTCTCTCTCCCCTCCCCTGCCCCTCCCCCCTCAGGCCGCCGCCCCTCCCCCCGCCCCTCCCGACCCCTCCCCGTCGACCTCCTGCCCTCCCCTCCCGTGCCGGACCCTTCCTCCCTCCTCGCAGGTCCCCAAGCCTCCTCCCCTTCCTCCGCCTCCCTCGCCCTCCCCCTCCTCCACCCCCCACCATCGACCCCTCCGCCCTCAAAGCCGCCCTCCCCTTCCTCCCCGGGGCGGGGGCCAACGACGTCACGGCCTCGCCGCTGACGTCATCACCGGCCATGACGTCACCCCGGCCGTGACGTCACCGCCAGCCCGTGACGTCATCGCCGCCCAACCCCGCAAGGCCAAGGCCAAGGGCGCCCCTTCGTGTGCGGCCTCTGCGCCAAGGAGTTCAAGAACGGCTACAACCTGCGGCGCCACTCAGGCCACTCCACGGCCCCTCCCCGCCCCAAGAGACTCCCAAACCCCTGCCTCTCCCCGCCCCACTCCGCCGTGCTGCCTCCTCCTCCTGCCCCAGGAGCTGCTGCTCGGCGACTCCGCCTCCGATGGGGAGGGGGCGGGGTGGTGATGGGGAGGGTGGTGGTGGGGTGGTGACGGCGGGGGAGGGGCCGCCCCCCAGCGCCGCCCCCCGGCCCGGAAGAGCCACGCGTGCGACACGTGCGGCAAGGCCTTCCGCGACGTCTACCACCTGAAGCGGCACCGGCTGTCGCACACGGACGAGCGGCCCTTCCAGTGCCCGGTGTGCCAGCAGCGCTTCAAGCGCAAGGACCGCATGGCCTCCCACGTGCGCTCCCACCAGGGCCACGTCCACAAGCCCTACGCCTGCGGCCACTGCGGCAAGAGCTTCTCCAGGTCTGGGGGCTGGGGGAGGGGAGGGGAGGGTGGGTCAAGGTCATCGTTTTGGGTCATGGTCATGGTTGGGTTGGTTGGTCATGGTGGGGTTGGAGGTCATGGTGGGGTTGGTGGGTCATGGTTGGGTTGGTGGATCGTAGTTGGGTTGATGAGTCATGGTTGGTCATGGCATGGTTGGGTCTGTGGGTCTTGGTGGGTCATGGTTGGGTTGGTGGGTCATCATTGGGTGATGGTCATCATTGGGTGATGGTCATCATTGAGTCATGGTCATGGTGGGTCATGGTCATGGTTGGGTTGGTGGGTCATGGTTGGGTTGGAGGTCATGGTTGGGTTGGTGGGTCATGGTTAGGTTGGTGGGTCATGGTTAGGTTGGTGGGTCATGATGGATCATGGTTGGGTTGGTTGGTCAGGGTCATGGTTGGGTTGGAGGTCATGGTGGGGTTGGTGGGTCATGGTGGGGTTGGAGGTCATGGTGGGGTTGGTGGGTCATGGTTGGGTTGGTGGATCGTAGTTGGGTTGATGAGTCATGGTGGGTCATGGCATGGTTGGGTCTGTGGGTCTTGGTGGGTCATGGTTGGGTTGGTGGGTCATCATTGGGTGATGGTCATCATTGGGTGATGGTCATCATTGAGTCATGGTCATGGTGGGTCATGGTCATGGTTGGGTTGGTGGGTCATGGTTGGGTTGGTGGTCATGGTTAGGTTGGTGGGTCATGGTTAGGTTGGTGGGTCATGGTTAGGTTGGTGGGTCATGATGGATCATGGTTGGGTTGGTTGGTCATGGTGGGGTTGGAGGTCATGGTGGGGTTGGTGGGTCATGGTGGGGTTGGAAGTCATGGTGGGGTTGGTGGGTCATGGTTGGGTTGGTGGATCGTAGTTGGGTTGATGAGTCATGGTGGGTCATGGCATGGTTGGGTCTGTGGGTCTTGGTGGGTCATGGTTGGGTTGGTGGGTCATCATTGGGTCATGGTCATCATTGGGTGATGGTCATCATTGAGTCATGGTCATGGTGGGTCATGGTCATGGTTGGGTCTGTGGGTAATTGGTCACCATTGGGTCATGGTCATCGTTGGGTCATGGTCATGGTTGGGTTGTTGGGTCATGGTTGGGTTGGAGGTCATGGTTGGGTTGGTGGGTCATGGTGGGTCTTGGTTGGGTTGGAGGACATGGGTTGGTGGGTCATGGTTGGGTTGGTGGGTCATGGTGGGTCTTGGTTGGGTTGGAGGACATGGGTTGGTGGGTCATGGTTGGGTTGGTGGGTCATGATTGGGTTGGTGGCTCATGGTGGGTCATGATGGATCATGATTGGGTTGGTGGGTTACGGTGGGTCTTGGTTGGGTTGGAGGTCGTGGTTGGGTTGTGGTGAGGCTGGAGGTCATGGTTGGGTTGGTGGGTTATGGTGGGTCATGGTCATGCTTGGGTTGGAGGTCATGGTTGGGTTGGTGGGTCTTGGTGGGGTTGGAGGTCATTGTTGGGTTGGTGGGTCATGGTTGGGTTGGTAGGTCATGGTTGGGTCATGGTCATGGTGGGTCATGGTCGTGGTTGGGTTGGTGGGTCATGGTGGATCATGGCCATGGTAGGTCTTGGTGTGGTTGGGTTGGTGGGTCACAACGGGTCATGGTTGGGTCATGGTCATGGTTGGGTTGGTGGGTCATGGTTGGTCATGGTGGGTCTTGGTGCGGTTGGTGGATCTTGGTCGTGGTGGGTCTTGGTGGGGTTGGAGGTCATTGTTGGGTTGGTGGGTCATCATTGGGTCATGGTCATGGTTGGGTTGGTGGGTCATGGTTGGGTTGGTAGGTCATGGTTGGGTTGGTAGGTCATGGTTGGGTCATGGTCATGGTGGGTCATGGTCGTGGTTGGGTTGGTGGGTCATGGTGGATCATGGCCATGGTAGGTCTTGGTGTGGTTGGGTTGGTGGGTCACAACGGGTCATGGTTGGGTCATGGTCATTGTTGGGTTGGTGGGTCATGGTTGGTCATGGTGGGTCTTGGTGCGGTTGGTGGATCTTGGTCGTGGTGGGTCTTGGTGGGGTTGGAGGTCATTGTTGGGTTGGTGGGTCATCATTGGGTCATGGTCATGGTTGGGTTGGTGGGTCATGGTGGGGTTGGTGGCCATCGTTGGGTTGGTTGGTCATGATGGGTCATGGTCATGGTTGGGTCATGGTCATGGTTGGTTTGGTGGGTCATGGTTGGGTCATGGTCATGGGTTGGAGATCATGGTTGGGTCATGGTCATGTTTGGATTGGTGGGGTCATGGTGGGTCATGGTTGGGTTGGAGGTCATGGTTGGGTTGATGGGTTGTGATTGGGTTGGTGGCCATCGTTGGGTTGGTTGGTCATGATGGGTCATGGTCATCATTGGGTCATGGTCATGGTTGGGTTGGTGGGTCTTGGTGGGGTTGGAGGTCATTGTTGGGTTGGTGGGTCATGGTTGGGTTGGTGGGTCATGGTGGGTCATGGTTGGGTCTTGGCGTTGTTGAGTTTGTGGGGCAGGGTGGGTCATGGTTGGGTTGGTGGATCGTAGTTGGGTTGATGAGTCATGGTGGGTCATGGCTTGGTTGGGTCTGTGGGTCTTGGTGGGTCATGGTTGGGTTGGTAGGTCAGGGTGGGTCAAGGTCATGGTTATTGTTTGGTCATGGTTGGGTTGGTGGGTCATCGTTGGGTCATGGTCATTGTTGGGTTGGTGGGTCATGGTCATCGTTGGGTCATGGTCACCATTGGGTCATGGTCATCGTTGGGTCATGGTCATTGTTGGGTTGGTGGGATCATGTTTGGGTTGGTGGATCATGGTGGGTCATGGTCATTGTTGGGTTGGTGGGGTCATGGTGGGGTTGGTGGGTCAGGGTGGGTCAAGGTCATGGTCATTGTTGGGTCATGGTCATGGTTGGGGTGGTGGGTCATGGTTGGGGTGGTGGGTCATGGTGGGTCAGGGTCATGGTTGGGTGATGGTCATCATTGGGTCATGGCCACGGTGGGTCATGGTCATGGTTGGGTTGGTGGGGTCATGGTTGGGTTGGTGGGTCATCGTTGGGTCAGGGTCATGGTTGGGTTGGTGGGTCATGGTCATCGTTGGGTCATGGTTGGGTTGATGGGTCTTGGTCGGTCATCGTTGGGTCTTGGCGTGGTTGGGTTGGTGGGACTGGTGGGATTGGTGACCACTGACGGTCACTGATGGTCACCGGTGCTCACTGGTGGGGTTGGTGACCACTGATGGCCACTGATGGCCACTGATGGTCACTGGTGGTCACTGGTGGGGTTGGTGGTCACTGATGGTCACTGATGGTCACCGGTGCTCACTGGTGGGGTTGGTGGTCACTGATGGTCACTGATGGTCACTGATGGTCACTGATGGTCACTGGTGGGGTTGGTGGTCACTGATGGTCACTGATGGTCACTGATGGTCACTGATGGTCACCGGTGCTCACTGGTGGGGTTGGTGACCACTGATGGTCACTGATGGTCACCGGTGCTCACTGGTGGGGTTGGTGGCCACTGATGGCCACTGGTGGTCACTGGTGGTCACTGGTGGAGTTGGTGGCCACTGATGGCCACTGGTGGGGTTGGTGGCCACTGATGACCACTGGTGGTCACTCCCCCCAGGCCGGACCACCTGAACAGCCACGTCCGGCAGGTTCACTCCACCGAGCGCCCCTTCAAGTGCCAGGTCAGCCCCTCCCCGACCCTTGGACACCCCTCCCCCATGGCCACACCCACCACTGTGACCCCACCCTCACCCCTGACCTCTCTGACCCCTGGGTGCCCTCAGTGACCCCTGGGTGACCCCTCTGACCCCTGGGTGCCCCCTGTGACCCCTGGGTGCCCTCTGTGACCCCTGGGTGCCCCCTGTGACCCCTGGGTGCCCCCATTGACCCCTGGGTGTTTCTGTGCCCCCAGACCCCTAAATGCCCCTGGGTGCCCCCCTAGACCCCCCAAATGCCCCCTGGCTGCCCCCTGTGACCCCTGCGACCCCTGGGTGTTTCTGTGACCCCTGTGACCCCCCAAATGCCCCCTGTGCCCCCTGGGTGCCCCCTGTGACCCCTGGGTGCCCCCATTGACCCCTGGGTGCCCCCTGTGACCCCCCCAAATGCCCCCTGTGACCCCTGGGTGTTTCTGTGCCCGCTCGGTACTCCCCTGTCACAGACGTGCGAGGCGGCGTTTGCCACGCGTGACCGGCTGCGCCTTCCCCTCCCCCTCCCCAACCCCTGCCCTTCCCTCCATCCCCATTGACCCCTGGGTGTTTCTGTGACCCCTGGGTGCCCCCTAAATGCCCCCTGGGTGCCCCTTGCACATGCGAGGCGGCGTTCGCACGCGTGACCGGCTGCGCCTTCCCTCCCCCTCCCCAACCCCTGCCCTTCCCCCCATCCCCATTGACCCCTGGGTGCCCCCATTGACCCCTGGGTGTTTCTGTGACCCCTGTGACCCCAAATGCCCCCTGTGACCCTGGATACCCCCTAGACCCCTGGGTGCCCCCTGTGACCCCTGGGTGTCTCTGTGCCCCCAGACCCCTGGGTGCCCCCTAGACCCCCTGGGTGCCCCCTGTGACCTCTATGACCCCTGGGTGTTTCTGTGACCCCTGGGTGCCCCCTGTGACCCCTGGGTGCCCCCTGTGACCCCTGGGTGTTTCTGTGCCCCCTGGGTGCCCCCTGTGACCCCTGGGTGTTTCTGTGACCCCTGGGTGCCCCTCAGACCCCTGGGTGCCCCCAGACCCCTGGGTGCCCCCTGCAGACGTGCGAGGCGGCGTCGCACGCGTGACCTCCCTGCCACCCCCTGCCCTCCCCATCCCCAGTGACCCCTGGGTGCTCCCATTGACCCCTGGGTGTTTCTGTGCCCCCGGGTGCCCCCTTGCACATGTGCGAGGCGGCGTTCGCCACGCGTGACCGGCTGCGCCTTCCCCTCCCCCTCCCCAACCCCTGCCCTTCCCTCCATCCCCATTGACCCCTGGGTGTTTCTGTGCCCCCTGTGACCCCCAAATGCCCCCTGTGACCCCTGGATACCCCCTGTGACCCCTGGGTGCCCCCTGTGACCCCTGGGTGTTTCTGTGCCCCCTGTGACCCCTGGGTGCCCCCTGTGACCCCTGGGTGCCCCCTGTGACCCTATGACCCTGGGTGTTTCTAGACCCCTGGGTGCCCCCCAGACCCCTGGGTGCCCCCCTGTGACCCCTGGGTGTTTCTGTGACCCCTGGGTGCCCCCTGTGACCCCTGGGTGTTTCTGTGACCCCTGGGTGCCCCCTGTGACCCCTGGGTGTTTCTGTGACCCCTGGGTGTTTCTGTGACCCCTGGGTGCCCCCTGTGACCCCTGGGTGCCCCCCCTGCAGACGTGCGAGGCGGCGTTCACCACGCCGTGACCTCCCTGCCACCCCTGCCCTCCCCCATCCCCTAGTGACCCTGGGTGCTCCCATTGACCCCTGGGTGTTTCTGTGCCCCCGGGTGCCCCCTTGCACATGTGCGAGGCGGCGTCCGCCACGCGTGACCGGTTGCGCTTCCTCCCTCCCCAACCCCTGCTCCTTCCCTCCATCCCCATTGACCCCTGGGTGTTTCTGTGCCCCCTGTGACCCCTGGGTGCCCCCTGGGTGCCCCCTGTGACCTCTGGGTGCCCCCTGGGTGCCCCCCTATGACCTCCTAAATGCCCTCTGGTGCCCCCTGCAGACGTGCGAGGCGGCGCTCGCCACGCGTGACCAGGCTGCACCTTCCTCTCCCCCTCCCCAACCCCTGCCCTTCCCCCCATCCCCATTGACCCCTGGGTGTTTCTGTGACCCCTGTGACTCCCTGGGTGCTCCCCTGTGCCCCCTGTGACTCCTGGGTGCCTCTGGGTGCCCCCCTGTGACCTCCTAAATGCCCCCTGGGTGCCCCCCCTGCAGACGTGCGAGGCGGCGTTCGCCACGCGTGACCGGCTGCGCGCCCACGCGGTGCGGCACGAGGAGAAGGTGCCGTGCCACGTGTGCGGGAAGCTGCTCAGCGCCGCCTACGTGGGCGACCACCTGCGGGTGCACGGCCCCCACGGCCCCCACGGCCACCCCGCCAGGGCCCAGCAGCCCCCCAGAGGTGGGGGAGGGGTCAAAGAGGGAGGAGGGGCATGAGGGAAGGGGGAGGGGCCTGAGGGAAGGGAGGGGCCTGAGGGAGGGAGGGGCCAAGGGGGTGGGGTTAAGGGAGGAGGGAGATGGGGGGGTGTGCGGCTCCAGTAGGGGGCAGTAACCACCCAGAGGGTTGGGGAGGGGTCTGAGGGAAGGGGAGGGACCTGAGGGGGGGGAGGGGCCTGAGGGAGGGGGTCCTGAGGGAAGGGGAGGGTCTGGGGGAGGGTGGGGAGGGGCCAAGGGGGTGGGGTTAAGGGGGTGAGGAGATCGGGGGTGGCGGCTCCAGTAGGGGGCGGTAACCACCCAGAGGGTGGGGAGGGGTCTGAGGGAAGGGAGGAGGACCCTGAGGGGAGGGGAGGGGTCTGAGGGAAGGGGGGTCCTGAGGAAGGGGAGGGGTCTGGGGTGGGCTAAAGGGTGGTGGGGGTGTGGTTGGGCCAGTAGGCGGTAACCACCCAGAGTGGTGGGGAGGGGTCTGAGGGAAGGGGAGGACCTGAGGGGGGGAGGGGTCTGAGGAAGGGGGGTCCTGAGTGAAGGAGGGGTCTGGGTGGGGTAAAGGTGGGGGGTGGCTGGGCCAGTAGCGGCACCACCCAGAGGGTGGGGAGGGTCTGAGGAAGGGGAGGGGCATGAGGGAAGAGGGGAGGGGTTAAAGAGGGGTGGGGTTAAAGGGTGGTGGGGCGTGGTTGGGCCAGTAGGGGTGGTAACTGCCCAGAGGGTGGGGAGGGGTCTGAGGAAGGGGGAGGGACCTGAGGGAATGGGGAGGGTCCAGTGGGGGAGGGGCTAAAGGGGTGGGGTTAAGGGAGGAGGGAGATGGGGGTGTGGTTGGCCAGTAGGGGCGGTAACCGCCCAGAGGGTGGGGGAGGAGTCTGAGGGAAGGGGGAGGGGCCTGAGGGAAGGGGAGGGGTCAAAGAGGGAGGGGCCAAGGGGGTGGAGTAAAAAGGGAGGGGCTAAAGGAGGGTGGGGCTAAAAGGGTGGGGCTAAAAGGGTGGGGCCAATGGGAGGGGCTTAAGAGGGTGGGGTTGAGGGGGAGGGGAAAGGAGGAGCCAAGAAAAGGGTGTGGTCAATGGGGAGGGGCTAAACGAGGGTGGAGCATCGAGGGGAGGGGCTAAAGGGGTGGGGTCAATTGGGAGAAGCTAAAGGGGTGTGGCCTGACCTGGTGTCCCCTCCCCACAGGTTCCGGCTGCGCCATCGCCACCCTCGGCCCCTCCCCACTCCCCGGCCCCGCCCCATGGACGGGACCCCCGGGCAGCCAGGGCTGGTGAGGGGGAGGGGCCCAGACCCCCAAATTGGGGTTGGGGGTGGGGAGGGGCCGTTTATCCCCCTGGATTTTGGATGACGAAGCCCCTCCCCACCTCAGGATTTAGGGGTGGAAAGGCCCCTCCTCCCTCTCCATTTTTGGGGTGATAAAACCCTCCCCCCACCCCCATTGGGGGTCCCAAAGGCCCCGCCCCTTCCTTCTCACCCTCCCCACCCGGCACCGAGGCCCTCCCCCACCCAGTAAAACCCCTCCCCTCCAGCCCCTCCCCACCCAAGCGATGTGGGTGTGTCCTCTTGGCCCCCGCCTCTCTGACCCCGCCCCCTCCGCTGGGCGTGGCCGGTGGGGGGAGGGGCGGGGCCGTGACCGCCAATAAACCCTCGGTGACCGCGATGGCTCCGCCCACTTTGTGAGGGGGGAGGGGCTTAACAGGGGGGCGTGGCCTGAGCGCCAAAGGGGGCGGGGCTAAACCCGCCAGATTCCTCCTAAATCTGCGGGTTTTTTCCCCAAAAAAGGCCCATTTTATGTCCAAAAATTCTGGTTTTTCCCCCCAAAAAACCCGTCTTTTTGTCCCCAAAATAAAATAAAAAACCCACCCAATTCTGCCTTTTTTTCCCCCAAAAATGTGGGGTTTTTTCCCTCAAAATTCTCCTTGGTTGGTTCTTTGTCCCCAAATTCCCCGTTTATCCCCCCCTAAAAACCAGATTTTTTTTTTTTTTAAATTTTTTTTTCTCCCAAAATTCCATTTATTTCCCCTCAAACGCCCCCGGAGTCACCCCGGGGTCAAAGGTCACTCTGGGAGGTCGATGGACACTCTGGGGTCAGAGGTCACTCGGGGGTCACTCCAGGGTCAAAGGTCACTCTGTGGTCACTCCAAGGTCAGAGGTCACTCTGACGTCACCCCAGGGTCGTTCCAAGGTCAGAGGTCACTCCAGGAGATCGATGGTCACTCCAGAGTCAGAGGTCACTCTGGGGTCACTCCAGGGTCAAAGGTCACTGCGTGGTCACTCAGAGGTCACTCCAGGGTCAAAGGTCACTCCAGGAGATCGATGGTCACTCCGGGATCACTCAGAGGTCAAAGGTCACTCTGGGAGGTCAATGGTCACTCGGGGGTCACTCCAGGGTCAAAGGTCACTCCAGGAGATCGATGGTCACTCCAGGGTCACTCCAGGGTCAAAGGTCACTCCAAGGTCAAAGGTCACTCCAGGGTCACTCCAGGGTCAAAGGTCACTCCAGGGTCACTCAGAGGTCAAAGGTCACTCCGGGAGGTCGATGACCAGCTCGTCGTCCCCGTCCAGGGGGTCGTCGCTGCCCTCCCCCTCCCCCTCCCCGGCGTCGCTCAGGAGGCGCCGCGGGACCGTGCTGGGCACGGGGAGGGCGGGGCGGGCCAGCGTGGGGGCGGGGCCAGCGTGGGGAGGGGCGAGCCCGGGACACGCCCACCAGGGAAAGGTAAGGGGGGCGGGGGGAGCTGGGGAGGGGAAAGGGGGAGGGGTCAGTGTGAACTCTGACCTTCAGTGACCCCCAAACTGCCCCTCCCCACCCTATGACCCTTAAACTGCCCCTCCCCACCCTATGACCCTTAAACTGCCCCTCCCCCATGACCCCCAAAACTGCCTCTCCCCTCCTCCCATGATCCCAAACCAGCCCCTCCCCCTCCATGACCTCCAAACTGCCCCTCCCCTCTTTGCCCCTCGCCCTTTGACCCCCAAACTGCCCCTCCCCCACCCTGTGACACCCAAACTGCCCCTCCCCTCTTTGCCCCTCCCCTCCTCCCATGATCTGAAACTGCCCCTCCCCCTCCATGACCCCAAACCTGCCCCTCCCCCCCAACCTCTCCCCCTCCATGAACCCAAAACTGCCCCTCCCCTCCCTGTGACCCCTAAACTGCCCCTCCCCTCCCTGTGACCCCTAACTGCCCCTCCCTCCATGACCCCCAACTTGCCCCTACCCCCAACCCTCCTCAAACTGCCCCTCCTCCTCCCTCCACAACCTCTCCTCCTCCCCCACCCCAAAAATCCACTCCTTCCCCGCCCCTCTCCCCTTTACCTGTCCCCTCCTGCCCCTTTGCTGCGCCGGGCGGGGAGGGCGAGGCCGGGCCCCGCCCTGCGGGGAGGGGCAGGAGCTGCCCCGGGAAGGGGCTGTAGGGCGGGGACGCCATCTTGGAAAGGAGGGGGAGGGGCGGGTCAGCCACGCCCACCCCGCTCCAAAGGGGTGGGGTCACCCCAGAAATAAAAAGGGGTGTGGTCTGGGGTGGGGAGGGCCACTCACCATGTAGGGGCGGGGGAAGGCGGGGAGGAGGAGGCGAGCGGCGCCTGCGGGGAAGGGAAGAAAAAGAGAGTCAGGGTGGCCATCTTGGATCGGCCATTTTAAATCCACCATTTTGGATCGGCCATCTTGGATCGGCCATCTTGGATCAGCCATCTTGGATCTCCCATTTTTGGAGGCCCCACCCACACTCGGGCCACGCCCTTTTAGGCCCCACCCATATTCCTGGGGCGGGGCCATCTCAGGGCTCCACCCACTCTTGGTGCTCAACCCCCGCCCCCCTCCTGACGGCCATCTTGGATCTCCAATTTGGCATTCACGGGCGCCACTTTGGATTGGCTGATTTCGGCTCCGCCCCCTTTCCCGCTGGCGGCCATCTTGGAGCCACACCTATTTTTGCTGGCGGCCATCTTGGATGCCACTGGCGGTCATTTTGGACCCTCCCCCTTAGCCCCGCCCACCCCCATCTTGAGGCCACACCCACTCCTGGGTGGCCATCTTGGATCCACCTCTTTCCCCCCAAGTGCCTCACCCCTTCCTAGCAGCCATCTTGGTTTTACCCCCAAACCCCTTGGCAGCCATTTTAGCACCCCCACCCCCTCCATCATCCATCTTGATGTCTCCCCACCCTCTGTCGGCCATCTTGGTGCCTCCCCACCCCCGTCGGCCATCTTGGAGCCCCGCCCACCTCTTTGCGGTTGGAGGCTCCGCCCCTTTGGCTCCGTCCCCGTCACTGTTGTCGGACGACGCCGTCGCCTCCGAGTCTGGGGTGGTGGAGGGGAGGGGTAGGTAAATGGGGGTCTCTTTGGCCTCTCTGACCCCTCCCCCTCCCCTCAAAAAGGTACCTGAGGAGTCGTCATCGACGTTCTCGTACTGGAGGAGCCGATCCAGGAGGAAACTTTGGGGGGTGGGGGAGGGGAAAAGAAGATGGTGAGGGGAGGGGCTTAGAGAGGTTGGGAGGCCTTTTTGGGGGGTTTGGTACCTTTTGTCCCGAGAGACCTTGAGGAGTTTGCGCTGGGCCCTCCTGAGCTCCTCCTGGAAACATTCCTGCTCCTGATTGGATGATAAAAAGGGGCGGGGCCAGGGGGTGGGCGGGGTTTAAGCAGCCACGCCCACCTATTGAAGGTTAAAAAGAGACCCCCCCCAACCACCCAGCCCCTCAAATTTTGATTTTATACCCCAAAATTCCCACCCTTAAATTCCCCATTTCCTTCAAACTCTCCTTCCTTTCCCCCCCGAAATTCCTCCCCAAATTCCCCCTCCTTTTCCACTAAAATTCCTAAAAAAAATTCCCTTTTTTAAACCCAAATTCTCCCTCCTTTCCCCTCGAAACTCCTCCCAAATTCCCCCTTTTTAAACCCAAATTCTCCCTCCTTTCCCCCCAAAAGTCCTCCCAAATTGCCCCTTTTTAAACCCAAATTCCTCCTCCTTTTCCACCAAAATTCCTAAAAAAAATTCCCTTTTTTAAACCCAAATTCTCCCTCTTTTTTCCCCCCAAAATTCCTCCCGAATTCCTCCTTTTTAAACCCAAATTCTCCCTCCTTTCAGCCCCAATTTCTCCCTTTTTAGTGCCCCCAAAATTCTCCTTTTTCCCCCAAAAATTTCCCCCCATTTCCCAAATCCCACCTAAAGTTTGACCCCCCAAATTCTCAATTTCCACCCCCCAAATTCTCCCCTTTTAACACTCAAACTCCCCAATTTTTTATTTCACCCCAAATTCTCCATTTTCACCCCGAAATTCCCCATTTCCCACCCCCAAAATCCTTAATTTCTTTATTTTTCCACCAGTGTCCAAAATTCCCTTTTACCCCCAAAATCAACCATTTACCCCCCAAACTCTCCATAATCACCCCCAAAATTCCCCATTTCGCCCCAAATCTTCCATCTTTTCACCCCCAAGATTTTTTATTCCCCCCCAAATTCTCGTTTTCCCCCCCAGTTCTCTCCTTCAACCCCCAATTTCCCCGTTATTCCCCCAAACCCCCCCCGTTTTCTTCCCAAACCCTCAAATTTCTCCCCCAAACTCCCCCTTTTCACCCTCAAAATCCCCAATTTTATTCCCAAATCTCCCCCCTTTTCCCCCCAAATTCCCCATTTCCCCCCACGTTCCCAATTTTCACCCTGAATTCCCCATTTTCCCCCCAAATCCCTCATGTTTTACCCCAAATTCTCCATTTCACCCCAAATTCTCGGGGTTTACCCACAAGATTTTTAATTTCCCCAAAAATTCTTAATTTTGCCCCCCAATTTCTAAAATGCCCCCCCGAAATCCTTATTTTTCCCCCCCAAATTTTATTTTCTCCCCCAAATGCTTAATTTTACCGCTAAAATTCTTAATTTTACCCCCGAAACTTTTAATTTTCCCCCCGAATTTTTAAATCCCTCCCCCGAAATTCTTAATTTCCCGGCGAAACTTTATATTTTATCCCCCGAATTCTTCATTTTAACCCGAAATTTTCAATTTTCCGCCCGAAATTCGCGGTTTTTTCCCCGAATTCCCCCGGGTTTTTTTTTTTCCCTCCCGCTCTCGGGTTTTTTCTCCCCCCCGTTCTTTGCCCTCCCCTCACGTAGAGCAGCAGCTTCAGGCGCCGTTTGAGGCCCCGGACCCGCCGTTTGTACCCGGAGCCCTCGGGCTCCGCCGCCCCGTTCATGGCGGACAAGCCCCGCCCACCCCGCGCTCCCATTGGCTGATTCCTCCCCGCCGCCTCCTCCCATTGGTTACCTCCTCTTTTCTCCGCATTCCTATTGGCTGAATGCACACCATGTCCCGCCCACCCGCCTCGGTGCTTCCGGGTTCTTTCCGCCGCGCCATTGGCTGAGAGAGCAAAGTCCCGCCCTCCTCAAATTGTGATTGGGTGGTTCCGCAGTGTCGACTTCTCATTAGCTCGCTGTGCTGCCTGTCACTTCCGCATCGGAGTCCCGCCTCTTTCTCCTTTCTATTGGTCAGTTTAGTTCAAGACGCTTTCTCATTGAGTCATTTCACTGTCGGTCACTTCCGCATTCCCGCCTTTTGTCCCGCCTTTCCCTCGTTCCTATTGGTCGCCGCTGTTCAGAACGGTTTCTCATTGGTTGATAGCGCCGCCGGTCATTTCCGCATCGTCCTCCCGCCTCCGCCTTGTTCCCATTGGCTGTGCAGGCTTTGTCCCGCCTTCCCTAACTTCCTATTGGTGGCTGCTCCTTATTGTGGCTTCCTATTGGTCAGATTTGCTGCCAATCACTTTCCCATCCCGGTTGGCTTTTTCGTTTTCCGGGTTTGTCGCGGCATCGCAAGCCCCGCCCCCCTTTCCCTCCCCTCCCTCCCCATTGGCCGCCGCCTTCCCGCGCTTGGCGCCGATTGGCCCGCGCTTCTGAGGGCGAGACCACGCCCCCCCAGGCTCGGCGATGGCGGCCCCGGGAACGCGGTGAGGGCGGGGGGGGGGAACGGCGGGAACCGGGAGGGGAGGGGGAACGGAGACCCCCCCGGTCACGCCCTGAGGGGGCCACGCCCTTCCCTGACCACGCCCCTCGCTTTGTCCCGCAGGTTGGCGCCCCCTGGCGAGGCGGGAAACGAGGCCGAGCGGCGCCGGGGGGGCGGGGCCTCGCCCTCAGGGCCGGCAGCCAATCGGGACGAAGCGCGGGAAGGCGGCGGCCAATGGGGAGCGGCGAGCGGGGAGGGGGCAGGGCTTGGGGAGCCCGCGGGGAGGCGCCCCCTGGCGGCAGGGGAGGAGGAGGGGAGGGAATTGGGAGAAAAACGGGAAGTGGGGGCGAAAAAACTCCAAATCCCGGGAAAATGGGGAGGGAGAGGAGAGGGGGAGGGGAGGAGGAGCAGGAGGGGAGGGGGAACAGGAGGGGGAGGGGAAAGAGGAAAATGGGGTGAAAAATGGGGAAAATGGGAGGGAGGGTGAAAAAAAACCAAAATCAGGGAAAAATGGGGGGGAAAAGGAGAAAATTGAGAGAGAGGAGGAGGAGGAGGAAGAGGAGGAAGAGGAGGAGGGGAAGGAGTTGGGGCGGGGAAATGGGGTGAAAAAGGGGAAAATTGGGAAAGAGAGGGAAAAAAGCCAAAAATCTGGGAATAATGGGGGGAAAAGAAGGAAAATTGAGAGTGAGGAGGAAGAAGAGGAGGAGGAGGAAGAGGAGGAGGAGGAAGAGGAGGAGGAGAGAAATAAGAAGCTGCCACGGGAAAATGGGGTGAAAAAGGGAAAAATTGGGAAAGAGGGGGGAAAAAGCCAAAAATCCGGGAAAAATGGGGGAAAGGAGGAAAATTGAGAGTGAGGAGGAGGAGGAAGAAGGAGGAGGAAGAGGAAGAAGAGGAGGAAGAAAATAAGAAATTACCACAGAAAAATGGGGTGAAAAGGGGGAAAATTGGGAATGAGGGGGAAAAAAGCCAAAAATCTGGGAAAAATGGGGGGAAAAAGGGGAAAATGGAGAGTGGGGAGGAAGGAGAGGAGGAGGAGGAAGAGGAGGAGGAGGAAGAAAGGGGGAGGAAGAGGCTGGGTCACAAAAATGGGGTGAAAAAAGGGGAAAATGGGAACAGGGGGGAAAATATCGGGAAAAATGAGAGGAAAAGGAGGAAAATTGAGAGTGAGGAGGAAGAGGAGGAGGAGGAGAAGGAGGAAGACGAAGAAGAGGAGGAAGAAGAGGAAGAGGAGGAAAAAAAGGAGAGGAAGGAACAGGGTCAGAAAACTGGGGTAAAAAATGGGAAAATTGGGAATGAGGGGGAAAAAAGCCAAAAATCTTGGAAAACTGGGGGGAAAAAGGGGAAAATGGAGAGTGGAGGAGGAAGGAGAGGAGGAGGAAGAAGAGGAGGAGGAGGAAGAAAGGGGGAGGAAGAGGCTGGGTCACAAAAATGGGGTGAAAAGCGGCAAAAATTGGACTGAGCACCGAAAACCTCCAAAATCTGGGAAAAATGGGAGGAAAAAAGGGAGAATTGAGAGTGAGGAGGAAGAGGAAGAGGAGGAAGAGGAAGAGGAGGAGGAAGAGGAAGGCCCAGCCTGGAAAAATGGGTCGAAAAAGGGCAAAAATGGGACTCAGGGGACGGAAAAAAAACGGACAATGAAAAATGGGGGGAAAAAAGGGAAAATGGAGAGTGAGGAAGAGGAAGAAGAGGAGGAAGAAGAAGAGGAAGAGGAGGAAGAGGAAACTCCAGCCCGGAAAAACGAGGGGAAAAAGGAGAAAAAACGAACTCTGAAAAATGGGGGGAAAAAAGGGAAAATGGAGAGTGAGGAAGAGGAGGAGGAGGAAGAAGAAGAGGAGGAAGAGGAAAGTCCAGCCCGGAAAAATGAGAGGAAAAACGGGAAGGGGAAGAAACAAACAGTGAAAAATGGAGCAAAAAAGAGGAAAATGGAGAGTGAGGAAGAGGAGGAGGAGGAAGAAGAAGAGGAGGAAGAAGAGGAGGAAGAGGAAAGTCCAGCCCGGAAAAATGAGAGGAAAAGCGGGAAGGGGAAGAAACAAACAGTGAAAAATGAGAGGAAAAAGAGGAAAATGGAGAGTGAGGAGGAGGAGGAGGAGGAAGAGGAGGAGGAAGAAGAAGAGGAGGAAGAAGAGGAGGAAGAGGAAAGTCCAGCCTGGAAAAATGAGAGGAAAAGCGGGAAGGGGAAGAAACAAACAGTGAAAAATGGGGCAAAAAAGGGGAAAATGGAGAGTGAGGAAGAGGAGGAGGAAGAGGAGGAAGAAGAGGAGGAAGAGGAGGAAGAAGAGGAGGAGGAAGAGAAAATTCCAGCCCGAAAAATGAGGGGAAAAAGAGGAAAAATGGGAAAAAACAAACTGTGAAAAATGGGGCAAAAAAGGGGAAAATGGAGAGTGAGGAAGAGGAGGAAGACGAGGAGGAAGACGAGGAGGAAGAAGAGGAGGAAAAGGAAAGTCCAGCCCAGAAAAACAAGGGGAAAAAGGGGAAAAATGGGAAGAAACAAACTGTGAAAAATGGGGCAAAAAAGGGGAAAATGGAGAGTGAGGAAGAGGAGGAGGAGGAAGAAGAAGAGGAGGAAGAAGAGGAAGAAGAGGAGGAGGAAGATGAAGAAGAAGAGGAGGAAGAGGAAAGTCCAGCCCAGAAAAATGAGGAGAAAAAGGGGAAAAAAACAAACTCTAAAAAATGGGGCAAAAAAGGGGAAAATGGAGAGTGAGGAAGAGGAGGAGGAGGATGAAGAAGAAGAGGAGGAGGAAGATGAAGAAGAGGAGGAGGAAGAGGAAAGTCCAGCCCGGAAAAATGAGGAGAAAAAGGGGAAGAAACAAACGGTGAAAAATGGGGCAAAAAAGAGGAAAATGGAGAGTGAGGAAGAGGAGGAGGAAGAAGAGGAAGAAGAGGAGGATGAGGAAGAGCCCCCAAAGTCCAGGAAAGGCCCCAAAAAGCCCCCAGAAAAGGAGAGCTCCGGGCTGGACTCGTCGGACTCGGATTTACCGTTGGCCAAATGGGTGGAAAAAAGGCGGAAAAGGGGCCGGGAGAAGGAGGAAGGAGAAGGGAGGAAGAGGAAGAGGAGGAGGAAGGAGAAGCAGGAAGAGCTGTGGCGCCAGGGGAAGGTGAGGGGGGGGATTTTGGGGGATTTGGGGAGGGTTTGAGGGGGTTGGGAGCATTTGGGTGGGTTTTTTGGGGGAGGTTTGGGGAAATTGGGGATTTTTTGGGGGATTTGGGAGGATTTGGAGGATTTTGGAAGGGTTTGGGGAGGTGTGGGGGATTTAAGGGGGATTTAGGGGTTTAAGTGGATTTTGGGGTGGATTTGGGGGTTGGGAATTGAATTCTGGGGTGGATTTGAGGGTTCTTTGGGACAGATTTAGGGGGTTGGGAATTGGATTTTGGGGCGGATTTGGGGGCTTTTGGGGCAGATTTGGGGGAGGTTGGGGCAGATCTTGGGGTGGATTTGGGGAGTGGGGCAGACCTTGGGGTGGATTTGGAGGTGGGGCAGATTTTGGGCTGGATTTGGGGCAGATTTGGGGGAGTTGGGGTGGATTTTGGGTCGGATTTGGGGGTTCTTTGGGGTGGATTTGGGGCTCTTTGGGGATTGAAGTGGATTTGGGGCGGATTTGGGGGTTGTGGCAGATTTTGGGGATGGATTTGGGGGTTCTTTGGGGTCGAATTTGGGGGTTGGGGCAGATTTTGGGGGCGGATTTGGGGGCTTTGGGCAGATTTTGGGCTGTATTTGGGGCAGATTTGGGAGGGGTTGGGGCAGATTTTGGGAGCGGATTTGGGGGTTCTTTGGGGTCGGATTTGGGGGGTTGTGGCATATTTTGGGGCGGATTTGGGGGTTCTTTGGGGCAGATTTGGGGGGATTTAAGTGGATTTTTGGGGGCGATTTGGTGGTTCTTGTTTCTCTGGGAGGAGGGGGCGTGTCCTTCACGAAGCCACGCCCCTTTTCCCCACAAACCCCGCCCTTCATGACAAGCCCCGCCCCGCAGGAGCCGCCGGCGGTGTCGCGGCTGAAGCGATTCCTCCGGGCCGCGGGGGCGCCCCAACTACAAACGCCTGCTCGGGGGGTGCCGCAGCCAACGCGAGGTCATCGAGACCCTGAGGGGGGAGCTGAGGGCACTGGGGCTCAGAGGTGAAAAAGAGGGTTTGGGGGAGTTGGGAGGGATTTGGGGGTTTTAGGGAAGTTGGGAGGGTTTGAGTGGGGTGGGGGCTCAGGGGTGCCGCAGCCAACGCGAGGTCATCGAGACCCTGAGGGGGGAGCTGAGGGCACTGGGGCTCAGAGGTGAAAAAAGAGGGTTTGGGGGGAGTTGGGAGGGATTTGGGGAGTTGTGAGGGATTTGGGGGTTTTAGGGGAGTTGGGAGGGTTTGAGGGGGTTTGGGGATCTAGGGGGTTTTGGGGGTCATTGAGACCCTGAGGGGGAGCTGAGGGCACTGGGGCTCAGAGGTGAAATGGGGGAGTTGGGGGATTTGGGGGAGTTGTGAGGGATTTGGGGGTCTAGGGGGAGTTGGGAGGGTCTGAGGGGGAGTTGGGGGATCTGGAGGGTTTGGGGGTGTTTGGGGGTCTAGGAGGTGGTTGGGGGAAGTTGGGAGGGTTTGAGGGGGATTTGAGGGTTCTGGAGAGCGTTTAGGGGTGGTTGGGAGGGTTTGAGGGGATTTGGGGGTCTGGAGAGGATTTAGGGGGTGGTTGGGAGGGTTTGAGGGGGATTTGGGGGCTCTGGAGAGGATTTAGGGTGTGGTTGGGAGGGTTTGAGGGGGGTTGGGGGGAATTTCGGGGAGCAGAGGTGGGAGTGGATTTTTGGGAGGTCTGGGTGGGGGGGTTCTTTCGGGGTCTCCTGGTTGGGGGGGATGTTATTTTGGGGCCGTTTTCGGGGTTTAGACATTTTGGGGGGGGTCCCCGGGATTGCTGCAGCTTCTCAGGGTTATTTGGGGCTCCCTGATGACGATTTTTGGGGGGGTGTCCCCAAAAAAACCCAGGCCCCCCCTCCCTGTCCCGCTGTCGCCGCCTGGGCCGGCGCCGGGAGGAGGCCGCGGAACTCGCCGCCCTCGACGCCTCCAACATCCTCCCAGGTACCCCAAAATCCCCCCCCCCCCAAAAAAAAAAACCACCCTTTTTTGGGGTCTTTCTTTTTTCCCAACCCCTTTCTCCCCCTTTTCCAGCCCGGTCCCGCCGCAGGAACGCCTGGAGCCCCCCGGAGACCCCCAAAACGAGGCCCCCGACTGGTCGAGGCTGCGCGGGGTCGTCAGCTCGGACAGCGAATAAAAAAACGGCACTTTTTTTGGGTCAAAACCTCCCTTTTTTTGGGGTCTTTCCCTTTTCCCGACCCTCCTCTCCCTGTTTTCCCGTTTTCCAGCCCCGTTCCTGTTGCAGGAGCCCCCCAAAGACCCCCAAAAACGAGCCCCCACCTCCCCCCCGACTGGTCGAGGCTGCGCGGGGTCGTCAGCTCGGACAGCGAATAAAAATTGTCACTTTTTTGGGTCAAAAACCTCCTAATTCTCATTTTTTTGGGGTCTCTTCCTTTTCATAACCCTCCTCTCCCTGTTTTCCAGCCCGTTCCCATCACAGGATTCCCACAGAATAGACCCCCTGATGTTTTTTGGGTGCAACCGAAGCCATTTCAGGGTCTTTTTTGGGGTGTTTTGGGGGTCTCCCCTTTTCCCAATTCTTTTCTCCCTTTTTCATCTCATTCCTGTTGCAGAAGCCCCTCAAAGAGCCCCCCAAAACACCCCCCCAAAGTCTTTTGGGCGAATAAACCCCCTGATGTTTTTTGGGCGCAAACGAGGCCATTTCGCGGTGTTTTTTGGGTGCAAACGAGGCCATTTCAGGGTCTTTTTTTGGGTGCTTGGAGGTCTCCCCTTTTCCCAATTCTTCCCCCCCTTTTCCCACCTCATTCCTGTTGCAGGAGCCCCCCCCCAAAAAAACCCTCCAAAACACCCACCCCCCTCTCACGTTTTCTGCGTCCAAACGAGGCCATTTCGGGGTCTTTTTTGGGTGAAACGAGGCCATTTCGGGGTGTTTTTTGGGCCCAAACGAGCCCATTTTGGGGTGTTTCTGGGTGTTTCCGGTGTCAGTACTTGCGCTGGCGCAGGAGGAAGCCCGGGGGTCTCTTGGGGGCCGCGTCCTCCCCGTCCTGGGGTGGGAACAGGTCCTGCCCCGTGCGCAGGATCTGCTCCTCCAGCCTCTTGTGGCGCTTCATGTCCGACAGGACCTTGTCCAGCCGCGCCTCCCGCTTCTGGCCCCGGCTGGGGGCCTGGGGGCGAGAAAGGGGGTCTGTGAGTTTTGGGGTTTTGGGGGTTTTGGGGGTTTTAAGGGGGTGGTCGGTACCTGGGCGCGGCGCCGGTCGATGAGGGAGGGGTTGGGGGAGGGGCTCGTCGTCGAAGTCGAACTCGGTGGGAGGGGAGGCCTTTTTGGGGAGAGGGGGAGGTCAGGGGGACCCCAAAGGGTCGTGGATACTCCCTGAGTTCCCTGATCAGCTCCCAAAAGTACCCTCAAAACCCATCAAACCACCCCCTCCAACTCCCCAAATTGCCCCTTAAACCCCCAAATCCCCTCAAACCCCCAAATCCCCCCCAATCCCTTTCCAACCCCCCAAATCCCCCCAAACCCCTTCTCCAACCCCCAAACCTCTTTGCTGCCCCCAATCCCTTTCCAACCCCCCAGATCCCTTTTCCAAACCCCCCAAAGTGCCCCCTAAGCCCCTTCTCCAAACCCCCAACCCCCCAACCCCTCCAAATCCCACCTTAAGCTCCCCAAATCCCCAAATCTCCCCCAAACCCCCAAATCCCACCCTAAGCCCCCAAGTCCCACCTTAAGCCCCCAAACCCCCAAATCCCTCAACCCCCCAAATCCCACTCTAAGCCCCCCAGGACCCCAAATTTCCCCAAACCCCCAAATCCCATCCTAAGCCCCCAAAATCCCCAATGCTCCCCAATCCTCCAAACCCCTTCCAAATCCCACCTTAAGCCCCCAAATCCCTCCCAACCCTCTCCAAATCCCCCAAACCCCCCAAATCCCACTCCTAAGCCCCCAAATCCCCAACGCTCCCCAAATGCCCCCAAATCCCACCTTAAGCCCCCCAAATCCCCCTTTTATTCCCTTTTATTACTTCTCCTCGTGGCTCTCCTGGCTGGGGCTCTGCCCCTGTCCCTCCTCCTCCTCGCTGGGGGCTCCGGGTGGGGTCCCTCCTGGGAGGGGTCTCAGGCGCAGGGGAGGACCCCCGCTCGGCGATGGCCTCAAGAGGCGCCGGATCTCGCCTGGGGTCCAGGGTCCCTCCTCCCCATCGTCGTCATCGTCCTCCCTGCCGCTCCGGGGACCCCAGTCCAAATCGGCCCCTGGGCTGGGGAGGCCGGGGGTCCTGGGGGCTCTGGGATGGGGGTCCGGGGCGCCACGCTGAGGGATTGGAGCCCCGATGTCACCGAGGAGGCTGGCTCTGACAGTCACTCATGGGGTGACAGGGGACATTGGGGGACATTGAGGGACAGGGGGACAATGTGGGGACATTGAGGGGACACTGTGAGGGATTGGAGCCCCGATGTCACCGAGGAGGCTGGCTCTGAGAGTGACGTCATCACCTGTGGGGACAGGGGGACACTGAGGGGACACTGTGGGGACACTGTGAGGGATTGGAGCTCCGATGTCACCGAGGATGGCTGGCTCTGACATCACCTGGGGACACTGTGGGGACACTGTGGGGACATGGGGGACATTGAGGGGACAGGGGGACAATGTGGGGACACTGTGGGGACACTGTGGGGGATTGGAGCCCTGATGTCACCGAGGAGGCCGGCTCTGACAGTGACGTCATCACCTGGGGGGACATTGAGGGGGACACTGAGGGGACACTGGGGGTCATGCGGGGGACATTGTGGGGACAGGGGGACACTGAGGGGACACTGGGGGGGATTGGAGCCCCGATGTCACCGAGGATGTTGGTTCTGACATCACCTGTGGGGACAGGGGGACATTGAGGGGACACTGTGGGGACACTGTGAGGGATTGGAGCTCCGATGTCACCGAGGATGCTGGCTCTGACATCACCTGGGGGGACACTGTGGGGACACTGTGGGGTCATGGGGGGACATTGTGGGGACAGGGGAACACTGAGGGGACACTGTGGGGACACTGTGAGGGATTGGAGCTCCGATGTCACCGAGGATGCTGGCTCTGACATCACCTGGGGGGACACTGTGGGGACACTGTGGGGTCATGGGGGGACATTGTGGGGACAGGGGAACACTGAGGGGACACTGTGGGGACACTGTGAGGGATTGGAGCTCCGATGTCACCGAGGATGCTGGCTCTGAAAGTGACGTCATCACCTGGGGGGACAGGGGGACACTGAGGGGACACTGGGGGGTCATGGGGGGACATTGTGGGGACAGGGGAACACTGTGGGGACACTGTGGGGACATGGGAACACTTTGGGGACACGGGGGGACATGGGGACACTGTGGGACATTGTGGGGACACTGTGGGGACATGGGAACGCTTTGGGGACACGGGGGGGACATGGGGACACTGTGGGACATTGTGGGGACATGGGGACACTGTGGGGGGACACTGTGGGAGGACACCAATGGGGACATCAGTGGGGACTGGGAGGGGACACGGGGACACCAGTGCCACCAGTAACGATCCCTGAGGGAATCCTGGTATCCACAGGGACACTAAAACGATCCCTGGGGCCATCCCGGTGCCCCAAGGGCTCCATTTCGCCCCCTCAGGGCTCTCCCTTTCCCCCTCCTCCCCTTCCCCTCACGGCGCCGCCATCTTGCCCCGTGACGTCACCGCGCCCTCTCCCTCCCCCCTCCCTCCTCCCTCTCCCCTTCCACGACCCCTGCGACCCTCCCGGGCACCCTCCCGCCCCCCTCCGAGCTCACTCACCGCCCCCGGGGTCCCTCGGGTCCTGGGAGGCTCCGCCGGGGGAAGGAGGGGATGGGAGGGGGGGGTCGCTCCGATCCCCTCACTCAGCTCCCGCCCGCCATCTTGGACGCGCTCCCGCCATTTTTTTTTTCGCGCGCTTTTCTCCCCTCCCTTCAGCTCCGCCCGCGCCTGCGCCGCCCAGGACTACAACTCCCATCATTCCCCGCGCGAGGGGAACAGCCAATCAGCCGCCTTTCCGTGTGATTGACGGGTGTTCAACCAATGAGAAGCGACGAACCGCGGGGCGCTGTCCAATGGGAGGGTGAGGGCGGGGCGGGGGAGCTGAGGGCGGCTATGGCGGCGCGGGCGGCGCTGTGCGCGGCGGGGTTGGCGCTGTCGCTGTACGCGGTTCATGTGGAGCGGGAGGCCGCGCGGGACCCCTCGTACCGCGCCGCCTGCGACCTGGCGCCCGCCGTGTCCTGCACCAGGGTCTTCGGCTCCCGGTGAGCGCCGCCCCTGGGGGAAGGGGGGGGGGGACCGGGAGCGACCGGGAATAACCCCGGGAATGGCCGGGAAAAGAACGGGGAGGGGGCGGGCGCCACGCGGCGGGGGCGGGGTTTGTGTGAGGGGGCGACCAATGGCGGGAGGGGCGGGGATGGGATGGGCGTGGTTTGTCAAGAGGGGCGTGGCTTAGGGAGGAGCTTATTTGTGTGACCACGCCCACGCAGTCCATATATGGACAATACAGGTGTGGTTGTGGGCGTGTCCTCTCATCGCCCCGCCCCCTTTTGCAGGTGGGGGCGTGGCCTGGGCCTGGTGGAGCCGCTGCTGGGCCGGGACAGCCCCTTGAACGTCCCCAACGGGGCCCTGGGGGTCCTGTTCTACCTCCTGCAGGCACTGCTCGGTACTGGGGGCACTGGGACGCACTGGGAGGGCACTGGGAGGGACTGGGAGGGGATTGGGAGGGACTGGAAGGGACTGGGAGGGCACTGGGAGGGACTGGAAGGGACTGGGAGGGACTGGAAGGGAGTGGGAGAGGAGTGGAGGGCACTGGGAGGGACTGGGAGGGGATTGGGGGGCACTGGGAGGGACTGGAAGGGATTGGGAGGCACTGGGAGAGGACTGGAGGGCACTGGGAGGCAACTGGGAGGGACTGGAAGGGGATTGGGAGGCACTGGGAGGGACTGGGAGGCACTGGAGGGGACTGGGAGGGATTGGAGGGTTACTGGTTGGACTGGGAGGTGCTGGGGATACTGGGAGGGGACATGGAAATGAACTGGGGATACTGGAGGGGACTGGGAGTCCTGGGGGCTGACTGAGGGAGTACTGGGGATGAACTGGGATACTGGGAGGCACTGGGAGGCCTCGATGCTCCCGGGATACCACTGTGTCCACCCAACTGGAGGATACTGGGAGCTGACTGGGGGTGAACTGGGGATACTGGGGATGAACTGGGGATACTGGGGGGGAACTAGGGATGAACTGGGGATACTGGGGCTGACTGGGGATACTGGGGATGAACTGGGGATACTGGGGGGGAACTGGGGATACTGGAGGATGAACTGGGGATACTGGGTGAACTGGGGATAACTGGGGCACTGGGACCTGATACCCCGGGACTCCACGTGTCCCTCCCAACTGGGGATACTGGGGATGAACTGGGGATACTGGGGATGAACTGGGGATACTGGGGCGAACTGGGGATACTGGGGTGATGGGTCCTGGGAGTGAACTGGGGATACTGGGGATGAACTAGGGGATACTGGGGATGAACTGGGGATGAACTGGGGATCCTGGGGATGAACTGGGGATGAACTGGGGATACTGGGGATGAACTGGGGATACTGGGGATGAACTGGGGATACTGGGGGGGAACTGGGGATCCTGGGGATGAACTGGGGATACTGGGGATGAACTGGGGATCCTGGGGATGAACTGGGGATGAACTGGGGATCCTGGGGATGAACTGGGGATCCTGGGGATACTGGGGATGAACTGGGGATACTGGGGCTGAACTGGGGATACTGGGGGGGAACTGGGGATGCTGGGGATGAACTGGGGATACTGGGGATGAACTGGGGATACTGGGGGGGAACTGGGGATACTGGAGGGTAACTGGGGATACTGGGGGCACTGGGGGGACCCTGATACCCCCCCGGTGACCCCCCCGTGTCCCCCCCAACTGGGGATACTGGGGATGAACTGGGGATACTGGGGGGACCCCGATTCCCCCCCATGACCCCCCCATGTCCCCCCCAGCTGGGGATATTGGGGATGAACTGGGGATACTGGGGGTGATGGGATACTGAGAATGAACTGGGGATACTGGAGGGTAACTGGGGATACTGGGGATGAACTGGGGATACTGGGGGGAAACTGGGGGGGAACTGGGGAGACTGGGAATGAACTGGGGATACTGGGGATGAACTGGGGATACTGGGGGGGAACTGGGGATACTGGGGATGAACTGGGGATACTGACGATGAACTGGGGATGAACTGGGGGCACTGGGAGGGCCCCGATGCCCCCCCTGTGACCCCACCGTGTCCCCCCCAACTGGGGATACTGGAGGGTAACTGGAGGGGAACTGGGGATACTGAGGATGAACTGGGGATACTGGAGGGTAACTGGGGATACTGGGGGAAAACTGGGGATACTGGAGGGTGAACTAGGGCTACTAAGAGCACTGGGAGCTCCCACTCGGATGACCTCGTGTCCCCAACTGGGGATACTGGGGAGATACTGGGGATGAACTGGGGATGAACTGGGGATACTGGGGGTGATGGGATACTGGGGATGACTGGGGATACTGGGGATGAACTGGGGATACTGGGGATGAACTGGGGATACTGGGGATACTGGGGATGAACTGGGGATACTGGGGATGAACTGGGGATGAACTGGGGATACTGGGGGTGAACTGGGGATACTGGGGATGAACTGGGGATCCTGGGGATGAACTGGGGATGAACTGGGGATACTGGGGGTGAACTGGGGATACTGGGGATGATGGGATACTGGGGGGGAACTGGGGATACTGGGGGTGAACTGGGGATACTGGGGATGAACTGGGGATACTGGGGATACTGGGAATGAACTGGGGATACTGGGGGGGAACTGGGGATACTGGGGATGAACTGGGGATACTGGGGATGAACTGGGGATACTGGGGGGGAACTGGGGATAGTGGGGCTGACTGGGGATACTGGGGATGAACTGGGGATCCTGGGGGGACCCCGATACCCCCCCATGACCCCCCCGTGTCCCCCCCAACTGGGGATCCTGGGGATGAACTGGGGATACTGGAGGTGACGGGGTCCTGGGGGCTGACTGGGGATGAACTGAGGATGAACTGGGGATGAACTGGGGATGAACTGGGGATACTGGGGCTGAACTGGGGATACTGGGGAGAACTGGGGATGAACTGGGGATACTGGGGATGAACTGGGGATACTGGGGATGAACTGGGGGTGAACTGGGGATCCTGGGGATGAACTGGGGATACTGGGGGGACCCCGATACCCCCCCATGACCCCCCCGTGTCCCCCCCAGCTGGGGATACTGGGGATGAACTGGGGATACTGGGGATGAACTGGGGATACTGGGGGTACTGGGGATGAACTGGGGATACTGGGGATGAACTGGGGATCCTGGGGATGAACTGGGGATGAACTGGGGATACTGGGGGTGATGGGATCCTGGGGGCTGACTGGGGATGAACTGGGGATACTGGGGGTGATGGGATACTGAGAATGAACTGGGGATACTGGGGATGAACTGGGGATCCTGGGGATGAACTGGGGATACTGGGGATGAACTGGGGGCACTGGGGGTGATGGGATCCTGGGGGCTGACTGGGGATACTGGGGATGAACTGGGGATACTGGGGGGACCCCGATTCCCCCCCGTGACCCCCCCGTGTCCCCCCCAGGTGCCGTGGGGGGCCGTGGGGCATCGACCGCGCTGGTGGCGACGTCGGCGGCGTCGGTGGCGGCGTCGCTGTGGCTGGGGGGGGTCCTGCTCTGGGGCCTGGGGGATCTGTGCCTGGTGTGCCTGAGCACCTACCTGATCAACCTGCTGCTGCTGCTGATCAACCTGCGCCCTGCAGGGGGGTGGCGAGACCCAAAACAGCCTGAGGGACCCCAGAAACCTGCAGGAGACATCAGAAAACCTGAGAGAGACCCCCAAAAACCGCCTGAGGGACCCAAAAAAACCTGAGAGAGACCCCGAAAAACCTGAGAGAGACCCCAAAAAACCTGAGAGAGACCCCCAAAACCGCCTGAGGGACCCCAAAAAACCTGAGAGAGACCCTCAAAACCGCCTGAGGGACCCCAAACACCTGAGAGAGGCACCGAAAAACCTGAGAGAGGCACCAAAAACCGCGTGAGGGACCCCAAACACCTGAGAGAGACACCAAAAAACCTGAGAGAGGCACCAAAAACCGCCTGAGAGACCCCCAAAACCGCCTGAGGGACCCCAAAAAACCTGAGAGAGACCCCAAAACCACCTGAGGGACCCCAAAAAACCTGAGAGAGGCACCAAAAACCGCGTGAGGGACCCCAAAACCTGCAGGAGACACCAAAAAACCTGAGAGAGGCACCCAAAAAACCTGCAGGAGACACCAAAAACCTGGGAGAGACCCCCAAAACCGCCTGAGGGACCTGCAAAGCCTGAGAGAGACCCCAAAAAACCTGCAGGAGACCCCAAAAAACCTGCAAAAGAACCCCAAAACCGCCTGAGGGACCCCCGACACCTGCAGGAGACACCAAAAAAACTGGGAGAGATCCCCAAAACCACCTGAGGGACCTGCAAAGCCTGAGAGAGACCCCAAAAAACCTGCAGGAGACACCAAAAAACCTGCAGGAGACATCAAAAAACCTGTGAGAGACCCCCAAAACCGCCTGAGGGACCCCCGAGACCTGCAGGAGACACCAAAAAAACTGGGAGAGACCCCCAAAAAACCTGTGAGAGGCATCAAAAACCGCATTAGGGACACCAAAAACCTGAGAGAGACACCAAAAAACCTGCAGGAGACACCAAAAAATCTGTGAGAGACCCCAAAAAATCTGCAAGAGACCCCAAAAACCGTATGAGGGAGCCACAAAACATGCGAGAGACCCCAAAAAACCTGCGAGAGACCCCAAAAAACCTGCAGGAGACACCAAAAAACCTGCAGGAGACATCAAAAAACCTGTGAGAGACCCCACAAAACCTGCGAGAGACCCCAAAAAACCTGCGAAAGACCCCAAAACACCTGCAAGAGATATCAAAAAACCTGTGAGAGACATCAAAAACTGCATGAGGGACCCACAAAATCTGCAGGAGACACCAAAAAACCTGCAGGAGACACCAAAAAACCTGCAAGAGACCCCCAAAAACCTGCAGGAGACATCAGAAAACCTGTGAGAGACCCCCAAAACCCCATGAGGGACCCACAAAACCTGCGAGAGACCCCAAAAAACCGGCCAAAGACCCCCAGAAACCTGCCCAGGACTCCTAGGAATGGGCTGGGGACCCCCAAAAATGGCTCTGGGAGCACCAAAAACTGCCTGAACTGCACCTAAAGCTGCCTGAGACCCCCCAAAAAGCTGCCTGAGACCCCCCAAAAAGCTGCCTGAGACCCCCAGGAATGGGCTGGGGACCCCCAGGAATGGGTCTGGGACCCCCAAAAATGGACTGGGGAACCCCAAAAATGGGTCTGGGACCCCCAGGAATGGGCTGGGGAGCATCAAGACCTGCCTGAATTGTACCTAAAGCTGCCTGAGACCCCCCAAAAGCCACCTGAGACCCCTGAAAACCTGCCTGAGACCCCCAAAAATGGCCCTGGGACCCCCAAAAAGGCTCTGGGACCCCCAAAAAGGCTCTGGGACCCCCAAAAATGGCTCTGGGACCCCCGAAAATGGACTGGGGAGTATCAAAAACTGCCTGAACTGCACCTAAAGCTGCCTGAGACCCCCAAAAAGCTGCCTGAGACCCCCAGGAATGGGCTGGGGACCCCCAAAAATGGCCCTGGGACCCCCAAAAATGGCTCTGGGACCCCCAAAAATGGCCCTGGGACCCCCGAAAATGGGTCTGGGAGCACCAAAAACTGGCTGAACTGCACCTAAAGCTGCCTGAGACCCCCCCAAAGCCCACCTGAGACCCCCAGGAATGGGCTGGGGACCCCCAAAAATGGGTCTGGGACCCCCAAAAATGGGCTGGGGAACATCAAGACCTGCCTGAATTGCACCTAAAGCTGCCTGAGACCCCCCCAAAACCCACCTGAGACCCCCAGGAATGGGCTGGGGACCCCCAAAAATGGCCCTGGGACCCCCAGGAATGGGCTGGGGACCCCCAAAAATGGCCCTGGAACCCCCAGGAATGGGCTGGGGACCCCCAAAAATGGGTCTAGGACCCCCAGGAATGCGCTGGGGAGCATCAAGACCTGCCTGAATTGCACCTAAAGCTGCCTGAGACCCCCCAAAAGCCACCTGAGACCCCTGAAAACCTGCCTGAGACCCCCAAAAATGGGTCTGGGACCCCCAAAAATGGCCCTGGGACCCCCAAAAAGGCTCTGGGACCCCCAAAAATGGCTCTGGGACCCCCGAAAATGGACTGGGGAGTATCAAAAACTGCCTGAACTGCACCTAAAGCTGCCTGAGACCCCCCCAAAACCCACCTGAGACCCCCAGGAATGGGCTGGGGACCCCCAAAAATGGCCCTGGGACCCCCAAAAATGGCCCTGGGACCCCCAAAAAGGCTCTGGGACCCCCAAAAATGGCCCTGGGACCCCCGAAAATGGGTCTGGGAGCACCAAAAACTGCCTGAACTGCACCTAAAGCTGCCTGAGACCCCCAAAAAGCTGCCTGAGACCCCCAGGAATGGGCTGGGGACCCCCAAAATGGGCTGGGGACCCCCCAAAACTGTCTGAACCTCACCCAAAAGTGCCTGAGACCCCCAAAAATGGCTCTGGGACCACCGAAACCCGGGCTGGGGATCATTAAAAACCACGTGAAACCCACCTGGAAGTGCCTGAGACCCCCAAAATGGGCTGGGGACCCCCAAAATGGAGCTGGGACCCCCAAAAATGGAGCTGGGACCCCCAGAAATGGATCTGGGACCCCGAAAATGGGCTGGGAACCCTCAAAAATGGATCTGGGACCCCCAAAAATGGATCTGGGAACCCCCAAAATGGATCTGGGACCCCCAAAAATGGATCTGGGAACCCCCAAAATGGATCTGGGACCCCCAAAAATGGATCTGGGACCCCCAACCCTGGGCCTGGGACCCCCAAAATGGGTTTGGGGACCCCCAAAAATGGAACTGGGACCCCCAAAATGGGCTAGGAACCCCCAAAATGGAGCTGGGATCCCCAAAAATGGATCTGGGACCCCCAAAAATGGGTCTGGGACCACCAAAATTGGGCTGGGAACCCCCAAAATGGATCTGGGACCCCCAAAATGGGCTAGGAACCCCCAAAATGGAGCTGGGATCCCCAAAAATGGAACTGGGACCCCCCAAAAATGGGCTGGGACCCCCAAAAAATGGGCTGGGGACCCCTAAAATGGGCTTAAGGACCCCTAAAAACGGATTTGGGGCCACCAGAAATGGTTCTGGGACCCCCAAAATGGGTTTGGAGACTCCCGAAATGGATCTGGGACCCCCAAAATGGAACTGGGACCCCCAAAAATTGATCTGGGACCACCAAAAATGGATCTGGGACCCCCCAAAAATGGATGTGGGACCCCATAAATTGGGCTTGCAACCCCCAAAATGGGTGTGGGACCCCCCAAAATGGGCTTGGGGACCCCCAAAAATTGGATCTGGGACCCCCAAAAATGGATCTGGGACCCCCCAAAAAGGGGCCGTGACCCCCTTTATCCCCCCCCAAAAGAGGGGTCGCAGAGATTTGGGGGTCCCCCCCCCTTTCCATTTCCCTCCTTTCGCCGCCAGGGGGCGCCGTTTTTTTCCCGCCACTCCCCGTTTATTTCCCGCCATTTCCAGCCCCGCCCCTCACGGCGCGCGCCGGGGGGGGGAGAAAGGGCGGGAACGAGTTCGGGCCGTACCACCCTGAGGGGAACGCGGGGGGGAGAGGGGGGGGGAAGGGACAAACACAGGCCCCGGGGCGGGAACTGGACGAGTCCATTTTCGGCAGAGCCCGGGGAGGGGTCGCGGAGGCCCCGCGGCCGCTGGTTCGTGAGGGGGGGGATTTTGGGGGGGAAAAGGGGGAATTTTGGGGTCCTCGTGAGGGGTTTGGGGGTCCCTAAAGGGTTTTTTTGGGGGGAAAATGAAGGAAAAAGTGAGGAAAAATGGGGGGTTCGGACACCGCGGACAGGGTGGGGGGAGGGACACAGAGGGCGGGCAAAGGGGGCGGTTTTGGGGGGTTCTGAGGGGAAAAAGGGGTCAGGAGTGGGGTTTTGGGTTATTTTGAGGGGAAAGGGAGTTTTGGAGCCCTTTTTTGCGGGGACACTGAGGGGACACGGGGAGGGGCAAAGGGGGCGGTTTTGGGGGGGTTCTGAGGGGAAAAGGGGGCTCTGGAGTGGTTTTTTGGGGTGTTATGAGGGGAAAAAGGATTCCTGGAACCCTTTTTGGGGGTTCTGAGGGGAAAAGGGGGCTCTGGAGTGGAGTTTTTGGGTTATTTTGAGGGGAAAAGGGAGTTTTGGAGCCCTTTTTTGGGGGGCACACTGAGGGGACACGGGGAGGGGCAAAGGGGGCGGTTTTGGGGGGTTCTGAGGGGAAATAGGAGGCTGGAGTGGGATTTTTGGGGTGTTTTGAGGGGAAAAAGGAGTCCTGGAGCCCTTTTTTGGGGGGGACACTGAGGGGACACGGGGAGGGGCAAAGGGGGCGGTTTTGGGGGGGTTCTGAGGGGAAAAAAGGGGGTTTGGAGTGGTTTTTTGGGGTGTTATGAGGGAAAAAAGGAGTCCTGAAGCCCTTTTTTTGGGGAGGTTCTGAGGGGAAAAAAGGGGGGCTGGAGTGTTTTTTTGGGGTGTTATGAGGGAAAAAAGGAGTCCTGAAGCCCTTTTTTTGGGGAGGTTCAGAGGGGAAAGGGGGCTGGAGTGTTTTTTTGGGGTGTTATGAGGGAAAAAAGGAGTCCTGGAGCCCTTTCTTGAGGGTTGTGAGAGGAAAAAGGGGGTCTGGAGTGTTTTTGTCGGGTGTTATGAGGGAAAAAAGGAGTCCTGGAGTTCTTTTTTGGGGGGGGGGTTCTGAGGGAAAAAGGCGGATCTGGGACATCTGGGACGTTTTTGGGGGTTCTGAGAGGAAAAGGGGGGTCTGGAGTGGTTTTTTGGGATGTTTTGAGGAGAAAAGAGGGGACCTGGATCTTCTGGGACCTTTTTTGGGGGGGGAACTCTGAGGGGAAAAAGGAGGTCCTGGAGCTTTTGGGGTTTGTTTTTGAGGGAATTCTGAGGGGAAAAGGGGGGGTTTGGGACACCTGGGATGCGATTTTGGGGGGTTCTGAGGGGAAAAGGGGCTCATGGACCAATTTTGGGGTGTTTTGAGGGGGAAGGGGGGAACTGAAGGTATTTTTGGGATGTTTTGAAGGGAAAAGGGGGTCGTGGTGCGATTCTGGGGTGTTTTTTGGGGTTCTGAAGCCCTTTCTGGGGTGTTTTGGGAAGAAAAGGGGGTCCTGGAGCAATTTTGGGGTGTTTTTTGGGAAAAAGAGGGTCCTGAAGCCCTTTTTGGGGTGTTTTGATGGGAAAAAAGGGGTTCTGGACCTTCTGGGACCCATTTTTTGGGGGGACTTCGAGGGGAAAAGGGGGTTAAGGTTATGGGGAGGACCCCAAAATTCCGGGGGGGGGAACCTAAAATTCCAGGGGGGGACACCCCAAAATTAGGGGAGAGGGTGCCCCAAAATGTCTCAGCGTGGGGTCCCACCCCTCTAATTTCTCCCCTCAAAATCCACCCTCCCCCGCCAGGAGGTGCCGTGACAAATTTGGGGGGTCTCAGGGTGGGGGTTTTGGGGGTCTCAGTGTGGGGGTTTTGGGGGTCTCAGTGGGGGGCTTGGGGGTCTCAGTGTGGGGTTTTGGGGGTCTCAGTGGGGGGTTTTGGGGTCTCAGTGTGGGGTTTTGGGGGTCTCAGTGTGGGGTTTTGGGGGTCTCAGTGGGGGGTTTTGGGGGTCTCAGTGGGGGGGTTGGGGTCTCAGAGTGGGGGTTTTGGGGGTCTCAGGGTGGGGGTCTCACCCTGTCCCTGTCCCTCCCCAGGAGATGTTTCGGCGGGTGCTGGGGGTCTCAGGGTGGGGGTTTTGGGGGGTCTCAGTGTGGGGGTCTCATCCATATTTTGGGGTGGGGGTCTCACCCTGTGTGTCTCCCCCCCCAGGAGATGTTTCAGCGGGTGCTGGGGGGTCCCAGGGTGGGTGTTTTGGGGGTCTCAGTTTGGGGTTTTGGGGGTCTCGGGGGGTTTGGGGGTCTCCGGGTGGGGGTTTTGGGGGTCTCAGGGTGGGGGTCTCAGAGTGGGGGTCTCACCCTGTGTGTCCCCCCCTTCCAGGAGATGTTTCAGTGGGTGCTGGGGGGTCTCAGATTGGGGGTCTCACCCATATTTTGGGGTGGGGGTCTCACCCTGTGTCCCCCCCTTCCAGGAGATGTTTTGGCGGGTGCTGGGGGGTTTTTGGGGTGGGGGTCTCACCCTGTGTCCCCCCCTTCCAGGAGATGTTTCGGCGGGTGCTGGGGGGTCTCAGGGTGGGGGTCTCACCCAGATTTTGGGGTGGGGGTCTCACCCTGTGTCACCCCCCCAGGAGATGTTTCAGTGGGTGCTGGGGGGTCTCAGGGTGGGGGTCTCACCCATATTTTGGGGTGGGGGTCTCACCCTGTGTCCCACCTCCCAGGAGATGTTTCAGTGGCTGGGGGTCTCAGGGTGGGGGTCTCAGGGTGGGGGTCTCACCCATGTTTTTGGGTGGGGTCTCACCCTGTGTCCCCCTCCAGGAGATGTTTCAGTGGGTGCTGGGGGTCTCAGGGATTGGGTGGTCTCACCCAGATTTTGGGGTGGGGGTCTCACCTCAGTGTCATCCCAGAGCCAGGAGATGTCTCAGTGTGGGTGTCTCAGGTGGGGTCTCAGATTGGGGGTCTCACCCATGTATTTTAGGGTGGGGGTCTCACCCTGTAGTCCCCCCTTCCAGGAGATGTTTCAGTGGGTGCTGGGGGGTCTCAGATTGGGGGTCTCACCCATATTTTGGGGTGGGGGTCTCACCCTGTGTCCCCCCCTTCCAGGAGATGTTTTGGCGGGTGCTGGGGGGTCTCAGGGTGGGGATCTCAGGGTGGGGGTCTCACCCAGATTTTGGGGTGGGGGTCTCACCCTGTGTCCCCCCCTTCCAGGAGATGTTTTGGTGGGTGCTGGGGGGTCTCAGGGTGGGGGTCTCACCCATATTTTGGGGTGGGGGTCTCACTGTCCTGCCCCCAGGAGATGTTTGGCGGGTGCTGGGTGGGTTCTTGGGGTGGGGTCTCACCCTGTGTCACCCCCAGGAGATGTTTCAGTGGGTGCTGGGGGTCTCAGGGTGGGGGTCTCACCCATATTTTGGGGTGGGGGTCTCACCCTGTGTCCCCCCCAGGAGATGTTTCAGTGGGTGCTGGGGGGTCTCAGGGTGGGGGTCTCACCCAGATTTTGGGGTGGGGGTCTCACCCTGTGTTCCCCCCCCAGGAGATGTTTCGGCGGGTGCTGGGGGTCTCTAGTGGTGGGGTCTCACCCATATTTTGGGGGTGGGGGTCTCACCCTAGTGTCCCCTCCTTCCAGGAGATGTTTCGGCGGGTGCTGGGGGGTCCCAGGTTGGGGGCGTGGCCGCCCCTCCCCCCGCCCCTCCCCGTGCGCGGCGCCGCCGATCAGAGCGCAGGGGCGTCCCCCTGTCCCCTCCCCCTCTGTCCCCTCCCCCTCTGTCCCCGCTGTCGTCCCCGCTGTCCCCCCTGGCCCGGGAGCGCTCCAAGGCCGTCACCTCCTTCTACCACCAGCCCGCCATCGACGCCGCCGCCGACAAGGTCAGCGCCCCGGCGGGGCACCAGTGGCACCAGTGACACCAGTAACCCCCTCCCAGTATGCTCAGTATGCCCCCAGTAACACCAGGGACCCTGTCCCAGTATGCCCAGTGCACCCCCAGGGACACCAGGGACACCAGGGACCCCCTCCCAGTATGCCCAGTGCACCCCCAGGGACACCAGTAACCCCCTCCCAGTATGCCCCCAGTGACACCAGTAACCCCCTCCCAGTATGCCCAGTGCACCCCCAGGGACACCAGGGACCCCCTCCCAGTATGCCCAGTGCACCCCCAGTGACACCAGGGACACCAGTAACCCCGTCCCAGTATGCCCCCAGTGACTCCAGGGACGCCAGTAACCCCCTCCCAGTATGCCCAGTGCACCCCCAGTGACACCAGTATCCCCCTCCCAGTATGCCCAGTGCACCCCCAGGGACACCAGGGACCCCCTCCCAGTATGCCCAGTGCACACCCAGTGACACCAGTGACCCCCTCCCAGTATGCCCAGTGCACCCCCAGGGACACCAGGGACACCAGTAACCCCCTCCCAGTATGCCCAGTGCACCCCCAGGGACACCAGGGACCCCCTCCCAGTATGCCCAGTGCACCCCAGTGACACCAGGGACACCAGTAACCCCTTCCCAGTATGCCCCCAGTGACTCCAGGGACGCCAGTAACCCCCTCCCAGTATGCCCAGTGCACCCCCAGGGACACCAGGGACACCAGTATCCCCGTCCCAGTATGCCCAGTGTGTCCCTAGTGTCACCAGGGACACCAGTAACCCCTCCCAGTATGTCCAGTGCACCCCCAGGGACACCAGGGACACCAGGAACCCCCTCCCAGTATGCCCCCAGTGACACCAGGGACCCCCTCCCAGTATGCCCAGTGCACCCCCAGGGACACCAGGGACCCCCTCCCAGTATGCCCCCAGTGACACCAGGGACACCAGTAACCCCCTCCCAGTATGCCCAGTGCAACTCCAGGGACACCAGTGACACCAGTAACGCCCTCCCAGTATGCACAGTGCACCCCCAGGGACACCAGTGACACCAGTAACCCCCTCCCAGTATGTCCCCAGTGACACCAGGGACACCAGTATCCCCCTCCCAGTATGCCCCCAGTGACACCAGGGACACCAGTGACACCAGTAACCCCCTCCCAGTATGCCCCCAGGGACACCAGTGACACCAGTGACACCAGTAACCCCCTCCCAGTATGCCCCCAGGGACACCAGTGACACCAGTAACCCCCTCCCAGTATGCCCAGTGCAACTCCAGGGACACCAGGGACACCAGTAACGCCCTCCCAGTATGCCCCCAGTGACACCAGGGACACCAGGACGCCAGTAACGCCCTCCAGCTCAGTATGCCCAGTGCAGTGACACCAGGGACACCAGTAACCCCTCCCAGTATGCCCCCAGTGACACCAGTGACACCAGTATCCCCTCCCAGTATGCCCCCAGTGACACCAGGGACACCAGTAACGCCCTCCCAGTATGCCCAGTGCACCCCAGTGACACCAGTGACACCAGCCTCCCAGTACCCCAGTCCCAGTCCCAGTGCCCTCCCAGTGCCCAGTCACCAGGGACACCAGGGACCCCTCCCAGTATGCCCCAGTGCACCCCAGTGACACCAGGTGACACCCAGTAACCCCTTCCCAGTATGCCCACCAGTGACACTCAGGGACACCAGGGCACCCCCTCCCAGTCATGCCCAGTGCACCCCAGTGACACCAGTGACACCAGTAACCCTTCCCAGTATGCTCCCAGTGACACCAGGACACAGTGACCCTCCCAGCCTGCCCAGTGCACTCCAGGGACACCATGGACACTGTAACCCCTCCCAGTGTCCCCAGTGCACCCCAGGGACACCAGGACCCTCCCAGTATGCCCCAGTGACACCAGTGACACCAGTAACCCCCTCCCAGTATGCCCAGTGCAACTCCAGGGACACCAGTAACCCCCTCCCAGTATGCCCAGTGCAACTCCAGGGACACCAGGGACACCAGTAACCCCCTCCCAGTATGCCCAGTGCACCCCCAGGGACACCAGGGACCCCCTCCCAGTATGCCCAGTGCACCCCCAGGGACACCAGTAACCCCCTCCCAGTATGCCCAGTGCACCCCAGTTGGACACCAGCAACCCTCTCCCAGTATGCCCCCAGTGACACCAGGGACACCAGTATCCCCCTCCCAGTATGCTCAGTGCACCCCCAGGGACACCAGTAACCCCGTCCCAGTATGCCCAGTGTGCCCCCAGTGTCACCAGGGACACCAGTAACCCCCTCCCAGTATGCCCAGTGCAACCCCAGTGTCCCCCACTCCCTTCCCAGTCTCTCCCAGTGCCCCCCAATCCCTCCCAGTGCTCCCCAATCCCCTCCCAGTGCCCCCCAGTCCCCTCCCAGTCCCTCCCAGTGGCTCCCAGTGCTCCCAGTCACCCCAGTTTCGGTGTCCCCACAGCCCTCTGTTCGTCTCACGCCCACCACGATGTACTTGGGGTGCTCCCAGTGCCTCCCAATCCCCTCCCAGTGCCCCCCAATGCCCTCCCAGTCCCTCCCAGTGCTCCCAGTCACCCCAGTTTCGGTGTCCCTGCAGCCCTCTGTTCGTCTCACGCCCACCACGATGTTGTACTCGGGGCGCTCCCAGGACGGCAGCCACATCCTGGTGAGGGGCACCCTAAATTTGGGGGTAAAGGGTGGGGGTCCTAAAATTGGGGGAGGGGAACAGGGGTTGGGGGACCTCAAATTTGGGGGGTTTGAGGGGTAAAAGGGGTGGGGAGACCCCAAATTTGGGGGAAAGGGGGGACCCTAAATTTGGGGGATTTTGGGGGAAAGGTGTGGGGAGGTCCTAAAACTGGGGGAGGGAACAGGGGTTGGGGGACCCCAAATTTAGGGGGGTTTTTGGGGAAAGGGGTTGGGGACCCCAAATTTGGGGGTTTTTGAGGTGGAAAGGGGGTGGGGGTCCTAAAATTGGGGAGGGAACAGGGGTTGGGGGACCCAAATTTGGGGGTTTTTGGGGGAAAGGGGTTGGGGGACCCCAAATTTGGGGTTTTTAATGGGGGATAAGGGGTTGGGAGGACCCCAAATTTGGGGTTTTTGGGGGGAAAGGGTTGGGGACCCTAAATTTGGGGTTTTTGGGGGTAAGGGGTTGGGGGACCCCAAATTTGGGGGTTTTTGAGGTGGAAAGGGGGTGGGGGTCCTAAAATTGGGGGGAACAGGGGTTGGGGGACCCCAAATTTGGGGGTTTTTGGGGAAAGGGTTGTGGGGACCCCAAATTTGGGGGTTTTGTGGGGGAAAGGGTTGTGGGGACCCCAAATTTGGGGTTTTTGGGGGAAAGGGGTTGGGGGACCCCAAATTTGGGGTTTTTTTATGGGAGGTAAGGGGTTGTGGGGACCCCAAATTTGGGGGTTTTTGGGGGGAAGGGGTTGGGGGACCCCAAATTTGAGGGTTTTGAGGGGGTAAAGGGGTTGGGGGACCCCAAATTTGGGGGATTTTGGGGGGGAAAGGGGTGGGGGATTCTAATATTGGAGGGGAGGGAACAGGGGTTGTGGGGACCCCAAATTTGGGGAGTTTTTGGGGGAAAGGGGTTGTGGGGACCCCAAATTTGGGGGTTTTGGGGGAAAGGGGTTGGGGGACCCCAAATTTGGAGGTTTGGGGTGCTCCTAAAACTGGGGAGGGAACAGGGCTGGGGGGACCCCAAATTTGGGGGGTTTTGAGGGGTAAAGGGGTGGGGGACCCCAAATTTGGGGGTTTTGAGGTGGAAAGGGGGTGGGGGTCCTAAAATTGGGGGAGGGAACAGGGGTTGGGGGGACCCCAAATTTGGGGGGGGAAAGGGGTTGGGAGGACCCCAATTTTGGGGGATTTTGGGAGGGTAAAAGGGGTGGGGGGGCTCCTAAAATTGGGGGGGGAACAGGAGTTGGGGGAACCCCAAATTTGGAGGGGGAACCCCATATGGGGGGGCTGTCTGCTTTGAGGGGGACCCCAATATTTGGAGGGGTCCCAGGTTCTTGAGGGGGACCCCAATATTTGGGAGTGACCCCAATATTTGGGAGGGTCTCTTGTTTATGGGGGGACCCCAGTATTTGGAGGGTTGACCCCAATATTTGATGGGTCCCAGGTTCTTGAGGGGCACCCCAATATTTGGGAGTCACCCCAATAATTGGGGGGGTTTCTTGTTTGAGGGGGACCCCAATATTTGGGGGGGGGGTCCCAGGTTCTTGAGGGGGACCCCAATATTTGGGAGTAACCCCAATATTTGGGGGGGTGTCTTGTTTGTGGGGGGATCCCAATATTTGGGAGGGGGACCCCAATATTTGGGGGGGTCCCGGGTTCTTGAGGGGGACCCCAATATTTAGGGGGTTGACCCCAATATTTGAGAGGTCCCAGGTTCTTGAGGGGGACCCCAATATTTGGGAGTAACCCCAATATCTGGGGGGGGTTCCCAGGTTCTTGAGGGGGACCCCAATATTTGGGGGGGACACCCCAAAATTTTGGGGAAGAGTTCCTTGGTTTGGGGCGACCCCAATTTTTTTGGGGGGGTCAACTCCAATATTTGGGGGTCCCCTTTTTTTGGGGAGAACCCCACCATTTTGGGGGGAGGTCTCATTACCTTTAGGGGTCTCCCTGGGTGTGGGGGGGGGGTCCCCAAATTCACTTTTTGCCCCCCCGTTTTTGTCCCCGAAACAGAAGAGCGCTCGGTACCTGCAGCAGGAGCTGCCGGTCAGGATCGCCCACCGGATCCGGGGGTTTCGGAACCTGCCCTTCATCATCGGCTGCAACCCCACCATCCTCCACGTGGTGGGTCCCCAAAACCCCCAGGGGGACCCCAAAAATCCCAGGGGGACCCCAAAATTAGGGGGGGGAGCCCAAAATTAGGGGGGGGAGCCCAAAAACCCCGGGGGGAACCCAAAAATTCCCAGGGGGGCACCCACGGGGTCCAGGGATTTCGGAACCTGCCCTTCATCAGCTGGTCCCCAGAACCTGGGGGGACCCCAAAATTATTATGGGGGACCCCAGAATTAGGGGGGAACCCCAGAATTAGAGGGGAAACCCAAAATGTCCTGGGAGACCCCAAAATTTGGAGGGGAAACTCAAAATTCCCAGGGGGACACCCACGGGCTCCGGGGGTTCCACAACCTGCCCTTCATCAGCTGATCCCCAGAACCAGGGGGGGGGACCCCAAAATTATTGGGGGGGACCCCAAAATTAGGGAGGGGAGCCCAAAATTCCAGGGGGCCCCCATGGAATCCAGAGACTCAAGAACCAATACCCAGGGGGTCCCCAAAATTTTGAGGGGGTCCCCAATGTTCCAGGTGGGTCCCCAATGTCTGAGGGGGGTCCCCAAAATTTTGGGGGGTCCCCAGTGTCCACGGGGGTCCCCAGTGTCTGAGGGGGGTCCCCAAAATTTTAGGGGGTCCCCAATGTTCCAGGGGGTGTCCCCAAAATTGGGGAGGATCCCCCAAGTCCAGGGGGGTCACCAAAATCTCAGGGGGTTCCCAATGTCTAGGGGTGTCCCCAAAATCTTGGGGGGAGTCCCCAAAATCTTGGGGGTCCCCAAAATCGTGGGGGGTCCCCAAAATCTCAGGGGGTCCGCAAAGTCCAGGGGGGGGCGTCCTCAAAATCTCAGGGGATCCCAAAGATCTAAGGGGGTTCCCCAAAATCTTGGGGGGGTCCCCAAAGTTTTGAGGGGTCCCCAAAGTCCAGATGGGTCCCCAATGTGTGAGGGGGGTCCCCAAAATTTTGGGGGGTCCCCAATGTCCAGGGGGGTCCCCAAAATTTTGAGAGGTCCCCGAGGTCAAGGGGGTCCCCAATGTCTGAGGGGTGTCCCCAAAATTTTAGGGGGTCCCCAATGTTCCAGGGGGGTCCCCAAAATGTCTGACCCTGTTCCCCTCCCCTCCCAGCACGAGCTCTACATTCGGGCCTTCCAGAAACTCAGCGACTTCCCCCCGGTGAGTGGCACCCCTGGCACCTGGGGGGCACCTGGGGGGCACCTGGGGGGCACCTGTGTCATGTGTGTCACCTCTGTGTTACCTGTGTCACCTGTCCCACCTGTGTCACCTGTCCCACCTGTCCCAGTGTCACCTGTTCTAATGTCACCTGTGTCACATGTCCCACCTGTGTCACCTGTCCCACCTGTGTCACCTGTCCCAATCTCACCTGTCCCAGTCCCACCTGTGTCACCTGTCCCACCTGTGTCACCTGTCCCAATCTCACCTGTCCCAGTCCCACTTGTGCCACATGTCCCACCTGTGTCACATGTCCCACCTGTCCTAGTGTTACCTGTCCCAATGTCACCTATCCCAGTCCCACCTGTGCCACCTGTCCCACCTGTGTCACATGTCCCACCTGTCCTAGTGTCACCTGTCCCAATGTCACCTATCCCAGTCCCACTTGTCCCACCTATCCCACCTGTCCCAGTCTCACCTGTCCCACCTGTCCCAGTCTCACCTGTGCCACTTGTCCCAGTCTCACCTGTCCCACCTGTCCCACCTGTCCCAGTCTCACCTGTTCCGTGTCACTTGTGTCAGCTGTCCCACCTGTTCCAATCTCACTTATCCTAGTACCACCTGTCCCACCTATCCCACCTGTCCTAATCTCACTTGTCCCACCTGTCCCAGTCTCACCTGTCCCACCTTTTTCAATCTCATCTGCCCACCTGTCCCAGTGTCACCTGTCCCACCTGTCTCACCTGTGTCACCTGTCCCAGTCCCACCTGTCCCCCCAGATCCAGTCCCAGTCAGACGAGTCCCGTTACTGCTCCCTGCTGAGGCAGCTGCTGGAGGATCACAAGGACTCCTGTCCCACTCTCACCTGTCCCACTCTCACCTGTCCCACTCTCACCTGTCCCAGTGTCACCTGTCCCAGTCTCACCTGTCCCCCCTGTCCCCCCAGATCCAGTCCCAGTCAGACGAGTCCCGTTACTGCTCCCTGCTGAGGCAGCTGCTGGAGGATCACAAGGACTCCTGTCCCACCTGTCCCAGTCCCACCTGTCCCACTCTCACCTGTCCCAGTCCCACCTGTCCCAGTGTCACCTGTCCCCCTCTTACCTGTCCCAGATCCAGTCCCAGTCAGACGAGTCCCGTTACTGCTCCCTGCTGAGGCAGCTGCTGGACCTCCTGTCCCACCTGTGCCACCTGTGCCAGTCCCACCTGTGTCACCTGTCCCACTCTCACCTGTCCCACTCTCACCTGTCCCCCCAGATCCAGTCCCAGTCAGACGAGTCCCGTTACTGCTCCCTGCTGAGGCAGCTGCTGGAGGATCACAAGGACCTCCTGTCCCACCTGTGTCACCTGTGCCAGTGTCACCTGTGTCACCTGTCCCACTCTCACCTGTCCCAGTCCCACCTGTCCCAGTCTCACCTGTCCCACTCTTACCTGTCCCAGATCCAGTCCCAGTCAGACGAGTCCCGTTACTGCTCCCTGCTGAGGCAGCTGCTGGAGGATCACAAGGACGTCGTGACCCTGCTGGCCGAGGGGCTCCGGGAGTGCCGCCGGCACATCCAGGTACCCCCCCTACACCTGTGCCCACCTGGGGGTCACCTGAGCCCACCTGATCCCCCTGACCCCCATTGACCATCCCTGACCCCCACTGACCCCACCTGTGCCCACCTGTGCCCCCTGATCCCCCTGACCCCCACTGACCATCTCTGACCCCCACTGACCATCCCTGACCCCCACTGACCCCCATTGACCCCCACTGACCATCCCTGACCCCCACTGACCCCTACTGACCCCACCTGAGCTCACCTGTGCCCACCTGTGCCCCTGACCCCCACTGACCATCCCTGACCCCCACTGACCATCCCTGACCCCCACTGACCATCCCTGACCCCCACTGATCCCACCTGTGCCCACCTGTGCCCCTTGATCCCCCTGACCCCCATTGACCATCCCTGACCCCCACTGACCCCACCTGTGCCCACCTGACCACACCTGTGCCCACCTGACCTCACCTGTAACCACCTGACCTCACCTGTGCCCACCTGAGCCCACCTGTGCCCGCAGGACGAGCGTTTGCTGCGGCCCTTCCTGGACGAGACCCTCACGTCCCACCTGTGCCCCCTGATCCCCCTGACCCCCATTGACCCCCACTGACCATCCCTGACCCCCATTGACCCCACCTGAGCCCACCTGACCTCACCTGTGCCCATCTGTGCCCACCTGTGCCCGCAGGACGAGCGTTTGCTGCGGCCCTTCCTGGACGAGACCCTCACGTCCCACCTGTGCCCCCTGACCCCTTAATGGCACCTGTGCCCACCTAGGGGCCACCTGAGCTCACCTGGGTGTCCCCTGAGCCCACCTGAGCTCACCTGTGCCCACCTGTGCCCATCTGTGCCCGCAGCACGAGCGTTTGCTGCGGCCCTTCCTGGACAAGACCCTGATATCCCCCCTGTGCCCCTGACCCCTTAATGGCACCTGTGCCCACCTGGGGGTCACCTGAGCTCACCTGGGTGTCCCCTGTGCCCACCTGAGCCCACCTGTGCCCACCTGTGCCCGCAGGACGAGCGTTTGCTGCGGCCCTTCCTGGACAAGACGCTGACGTCGCGGCTGGGGATGCGTCTCTTGGCCACCCATCACCTGGCGCTGCACGAGGACAAGGTGGGGCCTGGGACACCCCCCAGGGTCCCCAAAACCCACCTGGGACCCCCAAAAACCCACCTGGGACCCTCAAAACCCACCTGGGACCCCCCAAAACTCTCCTGGGACTCCCCAAAAACCCACCTGGGACCCTCAAAACCCACCTGGGACCCCCAAAAACAATCTTGGGGCCCCCAAAACCTGCCTGGGACCCCCAAAAACAATCTTGGGACCCCAAAACCTGCCTGGGACCCCCAAAACCCACCTGGGGACCCCCAAAAACCCACCTGAGACCCCCAAAAGCCTTCTGGGACTCCCCAAAAACATGCCCGGGACCCCCCCAAAAACAACCCTGGGACCCCCTTGAAATTCTTTTGGAACTCCCCCAAAAACAAACCTCAGGACCCCCCAAAAACAACCCCAGGATCCCCAAAACAACCCCAGGACCCCCAAAAGAACCCTGGGACCCCCAGAAACAACCCCGGGACCCCCAAAAACCCTCTCCTGGAACTCCCCAAAAAACTGCCCAGGACCCCACCAAAATCCACCTGGCACCCCCCAAAAAACAACCCCGGGACCCCCAGTCCTGCCCCACTCCCCAAACCTTCCCCCACCCCACCCTGGGACCCCCAAAACTGCCCCCAAAACCCCCCTCCTGGAGACCCCCCCAAAACCTTCACCCATCACCCCAGGACCCCCAAAACTGCCCCCAACCCCCCAAAACCCTCCCTGGGGACCCTCTAAAACCCCCAGATCTTCCCCACCACCACCCCAGGACCCCAAACCCCCCAAAACCTCTCCCTGGGGACCCCCTAAAACCCCCAAATCTTCACCCACTCCACCCCAGGACCCCCAAAACTGTCCCCAAACCCTTCCCCAAAACCCTCCCGTGGGACCCCAAAACCTTCACCCATCACCCCAGGACCCCCAAAACTGCCCCCCAAACCTCCCTCTGGGACCCCCAAACCCCTCTGGGACCCCCAAACCCCCGTGGGACCCCCAAACCTTCACCCATCACCCCAGGACCCCAAAACTGCCCCCAAACCTCCGTGGGACCCCAAACCTTCACCCATCACCCTGGGACCCCAAAACTGCCCCCAAATCCCCTCTGGGACCCCCAAACCCCTCTGGGACCCCCAAACCCCCGTGGGACCCCCAAACCTTCACCCATCACCCCAGGACCCCCAAAACTGCCCCCAAACCCCCTCTGGGACCCCCAAACCCCCTCTGGGACCCCCAAACCCCCGTGGGACCCCCAAACCTTCACCCATCACCCGGACCCCAAAACTGCCCCCAAACCCCCGTGGGACCCCAAACCTTCACCCATCACCCCGGGACCCCAAAACTGCCCCCAAACCCCCGTGGGACCCCAAACCTTCACCCATCACCCGGGACCCCCAAAACTGCCCCCTAACCCATCCCCCAAAACCCCTCCCTATGGGGTCTGTGGGTACCCACAGGTACCCCTGACCCCCGAGCCCCCGACCCCCTGTGACCCCCTGACCCCCTGACCCCCTGTGACCCCCCGTGCCGTCCCCAGCCGGTTTCAGTGGGCATCATCTGCACCAGGATGAGCCCCAAGAAGCTGGTGGAGAAGTGGGTGGACTTCTCCAGGTGAGAGACCCCGCCCACCTCACCTGGGGGGGACACAGGGGGTAGGAGGCCCTGGGGGTGACAGAGGGGGCACTGAGGGGACACTGAGGTGGCACTGAGGTGGCACTGAGGGGGCACTGAGGGGGCACTGAGGGGGCACTGAGGTGACAGAGGTCTCTGTGAGCACCAGTTCGGGAATGCCCCCGGGGGACAGGAGGGGACAGGAGGGCACAGGTGACCCTGGGGGTGACACTGAGGTGACAGGGGTGTCCCAGGTGACCCTGGGGGTGACAGAGGTGACACTGAGGGGACACTGAGGTGGCACTGAGGTGGCAGAGGTCTCTGTGAGCACCAGTTCGGGACAGCACCCGGGGGACAGGAGGGGACAGGTGACCCTGGGGGTGACACTGAGGTGACAGGGGTGTCCCAGGTGACCCTGGGGGTGACAGAGGTGACCCTGGGGTGACAGAGGTGACACAGGTGACCCTGGGGGTGACAGAGGGGACACTGAGGTGGCACTGAGGTGGCACTGAGGTGACACTGAGGTGACACTGAGGGGACACTGAGGTGGCACTGAGGTGGCACTGAGGTGGCAGAGGTCTCTGTGAGCACCAGTTCGGGACAGCACCCGGGGGACAGGAGGGGACAGGAGGGCACAGGAGGGCACAGGTGACCCTGGGGGTGACACTGAGGTGACAGGGGTGTCACAGGTGACCCTGGGGGTGACAGAGGTGACACTGAGGGGACACTGAGGTGGCACTGAGGTGACACTGAGGTGGCACTGAGGTGACACTGAGGTGGCAGAGGTCTCTGTGAGCACCAGTTCGGGACAGCACCCGGGGGACAGGAGGGGACAGGAGGGCACAGGTGACCCTGGGGGTGACACAGGTGACCCTGGGGTGACAGAGGGGACACTGAGGTGGCACTGAGGTGACAGAGGTCTCTGTGAGCACCAGTTCGGGACAGCACCCAGGGGACAGGAGGGCACAGGTGACCCTGGGGGTGACACTGAGGTGACAGGGGTGACACAGGTGACCCTGGGGGTGACAGAGGTGACACTGAGGGGACACTGAGGTGGCACTGAGGTGACACTGAGGTGGCAGAGGTCTCTGTGAGCACCAGTTCGGGACAGCACCCAGGGGACAGGGGGCACAGGTGACTCTGGGGGTGACACAGGTGACCCCGGGGGTGACAGAGGGGACACTGAGGTGGCACTGAGGGGACACTGAGGTGGCAGAAGTCTCCGTGAGCACCAGTACGGGACAGCACCCGGGGGACAGGAGGGGACAGGAGGGCACAGGTGACCCTGAGGGTGACACTGAGGTGACAGGGGTGTCCCAGGTGACCCTGGGGGTGTCCCGGGTGACAGAGGTGACTCTGGGGTGACAGAGGTGACACAGATGACCCTGGGGGTGACAGAGGGGACACTGAGGTGGCACTGAGGTGGCACTGAGGTGACACTGAGGTGACACT